CAAGCAAAAAAAAAAAAAAAAAAAAAAAGATGGATAAAATTAGATAAAATCTAAGAGGAAAACAAGAAAAAAAAAGAAGAAAAAAAGCTATATACATGCGCTAAGCTTAGTAGAGCAGCTCTTACTCTCAAGAACTCTTAAGCATTAACACATGTGTGTAACACACAAAATATTATCTACACCTGCATAATCCTCACATTTTATGTACTACTTTTATGAATTAACATCCATTCACATGTAATACACCTAAGCACTTCAGCAGGATAAACACAGAAATGTAAAATAAAATAAAAAAGATAAAAAAAAAAAAAAAAAAAAAGAACAAGATATGCACACCCATGTACTTTTACATTTTATGAACAAATATCATTACACAAAAGTAAAAAAAAAAAAAAACAATAAAAAAGATAAAGAAAAAGAAAAAAAAGGGAAAAAAAGGATAACAAAAATATTCAGATGAAAGAAGATAGAGCAAAAAAAAAAAATAAAATAAAATAAACACACAAACGAACAAGCAAACAAACAAACGAACAAGCAAACAAACAAAAAAACAAGCAAACAAACCAACGAACAAACAAACAAACAAACAAAGCATATGAATGAAATTATTTCTGTTGTATAATCGTCCAAGAAAAAAGAAAAGAAAGGAAGCAGAAATAAAAGCAAAAACAAAAATAAAAATTAAAATAAAAACTCCTTGCATGCTCATGTACAAAAACGTATAATTAGAAAAGGGACAAAAGGGAAAAAATGAAAATTCTATTATTTACCTCATGTAGAGCGAAAATTGAAATAATAAGAGATATAAAAAAAAAAAAAAAAAAAAAAAAAAAAAAAAAGAACAACTAACAAATAACAAATAACAAATAACAAATAACAAATAACAAATAACAACCAAGAATACCCTCGCAAGTGGTAGCAAAAGCGAGTGAAAAAGAAAAAAAAAAGAAGGAATTTTTAAACAATCACACAAAGAAAACAAACCTAAGTAGAAATAGCATACACATCCTCCCATGAGATCAAAATGGATATGAACAAAAGCACAAAAAACTCTGAAGACACACAGAGCAATAATGATGAGAAAGAGTCAAACAAGTGCTTAGAACAAAAAGATGAAAATTTGGAGGTAGTGAAAGGAAGTGACACTACAACCGTAGAGGAAGAAAAAGGAAGGAAATATGAAAAGAACGAATTCGGAATTAGACTATATGATAATGATCTAAAATATAGTGATGATATACAAACGATTATCAAAAAAGTAATTAATGAGAAAAACATTCATTTTTTTAAAAAATATTCCTCCTTTTTGTTATATTTAAGCAATGAAGCTGAATACATTGATATTGATGATAGAAGGAAACAAAAAAAAGAAGCAAATGACGAAAATACTAAAGTTTTTTTTAAAATCCAGTTAGCACCACAAAACATTAGCATTATTTATAATATATTGGACAGAAGTATGATAGAAAAAATATTAACATTATGTGCAAATAAATATAAAAAAAGTAAAACATCTATTGGATATGCAACAGATAAACAAGAAAATTACAAAATAACAAATTCTTCCAATAGAACAAGTTCAACAGTATTTTTATATACTATTAGAAATCGATCAGTCATTGAAAAAAATCATGTAGATAGTGAAAGTTCTATTGTATATACCAAGGATGAAAGTATAATGGATTTAGAAAATACCATTTGTAATTTGGTTAAAATACCTTTGTGCTATTTGGAACCATTAGCAATTGTAAAATATGAAAAAAATAATTATTTCAATATACATCATGATGGAACTTTTAGACGGGCTACTCTTTTAATTTATCTGAACGATGTTGAAAAAGATGGAGAAACAATTTTTCCCCATTACAATTTATCAATAAAACCTATTCAAGGGTCAGGTATTTTTTGGTATAACAATATTCCAGTAGAAGAAGAACATGCCATTACTTATTGTGTGAACAGAATAAATGAAATTCATGAAAAAGATAAATTAAAATATGTGAAAAATGTAGAAAATAATACAAACTCATCAACAGCAGTAACTTCTTCGACACTTCCAGAACAAGGGAATCAGGATAACACCTTATCTTCTTCAAAAAATGCTTATACCATCACTGCCACAAATTTCAACAACACAACAGAAGATGAATTTTCAAATGTATATAAAACCCCTATAACCAAAACTATCGATTTAATTAATTTTTTAAAGGAAAAATCAAACTTAGAAAAGTTCTCTATCGATGTTATAAATGATGAACTTGGAAACATGTACATTGCTGATATGACTATGTTACACAAAGCTAATAAAGTATCAGATGAATACAAATATGTTATAAACTGTTTTTTCAATATAAACATAGTTAGAAATGTGTAAATCTGTCATTTAATTCATGTGTTATATATACACATTATATTTATTACATAATTGTGTGTTTCTTTGTATGTGGGGTTTTTGATAGGCAGAGCTGTAATTACTCAGAAGAAGACTGTATAATACTACAAGTGATGTTAAAACAGAAAACTAGATTTAGCACCTTTATGCAGAATTAAAGTTTTGAGATATTAACTAAATCGAAGATTCCAATTTTGTCATAAATATGAAAAATCAACAATCATTTGAGGGTACATCCTACTATTAGTACAACATACAACTTGTAAAATATATATAATTTTGAAAAACAGCATGGGAGTTTTAAAAAAAAAAAAGAAGCTCAAATGATGAAAACCCCCAAGAAGGAACAATTCCGATAGGAACATAAACAATCAGGATAGCCGAAATGGCATATGAAATTTTAAAATGAACAATAAATGGTGTTACTTAAAAAAAGCTTATTCATGTATATGAACCAAAAAGATATATTCCGAATTTGTCTACATGCGTATAATGCCCAATTTAATAAATCCAATATATATATTTTTAAACATTTCCTTTCCATTTACATGTCACATTCTCTTAATTATATAATTCTGAATTTTATATTTTTTTATTTAACTTTATTTATTTATCTTTACTTTATTTTTTATTTCTTTTCTTCTGTGATTATTTTATTACTACACTTTTATCCCAAAGGGATTTTTTTATTAAGCCTAAGAAGGGGTACTTCTGGCATGTTTGTATAAATGAATACATGCAGGTGTATAATACCTGTTCCCTGCACAACTTGTTGCCTGAATGTATTTTTTTTTTTTTTTTCTCCTATAATCAAACTATTTGTGTATGTTTTATCTTTATTTTCCTTATTACTCAATTTTATTTTACCTATTTTTTTTTTTTCTGTCTTGTAATTAAAAATGTTTCACTAGTTATTGTTCCATATGATTTCTATCCTTATCTTCATACATCTATACTAGTAAAAATTTTTTTTTTTTTTTTCTTTTTCATGTTTTACGAATCATCCATTCCTCCTAGATGCTGTAAACATATATATTATCATAACATAGGTAACTATGTGAATTTCTTTTCTTGTCCTAACAGATATTAACAAGAATTTGTGAATTCTGCAAAAAATTATATTAAACTCTTTTTACAGCGTCAAAGTTTTTATATAGAACTAAAGAAATTATGATAACACTTGGATCTAGAACTCGTAATTCCTAATGTACAATCTAAAAAAAAAAAAAAAAAAAAAAAAATGCGCACAGAATGTGAAAAATTTGTCATTACAAATGGGGTCTTAGACAATTGCGATTTCTATCACCTCCATCAACAACTGTTACAAATGATAAAAATGAAATGAAGCAGATCAGCAATGTCGTGTCCTTATATATATAAATATAACTATAGATATTAATGTGAAGCACATTCACACACAGAAATATATGTATATGTATACACAGAAGCGTATAATTGTATTTCTAATGAGGCTCTTGTTTTTTTCCCACTGAAAAAATATGGTGCATCATTTCTGTTTTTTCTCATTACCGGTTTCAACATCACTGGCTTGATTTTGTGGTGTAGAATGTTCTTATCGACATCCTCATCAATTTCGCCAATTAGGGTCCTAAATAAGAGTAGCAAATATGGAAAAAAAAAAAAAAAAATTCATAAAATATAGTGAATTTAACAACTTCACATCAACCATTTCTAATGCAAACACATCAAAAAAAATGTATCAATATTTTTTTTTATTCTTTCTAATTTTTTTTGACAAATTACACAGTATCTCCTCTAATAATATACAGGCCCAAGCTTATTTTCTCCAACGATTCTTTGTAAATCCTCTCATAGCAATTCCCAAGTATGATATTTGTCGTCTGATCGAAACCTTTTAATTTTCCCGTAAATATTCTACTATCATTAGTTATCACTAGTATTTCGTCTGACATAGGAAAAAAAAAGGAGAAAAAAAAAAAAAAAAAAATGGAATATAATTGTGTCAAACTCCTTGGTTAATTATTCCCTATTGTTATCTATTTGAATGTTTTTCTTCTTCTCCTACTTTCTAAATATGATTCAATGTTTATAGACGTCATGATTTTAGCTCTTTTTTTTGGTTCTTAGACGAACGACTGGAGTGGTAATGGCCGTAGATGTATGAACAAAGAGATGTGAATTTGGGGGCCCTTCCTGACACAGGCGTGTGAAAAGAGAAAAAAGCAAAAAACAAAAAGCAAAAAACAAAAAACAAAAAGCAAAAAACAAAAAACAAAAAACAAAAAAACTTTATATTCACATATAAGAAGGTGTAAGTCCTTCTACTCCACTATCCCCTTTCTATTCTTAATTACTCCAATTAGATGGGTGAAATATCTTCTTCTGAGTTCATGCAGTATGTGTAAAAAACGCTCTAAGAAGAGCCTTCAATATTCTGGCAAATTATAACTTATATTATTTTAAATAGAATTATATTTTTTTTCTTTTTTATAGTCCTTTTTACAAATGTATGAATGTAAATTTCTTTTGGTGTTTATTCCTTTTAAAAGTAAGAAATTTTCAATTTGTAACAGTCCTAAATGTCATAAAAAAAACAGTCCCTTCTGTGCAACAATTTTGAAAAGGTATTATAAGTTCAAGAAAAAAAAAAAAAAAAAACAAAAAAAGAAAACAAAACAAAACAAAACAAAACAAAACAAAACAAATAACTGATCTTCTAAACTTACAAACATCCGCAAATTTGCATAAAATTATTTAAATAACTCATTTACATATTTCTACCTATATACTACATATACTTTTTATTTATTTTTCAAGTTTCAATTCACTTCTTTTTCTTACTTATTTGTACCTCAGAAAAAAATAAAAATAAGAATAAAAATTAAAATTAATTACATCAAAAGGATTTACTTCTACACTTTTTTTCCATTCACATGTTCGAAACCTACGTTTTGCAAAAACTAAGTACCTTTTCTTCCCCATTTCTATGAAGCATATTGTTGACAAGGTCATTCGCACATTTACACAAATTAAATATCAAAATCAAAAATAAAATAATGTGTATACATCAATACCCTACTAAAGAAGTAAAAATAAAAAAAAAAAAACATCCCTCGCCATAAAATTATTATCTGTTCAAGCAACAAATGAACATGTGTGTGTATATATATGTCACATCTGTAGACGCAGTTTTAATTATTAAAAAAGCTTGACAAAGCAAATTCACATCGATAAAAATGTTTACTATTTTTTTTTTTTTTTTTTTTTTTCCACACATTATAAATTAAATACCCATAAGAAAAAAGGAAAGTACATATATAGTTGAATTGTGTATTATAAAAACAGAAATAATTAACTTTATCACAGTTTTATAAATTACACATTTTAATTAGTCACCTAGGATAACCATAATTGTTATCCCACCTTTTACTGATTTTAAGGAAGTAATAGCTAAACTAATTAGAAAATGGTTCATACACGTGCATAACGAAAATAAGTTTAGAATTTATAAACTAGGATTAACCAATGTCCCATTCCCAGACACACTACCCTGTTACAGTGCAGTTACAACATGCCACAATGACGTGCAACGCATTTGTTCATTCACGTCACATCTATTTAATCCCACTTATTTATGAACACCATTTTGGATAAGCTTCGCAATGGCGTATCATTAATTTTTATCCCTCTTTAAGGGTGTGAAGGTGAGATGGGAAACAAAAGTCCAAATAGAATCAGAGAGACGAAACAAAACAAAGAAAAACGAAACATTCAATTGATGAGGTAACTTTAATTTTTCTTTTATTTTTTTTTTTTTTATTTTTTTCCTTCATCCAGAAGTTTTTTAATACATTTTGTCACAGTTCATATGTGTGTATCCTATAACGGGGTTAAAGCTTCCACATGGAGGAGAGGTTAAAAATCGCAAACGTCACACACAGTGGTGGCTTGCACAAAAACATAAAGCAACTCCAGGGAGTCTATTTAAACAGACCATAGTTCAATTAATTCAAAAAAATTAGCATAAAACAGAAATTGCAAACGTTACAAAAATTACAGAAGTTTCTAACACTACATACGCTTCTACAGCTTCTACCGCTGCCGACTCTTCTAACGCTACTAACGCTTCAAAAATTGCAAACCATAGAAGAATTAAAAATGCAGAAGCATCCCTTAGAAACTAGGTGAAAGACTTCCCAGATGCAAAAATATATAATGTACGACCAACTACCTGGTCCCAAAAGCTAGTGCTGAGAAAAACACAAGCCCTACAAATTCTTCGGATTCAGCAAAATATTTGAAGTTGCTGGAAAATAAGTAACATTTTTGGATTTACTTAAATTTTCAGCTATTTCTTTTGCTGCTTCTAATTTTCGAATTTCGAGCAAACTATTTCCATATTCTTTAACAGCTGTGGAAATTAATTTAGCTGCTTCTGCTTCTCCTTGAGCTTTAATAACGGCTGCAATTTTTTCTTGTTCTGTTTTCGCAACAATAAATTTCACACGTTCACTTTCTTGTTGAGCCACCTGCTTATCTTCAATAGCTTTTGCAAATTCTTTTCCATAACTTAAATGTGTAATAGCTACATCATCTAATAAAATATTAAAATGTTTAGCTCTTGCTGTTATACTCTCCCTTATTTCTTTCGATATTTTATCTCTCTGCGTTAAAAGTGATTCTGCATTATACTTTGCAACAACTGCTTTAAGAACTTCATTTCCAATGGATGGTAAAACACGTTCATCATAATCTGGTCCTAAAGTACTATGTAAATATGGCAATTTTTTTGTATGGGGTCTAAAGAGTAACCTCAAACTCAGGGTAACAATTTGTAAGTCTCTCGTTCCAGTTGTCGTATTTATTACTTTAGGTTTCATTTTAATGTCATAAATATAAGGAGTTTGAAACCATGGGATATAGAAATGGCTTCCCTCCCCATATGTGTTTTCACTTACACCTCCAAATCGATTAAACATAACACACCTTTCTCCTCCATCTACATCATAAACGAATGTGTATGGAATTAAACTCAACCCACCTGCAACTACACTTAATTTCCCAATTGATGACAATAGCTTTTCCATTTAAAGCTTTCAAATTGGGAAAATAATACCAATGTTGTGGGGTGTTAAAAAAAAAAAAAAAAAAGGGGATAATATCTAATTCTCTAAATGTTTTTTCTTATATTTCGTAAATCACAGTACATGTAAATATTATTCACTTCATACTCCCTTTCCCTTATGCAGCAGCCTTTTTCTCTAAAATAAGAAAAGATAATTTATATAAAATTATACTCACGTTTTTCCTACAAAACTTTGATTCATACGTTTTTCTTTTTTCACATCGGTAAAAATGTTACGCACTAATAGATATATATATATATATATATATATATATATATACATGTATCTATACATGTATGTGCTTGTCAACCTCGTGCACAGTGAAGGTTCCTTTAATTTTGTGGACCTACACTTTTCATTCCTTACATATTACATGGGGATTTTTTTTTCTTTTTTAACCTATATCAGCTTGTACTTGTTCTTTCTCATTTGCCCATAGAAATACTATTCGTCAATTTAGTAGAATCACACTTACAACAGTGTCGCGTACAGTTTCCAAATTCTTAAAAGGTTAGTAAGCATGGAGGCAAAATGATTTTAAACAGACGAGAAAAATAAATGGGGAAAAAAATAAAAAGGTCAAAAACGTAAAACAAGTGAAAAAATAAAACAGCTGAGAAACTCAAATATGGAACAGAATGTCAAAAAAAAAAAATTAGGAAAAATTCAAAAACATTTTCACCCGTTGTTGTTTAAGCACACCATAGCAACATTCAAAAAAAAAAAAAAAAAAAAGAAAAAAAAAAATTTACATACACCGCCGTTTTCATGGATTGCATACATTCCACCTTATGTAAATGCAAAATCAAAACACTACAGCTGCCAACTTATCAAAATGGCTACAGTTCAACTTTTTTTTTTTTTTTCTTTTTTTTTTAACTTCTTTTTTACTTAACCTCACTTTCCATTTAGTTTCTTCTATTTAACTTTTTCTATTTATAAGGTATTATTGTGGGATACCATCATATTTTGTATGTTTAAAAAATAAAATTCACGTAAGCATGTGTATATAAAATATGCATTATAGTTGTGTGTATGGATAACAAACAAATTATATGCTTCAAAAAAACAAAAAAAAGTTGCCAGATAAGCGTAACGTACTTGGACCAAATAAAAATCGAGAAAATCCAGAGAACCTAGCATATGTGTGGTGTTTATGTAGGTATATGTTTTAAATATGTAAAAGTGTGCGGAAAAAAAGTGTATAATCCATAATACAAAGGCAAAATTACCCGACGTGTGCCTTTTTGCCTCTGCAAGATGGTTTAATATTTAAAGTAAAAGCAAACAAACAAAAAGAAGTAAATAAAAATAAAATAAATAAATATATAAATAAGTATATAAATAAATAGATACATAAATAGATACATAAATAAATACATAAATAAATACATAAATAAATACATAAATAGATACATAAATAAATAAAACATAATATAATATAAAATAATATAATAAATAAATTAGTAATCTAATTCATAAACGTGTGAAACCAATTAACAAACAAAATTAGGCATAGAACAAAAGAGAAACATGGTGATCCATTTGGCCGTATTCTTTAAACAGTTTCTGAACCTCCACAAGACAGGAGGGGCTTATGTTCGAAGGCTTAATCCATCTGGTTCATTGGGTTCTCTGGTGATTTTTTAAACTACAAAATGTAGGATAGAAAATGTAAATAATGAATGCAATCAATTACCACTGATGGACTTAAAATATTTCGAAATCCACTCTACCGCAAGGTACCCATTCAACTAGGTGAACACAAATATATGTGCAAGCATAAAGAAGCGACATGGTAAAAATTAACTACCTAATCTTAAATATCTTTGTAAAAAAAAAAAAAAAAAAAAAATATATATATAAATTATGTACCTGCTTCCACAACATTTGCTTATACTGCGAGAGTTTTAAACCCTTGTGCTCTTCCTTAATAAGTGGCAAATTTTCCTCCTCGAATTTTTTATAGGCCTAGTAAATCAAAAAAAAAAAAAAAAAAAAAGTGGCTAGTAATAATTCATTACACATGTATATATAGAATCTCGAATATAATAAGCCCTCTGAACATATGAACGTGAATACAAAATAATGAATGCATTTTTGCATGACTAAAAAACAAAATGACAAAACAGAAGACGACGAAGAAGACACATGTTTCCTTCATTTCCTTCTTCCACTTACAACTTTGACTTTTTTCGTTTTTTCAAATGAGATATTGTCTAATGCAGAAATGACGTTATCAATTCCAGAGGCTAAATAAGGAGGGGAAAAAACGGAAAAGAAAAAGAAAAATGAGAAGAAAATTATTAGGTTTATCCGTCGATAAAAATATTGTGTCGTGGACACAGGCATGGCCTGGGGGTGATGTATAATTTTGTGGGGTTGCAAAGAAGGGATTTTTCTTCATGCAGCAATAATACAAATATACACTTTTTGATATTCCGTAAATTTACTTCTTCTTCTTTTTCTCTTACCATTTATATACTCATCATATTCATTTATCTCGTCCCTCTGGATGTGGTTAATATTCTCCTCCAGTTCCATCTCGTGTGCATTCAGGTTATTCTTAAAAGGTGTAAAACAAGAAAAGCGGGAATTTAAATTAGAACAAAAAAAAAAAAAACAACAAAGCGTAGTAGAATAAAATATTAAATGGTAATCTGCACGAACAAACATTTGTGAATGATTTGCACATCACGCAAACTTCATGTGGACAACGCGCCATATTTTCATAAGTATTTCGAAAATTTGAGAGTTCTATTGTGTGCTCTTTTGTCAGTTCTTTTGTGTGCTCTTTTGTGAGTTCTATTGTGTGCTCTTTTGTGAGTTCTATTGTGTGCTCTTTTGTGAGTTCTATTGTGTGCTCTTTTGTGAGTTCTATTGTGTGCTCTTTTGTGAGTTCTATTGTGTACTCTTTTGTGAGTTCTATTGTGTGCTCTTTTGTGAGTTCTATTGTGTGCTCTTTTGTGAGTTCTATTGTGTACTCTTTTGTGAATTCTTATTACCTTCTTTTTTTTATCCTCCTGCAATTCTTTCTTCTTCTCCTCAATGAGCCTTTGTAAAATCTGCGCCTGGGTAACCTTAGAACTGGACGTTTTCTGAATGAAAAGAAATGTGAAAATGGAGAAAAGTGGGCAAAATGAGGAAACACGAGGGATGGGGAAATAGCACTAATAATTGTAGAAAGTAATAATATGCGTAATCACAACGATCGAAAATAAAAAAAAAAAAAAAAAAAAAAAAACCCACACACATTCATACATAAATACATACACATGCTCAATGCGCATTCATCAAACTACATAAAATAAACTAAAACCTTTGAAGTAAAAAAATAACTTGTGTTTTCATGTATTCCTATAAAAAAAACTTACACTCTCTTTGTTCGATTTCAGAGCCTTTTCTTCTTCTCCATACAATTCCCTTAGTTCTTTTTTCCGATCAAGCTTCTGTTGTCTTTTATTTTCAGCTTCCATCTACGATAAAAAAAAAAAAAAAAAAAAAACATATACGGAGAGGGTATGAATATATAAATATACATTTCTGCGCTTCACTAAAACTACACACTCGAATGCCCATGCGGGCAATGTGAAGAGAGGCAGATAGATTACAACACTGTGACGAAATAGCTGCGACAAAATTAAATGACAAAATGATGGTTTTACCTTCCTCTGCATTTTCGCCTGAACCTTCTTATCATCATCCTTCCAGTATTCATCCAATTTTTTCTCCTCCAACTCCTTCTGCTTCCTGTCTTTTTCCATTTTCTTTCGGAGCCTAGCTTCGATTGCCCTCGAATTCCCCGCACCCCATTGTGGCATCTTTTGTGGAAGATTATACGTTTGTGTAAATAACCTTAGCAAAAATTGACAAATTTAACAAAGTTAATTTCACAATGTGTTTATCACACTATTATATGTGTTGCAAGGTTCGTTTGTGAAAATACAAATATATTATACCCCTTCGCAATACGTTGCTCTTTTTTTTTTTTTTTTTTTTTTTGCCACTTTAGAGTGATCTATAATTATACTCCTTAAAAGAGCAGATGAAAAAGTTTTTATTCTTTTTGAAATTCCATTTCACAGATTGCTGAAATGCAAATTTTTTCAATGATAATTTTTTTACTCGTTAAATTTTTTTTTTTTTTCTTTTTTTTTTTTATGAAGTTTTTAAATTGTGCAATTAGCTGCAATTTAGCAAAAGCTCTCTTCCTCCCTCCGCTCTCCCTCCTATATAAAAAAGAGGATAAACTCTGAAAGGATAAAAAAAAATATGGCGACCTTTATTATATACATACCCTTATATGGAGGGAGATTTCAGTTTCGAGGTTTGTGCTATTTATGTCAACACAAGAATAATTAAAAACGTGTATGCATGTATATATATATATATGTAAAGCTAAATGTTACACATTGCATAAATTTATGCTGATACTTGTACGACAATGTTTACACATATTTTTTTTATATGCCACTGATCTTGTCAATCATCAACAAAAGATGGAATTCTATTTTATCTATTTCAGTGAAATAGTAATAATTTTCTCAATTTATTTATTTATCATTTTTTTTTTTTTTTTTTTTTTTTTCTATCTCCCTTTTGCTGATAAAAATCAACATTAACAACATTAGCAAAATGTGAACTTCGGGTCCACTATACAATTGTGAATACCATTAAGAGAAATTGTATAATCTACACACCCTTATTAACACAGAATACATTTTCATTTAAAATGAAAATCTCCAAAATGTTAACGAAAACTGTAATGTTCTTCTCTATCTCTCAAACACGGGGAGAGTTTAATTTTTCTATCATAGGAAAATGCTACGTTTTCTCCCGCAGTTAAAAGATTTTTTTCACCACATTTCAATAGCAGACTGTTTTATTACACATTTGATTTGATTTTTTTTTTTTTTTTTTTTTTTTTTTTTTTGCCACAAAATAGAAAAACAAAAAATATAAAATAAAAAATTTAAATGAAAGTGTTGTATATGAAACGGAACAATGAATTTAATGTGGTGCCCAACTGGACCCGGAAAAAGTTGCAAAGGTGACAATGCCCCTTTTTTTTCTCTGTTTATATGGGAAAAGCAAAAAAAAAAAAAGGTGAGAGGAAAAACAAAACTGTCCATATATACTAACAAATAGCTACATATAAATTAAGCTTAAGAATTTGACAACAATGGGAACAAATGATAGCTGCAAAAACTTCAACAACTAGCAGATATGGTGCACAGAACTGTTATCCCCCAACAAGTGACATGAGGGATCTTGTATCAAGCGTGCAAAACCCAATCCACACCCATAGGGATCAACACCATCAGAGGGTGAGAACCCTAAACTAAGCAATGCTAAATTACAAACAACTCAATATTAGGAGATGAAAAAACATTAACATTGTTCTTTATTTTTGTTTTCCTTTTGATAAGTACATTGGGTAAAGTCACAAAGCCACAGGTAATAACAATGAAGGACCATCGAAGTCGAATAGATTGATATGGCAATAAAATATTTTTCATTACCCTAGCCCCTGTTATAATATATGTCTTCTTTTTATACACCTCATTTGTGTCATCAGATATGTAGTTGTCCTTATCAGTTAATTTTTCCAAATCATCTGATGAAAGAAAAGATGAAGCAGAACTATTATCCGATGATACGTTTTTATTATTATAATATTCCTGTTTTGTTTTATATTTGAAGTCTTGATTTTTTTTGCTATTTTTAGCACTACCAGATTCGCCCCAACTTGTCTTGAACATGGCGTTGACACTTGAGTTTTCATCTTTTCTTTGTCCATTATCTCCCCAATTATCCTTCCTCACTCTGCTACTACTACACTTCCTACTTCTCTCCTTTCTCCTGTCGTACAAAAAAATAATAATTTCCTCTGTAATATTAGTCTCATTTGTTATTACTGATTCGACAACAAAGCTCTCGTTGCATTTTACAGTTCTTTCATATATTAGATCTATACGTATCTTGCTCTTTTTAGAATCAGTCAATGGATGATAACTCATTTCCATAGCATTTACCATGTCATCAAATGGTACTTTTAACAAATTAGTATATATCACATATCTCCATATATTGTTAAACGGAAAAAAAAGTTTCTTCGAGTTAAAATGATACTTAATAACAATACCACTATCATAGGGATTCTTTTCTTTCACAAAATTGCAATATGTACTCTTGTAAAACACTTCCACGGGATCACTAATTTTTCCCCCTGAAATTTCTTTAATGAATATACTATTAATGTTATTGTTGTGTATATATATGTAGTAGTAGGAATACAATGAATCAGTAATTTCTCTGCCCTTAGTTTCTTTGTTCTGATTAGAACTTAAAATGTTGGCATAATTTTTGCATTCCTGCAATGTGTTTGAAGTGTTGTAGGGATTCTCCTTTGTAGTTCCTTTCATCAAGGCATTTTGGAAAATTTCTTCTTTTTCAAAATTATCTTTATTATGTGTGCTGTTTTGCATTCCATGGTTGACCCTAGTAACCATTGTTATGAGTGATGGTTCTATGTTATATCTTGCTGTATATTTTAATTCGTCCTTAAAAAAAGCATTTTTAAAAGAAAAATCAAATTCTATATTCACATTTTTTATTTCATCTCTTGGATGTATAAGAAATGGAATACATATTAACTTATCCTTATCATTTGTAAAAAAGGGAAAAATATTCCTTCTTCCATTTTTTCTTTTCTTTTTAATTTTATATGATATATAGCACTGGTTGCAAAAGTTGCTTCTTCCATACAGTTTCTTCGCGCCCTTTCTTTCATCAAAATTGTTACCTCTTCTTTCAGCTTGAAAAAAAAACACGTCCCATTCTTGATCGGTTAACTTTTTATCTACGTCTCCACTCGAACGTTGTGATAGCAACTCCTGAAATGAATCATCAATAGCTAGTTCTTTCATTTGTTCATTTTTAACAAATAGGTCTGCTCTTTCCTCAATACATCGATGGTGACTATTTCCATCCTGATTCATTTTGCTTTTCCCCTTGCAGTGGCCACCATCAGTATTATCACCCTTATTAGAAGTATTAATATCTCTATCAGATGTATTAATATCTCTATCAGAAGTATTAATATCTATATCAGAAGTATTACTATCTATATCAGAAGTATTACTATCACTGTCAGAAGTATTACTATCACTCTCAGAAGTATTACTATCACTCTCAGAAGTATTACTAACACTGTCAGAAGCTTTACTCTCTCTTACAGTCGCGCTACTTCCTTCACATGGGTGTATTTCACATCCTGTTATCAAAACTAACTTACACATATGTTCACTTCCAGTTACTACAATCCTTTGATCTCTACCAACCTGTTGTGATTTTATAACATTATTATTTCTCGTCAAAAAATAAACTTGTACCTTTTCATCCCTCTCAGTGGTATAGGAAAAACATAATTCGAAACTATTTATATACCTTGAATATTTCACAAAAATGTATAAAAAGTTGTATTCGTTCATATACAAAGTGTTGTTAGGGCAATAAATAAAATATTCTACATGTTTCATTCGTGCTTTATAAAAATTATATTTTTTATTGTTGCATATAATTCTATTACTATATTTGTTCAAGTATATCCCATGCTTTAATTTATAAAAATATGATTCTTCCACATCAGTCTCCATATCTCTTATTTCAAAAATTTTTAACTTATTTTTTTTTTCGTTCTTTAAATAAAAAGGTTCTATTGTATCCTTTTTAGTTTCATATATCAGTTCACCATTTATACCATTCTTTTTTTCTCCTTCATCCAGAGATCCTTCAACATGAGATTCTTCCACAACTTTGTTCATATTCATTCCGTTTGTATTCAGAGAGTTATTCCATTTTATATCATTCGATAATATACCCCCAAGCCCCTTTTGCAATTCTCTTGTATTAACCCTTTCAAGAAACTTATCCTTCAATAAACATGCATTAATTTGATGAATCTGCATCTTAATAATATGACCTGAAATGTTCAAATACATATCGACATAATCAACATCTATTTGATTTTCCTTTCCATTATGTAAGAAAAAACTAACTATATTTTTTTCTTTCAAGAAAAATCCCCTACTGTTGTCCTTCTCACATTCTCCGTTTCTCTCATTTTTGGCATTCCCCTTGTTATGCACTTTACTTTGTATACATTCACTAACTGCGTAATGAAGTAAAAAATTTCTTCCCCCATCTACTTTTTCATGTACAGTTTGAGCAGTTGAAAAAACAATTCCATCAAACAAATTAGAAAATTTTAATTTAAAAGTTATCAATTCCTTATTTATAAAAATGCCAATGAACGGCAAAAAGGAAAAATCCACTTGAGTCTTATTTTTTATTTCTAAAAATAAATGAATGCCATTTTTCTTAATTAAATAATATAAGTTCACATAAATATTCATAATTGTTATATTCGTTAATTTCTCATGATTATTTACACTTTCTATATTTATGCATTTAAAACATTTTCTCAAAAACAGGGTAAAATCATTTTGCTCCTTGTTTTTATTATTCCTTATTAGACAGTTTAAATATTCGAAACATATTTCGATAAAGAAATTTCCATACTTATTCATATTAAATCCTTCATTCTTCAAATTATCTTCAACCTCATTTGATCCAATATTCTCCCGGTGAAGCAAAAATCCGAGACAGCTCATGGTTAGAAGTAACATTGGTTCGTGTGTTTGCGAATTCCTGTGTGTGGGGGGGAGAAATATACAGCAGGGGGTGGGAAATAAGCCAAAAAATGGGCTAAAATGTAAGCCAAAAAATGGGCTAAAATGTAAGCCAAAAAATGAGCCAAAACGTGAGCCAAAAAATGGTCCCCTAATGAGCCGCAAATAAAGCAAAAGATAATGTGGTAAATCAATATCCAACGAAAAGATACGCAAAATGTATAACTCCTCCAAATGCACAAATATGAACACTTACCGAGTCCGCTGGTAGCTCCTCTCAAGCCAAACGTTTTGGATGGTGGAATACAAATCATGCAAGTTGCACTTTTCCCTTCTCAGTGCATCTGAATCGACTGCATTGAAAAAAAAAGAATCCTCAGCACTGCTATAAAATAACAATAGCAAGTGTAAGCAAAAAAAGTGATTCCCCTTTTCATAATAAATCAGACATAAAAAATATATGATAATTCGAAACAAATTGCTAATTTTGTTAACATTAATAATTCTATACAATTCAATTAAGAAGTTTAAAATAAAATCGTATATAAATTCGGTGGAAACTATCTTGAAATAGCTCTCGAATTGGATGGTTCTCGAAAAGCAATCTATTAATTTGTCTCTTTTCATGCGTGCTTTCAGCATATAGTATATACAGAAGCAGCTGTACATGCCATTCAATGTTGTGTCGTGTATGTTTATGTTAATATTTTTTAAAATACTATATACATAGAAGTAAATACATGATAACAGGTTGTAATATAAATACTCTTTCATTGTTTGAACATATAAAAGGTGAATCGATTCTTTTACGGGGCTGATTATCTGGTCTGCATTCTTTTCACCCATCTGATTTGGATTCCCATCTCTCATTTGATCTGAACTCTTAAGGCCTAACTTATCTGAATTTCTATCGCTCACCTTATCTAAATTTATATCGCTCACCTTATCTAAATTTATATCGCTCACCTTATCTAAATTTATATCGCTCACCTTATCTAAATTTATATCGCCCACTTGATCTTTCATGTCCTTCGATACATCATTCTCCCCTCCGTCTGCATCCTGCCACACTCCTTCATCAGGATTATCGAAGTACATCACATAGTTAATGAAATCACTATTTCCTGTGATATTATATGTTGCAATAAGTTCGTACATTGCCCCTTTCAGGTTCAACACTTCTACACATTCTTCTCTCCTCACCAATGCCAAATAAATAATTTTATTATGAGTATGTATATGGTGAACTGCTTTTTTGATATCTTTAAAAAACAAATATATATATATCATTCTGATGCTCACTGAATTGAAAAAAATAACATGCTTAAAAAATGCGAATTTGTCTGAAAATATATTTTCACCTGTATGTTCATAAAATACTTTACATAAATTTACGTAAATTTTAATACTATCATCATATTTTTCTAACATTTCTAATATATATGCTTTCTTAAAATTATAATTAAAAAAAGAAAATATATTTTGTCCACTTTTCCTTTCAAAACTTATTATATACTGTTTAAAAAAGGAGTTAATACAATCTTTTAACAAATTTTCTAATTTTTTTATTTTATTATGTATTTCTTTTAGTCCTAATGTAATAAATATTGCACTAATATTTTTTGAATTCAACATACTAATGTATTTCACATATTCTTCCGTGTTTTGTGTATTCTCAGGTAAAATAACTAAAACAATAATCTTGCATATTTTCTTTCTTTTCATGATTATTGTGTTTATTTCTTCTATACGCTCAAGGAGATCCTTGTTGACTTTTTTCATGAAATCTGTGTTCTGCACGCATTTCCTTTCTTTGCTGTACTTTATCTCTTTATGCTCTCTTGGCTGAACTTCCATGAGTCCACTATCACTGGGACTTGTTTGGCTACGATTCACCTGACCTGAACTCACGTCATGTAGACACATTTGGTCCGATCCATTCCCGTTTCTCTCACAATCACTACCCCAGGGGCTCACAGGTACAACATCACTATCCTCATTAATAATATCCTGCCAATCGACACAAAATATTACAACGGATGAAACTATTTTCATCTTTTTCAGCCATGAGTTCATCAACATGGCATTATTGTTACACCCCTCCACTCTATCATCTACACTCTCTTTCTTGTAGCAATTAATTTTATGAATATTACTATAATTGTAACTACTTATTTTAACATTTCTATGTTTCATATTATACTTTAAATTTTCTATTATTTCCTCTTTTATATCATCATTCAAAATTACACTAACATTTACACTTGCCCGATCATATATTTCCTCGTCATATAACTCCATATTTTATTCCTCTTGTCCCTTCTTATGTTTTCCTTGGAACAGTTCACTTTTTGTGCAACTGTATGAACGTCTTTTTTGGGAACTCGCCTTCTTTCATAAGTTCTCACGTTCTCAAGTTTTTATACTACTACGTTCTTATACTACTACGTTCTTATACTACTACGTTCTTATACTACTACGTTCTTATACTACTATGTTCTTATACTATTACGTGCTTGTGCTATTACGTTCTTATACTATTAAATGCATATACTTGTTCTTTTCTTTTTTTTTTCTTCTTTTGAACGCATGTATGAATTGGTAGTCATGTGGGTGTAAAATCATTCCTTTTAGTTTTCACCCAAGTTGACCTCTTTTCCATATCTTTTGGTTCATCAATTAGCACCACTTTTCCTCCTTTACGCCCTTGCTTATTTTTTCTTTTTTTTATAGATGCAGCCAAAACTATTGCATGCGTTTTTTTTTATAGCAACTCATGCTGCCATTAACTGCTTTTGATATTGTCCCTAATTTTTTTTTTTTTTTTTTTTATGTTTTTTTTACTTTTCTTGATTTACTTAATTTTTTCAATTCTCATCGATTTTCAAGCCACAACTTGTTCACCGGAACTCCACCCACACTTAACAATTATATCTCCTTTACTCTTTTCCTTTCTTATCTTTTCTTTATTTTATTTTTCTCCCTTTTTGTAACTTGTTACATTTTAATGTATCCTCCTCAATAGGAGAATATTTAATTGGAAGGCTTGATCAACGAAGGACCCACCCTTCGACTCTCATCCACCCACTTTTTCCTCTTCTTCTTCTTCTTCGTTGTTTTCTGTGCACGCAAATGTTTATTTGTGCATGCGAATATAAGCCTACTAAATGTAAAAATACTTGTGTTATACGAGCCTGTGTTTTCTTGCCCTTTTTTATCATTTTTATCCTTCTTCACAATCCTTATTTTTTAATGCACGTTAACTTCCCAAGATGAATGTACCATAGTTGTAACCATTTTTTTTTTTTTCTTTTTTTTTTTTTTTTTGTAGAAAATGTTTAAAATGTCATCTTGCAAAAGGGGAAAGTATTGCGATGGGGTGTTACATAATAACCAAATTTTTCTACATTAAAAGTGAAGCGGAACTTCACAGTCATCAGCACCTTTAAGAAGATACCAATAAATTGTGCAATATGATATATATGGGTGAACTTTCTAATGAACTTGGCATTTTTTCACAATAAAAAAAAAAAAAAATAAATAATGCTTATATCATCAAATTAAAAAAGAAAAGTTTGTGAAAATATATTACACCTCGTCTTAACATAATTATTTTATTAACCATAATTCATTTGTTCAAATATTAAAAAAAAAAAAAAAAAAAAAAATACATATGTGCACGCATACATACTAATATGTATAAATATTAAAGCAAAAGTATTACTGCCTTAGATATATAAGTGTAGTGTACACCATCTTATTCAAAAATGAAACAATTTCCTATAAAACGACAGATATGTTTCCCTATTTTTACATCAAAACAGGCTGTGACAGGTGATACTCGTGAAAAAGAAACCAATGGTAGGGGAAAAATTCGCCAGAAAAAATCAAATTTCACTCTCATAAGTCTTGGTGCACACGTAGGGAAGAACTTGAAAAAATATATTTACCGTTTTTACACATTCATAAATTAGAAGAAAAGCAGCTCCAGTGAAACTTTTTCACCATCCCCCTTGGGAAATGCATTATGACATCATTCACACGAAATAAGATGCTTATATATATATATATATATATTGTTTATTTACTTATTTGTTTTCTTCTTTTTTGCACATGTTTTGTAAAAATTACCTAAAAAACCGCAACATCAAATATTACACCAAGAGCAAAGGATCAAGAAATGTCCCTTGCTCTCACCTCACACACGTATGTTTAAAATGCAGCCATTCAAGGTCAGCTGGTTCACTGTCTATTCATATAAATTACACACTTTTTATATACACAATAATTATCACCATTATGAGTCATCCTGCAAGCACACACACAAAAAAAAAAAATTCAAATTTTGTATCGAATACAAATGACTTGGTATATTAACACTATCATTTGCAGTACCATCGGTCATATTTTCATTTTTTTGATATGCCACATATATATATTTTTACCGATATAAACCCGTGGACCAGGTTTTTCTTAATTATAGGGTGTAAATATGCGGGATTTTTTTTTTTTATTTTACCTTCATACCTACCATTTCTACGCTTCAAAAAAAAAAAAAAAAGTCGCTACATAACTTTTTTGAAATATCAAAATGTAACACAAATCGAACAACCAATATAACGAGTAAATGTATTTTTTTTTCTCAAATGCTACCTTTTTTTTAAATACTTAAACCTTTCAAATGGAACTTGCCAATAGTCCAAATAAAAAATGTGCAACCATATTATATTAAATCCTTTTATGATATACAACGAAATGTAAAAATAGTTTTTCAGATCATTTTGTCGAATTTATTCTTCAAGTGGAAAAATTTATTTTGGAGCTGTTGGTTACATGAACACATCTGCAATTGTACACATTTAAACACTCTGAAAAATGAAAAGAGGAAAATCACACTCAAATAGACACACATCAACAAACACACATGAACAAATACACATGAACAAATACACATGAACAAACACACGCATAAACACAAACAGACAGATAAAATGACATGTGCAAAAATAAAAATGTTAATAAGGAACTCCATTTAAAAAATGCGACTTTTTAATTTTAAATTTGGGAATAATTTCTTAACAATCTTTTTTTTAATTTTTTAATTTTCGCTTTTTGCTTTTTTTCCTTATACGAAAAATGTACAAGGGCAAAAGTTGCAGCGGTTTAGAAATCCCGTCAAGGGAATTTAAATGTGCAAATTTTTCTTTTTCTTTTTTCTTTTTATTTATATTATTCTTTCGTTTTTTTCGCTCATTCGTTCATTTGTGTTTTCTTCCTTTTTTCCCTTCTCGCATTACTTGTTTACTTTTTTTTCTTTTTTTCCAAAACGTTTTACGCGAGGAACAAACATTATTCCCTGGAATAATTAAAAATCTGCGTATGTTCGTGTCCATTAAAATGTTTAATTTTTCTTGTGGGCTGCATTTCAGCTAGTTAATACGCATTAACAGTTGATGCATGCAATTTGACTAAGTCCTGTTAATTTTACATATATATATATATATATATACATCTGTGTGTTCACACACACGTGTAATGTTTACAGACATATGCACATTTTTCGGTCATGGAAACTGAAAACGTGGAAAATGTCCATGACGTGCAAAACGACAACACTCAGTACGAGTATGAAGGTAAGATTCAAAAAAATGAAACAAATTTTTATGGTTTTTCTTCAAATGTCCATGTTGCAAATTAGGTTAAAAAATTCCATATTACGCTATTTCCCTTTTCTTTATTCCACTTAACCCCTCCAACTTTATTTCATGTCTTTAGGGCAAAATGGAAACTTAATAAGTAAATATGCAAAAGGAAAAAAAAAAAAAAATTGTACAAAAACAAGGCACAAAGTAGTGAAAACCTGTACTCACACAACACATACACAGAACATTCCTTCCACCATATAAATTAAACATTTTATTTTTAACTATATACACTTTTTCAGTACAAGAAGCAGAGATTGTTCTCATAACTACTTCTCTAGGGGGAATAAAGTCATCATTTTTTTCATCCTTAAGGGCACAGAACCTATTGAACTGTAAAAAGTTCCTCTATGTTGTAATAGACTCCAATAGAGACACCAGCACAGCAAAAAGTGAGTTCAATTTAAATTACTGAGAAATGTCTCATACATTTAGTTATTTTACAACACCCTTCATCCACCACCATTACCTCCTTAATTCATTTCCTGTTTACATTTAACCGATCAATGCAGATTTAAAAGATCAAGAACTTTTTAACAGATGGAAAGAAGATGAACTGCTGCAATCAAATGACAGTGGAATTGTTTTACCTCAAATTTTAATTGATGGAGTATCTATAGGAAATGATATAGCATTACAAAATTTAGAAGATGAAGGAAATTTAGACTTTATTGTGGCTAGATTAAAATGCCCTAATTGCTTAAGTGATAAATCAAACACAGATGTGCAATGTCCTAATTGCAAATATGATTATGTTAGCTTAATCTCGGAAGAATTAATTCGAGATAATGGAGTCACAAGGATATTGCAAGGGGAATTATACAATGAGGAAGAAACGGAAGAGTGATCAGGAAATAATATAATATATACACACATATATGTATGTATATGTGTATTAAAACAACTTAACCCTTTCGCTTAAATCATAGATGAGGGGAGGGAGAAACTTCCCTTTTTGTAAGGATTATCAATCCCCTTCCATTTATTTCTACATATTTAGGATTACAAGTTTGTCACTTCTTACCTGAGACACAGTAACTTTAGCACACGTCTCGTTTTTCATTTTTTATGGTCTAAAAATGAACCCTCTGTTATGGCAAACAGTTGCCACATCGTGACGCAAATATGGTATAACATGACGAGACAAGATACAACACGTTGTGACAAGACGCACTATGACGTGTCAACCACATGAAATAAAGCGTAGTAACATTTTACTTATTTTTAATTAACCTATGATCAAACTATTTTTATTTAAACATTCTCTGGGAAAACTTCATTTGTAAATGCATGTAAACATTATAAAAAAAAAATTTCAAAGCATACAATATTTGTGAAAGCTTGTTTTTTTAATTCCACTATTGGAAAAATAAAAAGTAATGTATTATGTGCCTTAATTTTAAGATATACTAAGCAAACAGCTACCCCTTTTGGATATGCACACACAAAGGGTTGCCCGTTGCAACTGTAGAGATGGGGCATAATGAAAAAAGTTTTATACGTGTGTGTAGATGTGCATATTCACATTCATGAATATACGCATAATTTTTCCATAGCACCTAAGTATTGCCAAATGCACAAGGATTTCCCATTTATATCTATTTTCTCTTTTTGCAAGAATTCACACACAAACAGTTCTCCCCCTATGTATATATATAATTATATATGTATATATGAGTGTGCATATAACACATGCATGTTAATCTCATCACTACAGACACCATATTTTAAGGGGTCTTAAAATTCCCCTTAAAGTGAATGTAAAGAATTCAACACAAAATTGTCTGTTTTTTTAAAATTTACACATATATGAGGATTCATAAAATGAACAGCAATCATTTCAACCTTCATTCGGAATTCTCAAAAATATTAAAAAAAAAAATCACTACCTCTTTTAAAAAAAAAAAAAGCATATTACAATATGTTTCTATCATTTTCTCAACTTTGGCAAGTTAAGAAAAGAGAGAGACATTAATTATTTTACTTATATAAGAAGAATTAACAGGAATTATTGTCATGATTGTTATATTATATTAACTGTTCAATTTTTTTTTTTTTCTCAAGTAGATCGATGCATGCACATTAACAGTTTTAATGGGACACATGATTTGTCAGGTAAAAACTCTTTAATTTTTGCACAAAAAAAAAAAAAAAAAAAAAAAACACACACACACACATATTTGTATATACACATATTCGTGAAGCCTTTTGCTTCAACAATTTAACATCATTATGAGAAAATATATTGATTGTATATATAAAAATAATTTTTTTTATATTTTGCAACATATCTTAATTAAAAAAATGCAACATTGATCTTTTTTTCATGCAACACACAACAAATTGAACATAAATGTGAACCTCATAAAGTCAATTGCATGTTTTAACAAAAACGCTCGCAGCTTATGTGAAAAAAAAAAAAAAAAAAAAAAGGATAACGAAAAAAGAGGAAAAATGCTCTACAATAACATTTAATGATGTATAAATATATTATATAACATTCATATTTATAAATTTTCTTTGTGTCTTATATGAGAAAATTTGGAAAGGTTATGTTCGTTTAATTTGAAATTATTTTATTTTCTTTTTTTTTTAAAGTTTCTTATGATTATAAGTCTTATCTCCATTTGTCGTTGTTGCTACAATGTTGTTCTGAAAAAAAAAAAAAAATGAAATTCGTTCGCAATAAGGAATTACACAATTTTTCTTTCATGAAAATTAGTAATTTCTTATAATAATTTTTTTTTTTTTTTTTTATTTGTGTATCTTTTAAATATATTGCTAGACCCTATGTCTACTATAAAACTTGTTTACTTGTCAGGAGATATAACTTTTCAATTGTTCACATAGACTGAGAGTGTTTCATTTCATTTTATTTTTCCCCTTTTTTTTTTTTTTTTTTTTTTTTCTTTTTTTGTGACTGCATCATATGAGGTAGCTAAAATTTTTCACATGAACGTATAATTTTACATGAATTAATTACACCATTTTTTTTTTTTTTTCCCGCTTATTTAATTATTATTATTTATTTTTTTTTTTTTTTCCTGAACAATCACATTTATGGAAAAAAAAGCTAGCTTGTTTTATTTAAAAAAAAAAAAAAAAAAAAAAGTGAGAGTTGTTTTTAATTCTTTGTTCTATACTTAAATTAGTAGTACGCATATAAATTCTTTTTAAAATTTTGAATAATCTTGGTTTTTTTATGAAAATATCACTTTTGATTTATTGCATTCTCCATATACAATAAAATTTAAAACAGTCCATAGTGTTAATTAAAACAACAGAATTAATCTGTTGTTTTACTTTGTTCTGCTTCGTTACACCGTTTTCCTTTTTTCTATTTTTTGCTCCCTCTTTATTGCTTATATAAAAAAAAATTTACATTTTATTTTCAGTTAATGAAAAAGTGAACTTTCAAATAACTTCAAAAAAAAAAAAAATAAAATAAATAAATATATAAATAACAGCTATCTATGCATACAGTTTTTATATACATTTCTTGTAAATGAAAAAGGAGAAAGAAAAAAAATAATATATGAAGACTTTTTTTTTTTTTTTTTTTTTCACGAACAAGAGATAAAGAAAAAAAATGAGTAGTAGACCATAAAATAATAGAGATTCACAACGTATGTAATAAATTATGCGTGTTCCGACCCAAAGCTGCTGTAGTCAGTTTATGTGTTATGCATTCTTCATTATTTCTCTTTTGAGTAGGAATAAATGTCCGAACGCATATAAATATATATACTTACATGTACATATATATATATATATATATATACATACATACACCTTCTTAACTCACAATCCCCACGTGTGCTCTTACATATGAATTGCTATAAAGGATGAAATATAACATCTCCTTGCTAGTACTTGTCAGTGCGTTCTTAAGCTCTGGGAATGCACTGATACGAAATGGAAACAACCCGCAAGCTTTGGTTCCGGAGAAAAATTATAACCAAAATGAAAACCCAAATAATGCATTTAACAATAATGAATACTCATGTGAAAATCAAAACATGGCAGAAGAAATGATGGAAAAGTTGATGAATGAAAAAGATGTATTTAGCTCTATTATGGAACCATTACAGAATAAATTAACCGATGATCATTTATGTACAGAGCCAAAATATACGAACATTTGTATTCATGCAAAAGATAAGGTTCCTTTGACCTTCCCCTGCACAAGTCCCCAATATGAACAATTAATACATCGATTTACGTATAAAAAATTATGCAATTCTAAGGTGGCTTTTAGTAATATATTACTCAAATCCTTCATTGATAAAAAAAATGAAGAAAATACATTTAACACAATAATTCAGAATTACAAAGTTTTATTAACTTGTGTTGATGATGACTTAAGAGATATTTATAATTCATCTATAGAATTATTCTCCGATATAAGAAACTCTATCACAGAAATAACAGAAAAATTGTGGTCTAAAAATATGACCGATGTTTTAAAAACAAGAGAACAAACAATTGCAGGAATCTTATGTGAATTAAGAAATGGAAATAATTCAAGCTTAGTATCAAATAGTATATCATATGAAAATTTTGTAATTCTCAAGGTCAATAATGAGGAACTACTAAATCAAGCATATGCAGCGTTTTCAGATTATTATTCAAATTTCCCCCCCTTTGCTATAAACTTGTTAAAAAAAGGTGGATTCGTTGAACGATTAGTGTCTATACACGAAAGTTTAACCAATTATAGAACTAGAAATATATTGGAGAGAATAAATCAACAAGCAAAAAATGAGGTTCTCAACAATGAGAATATTATGCATACTCTGAGCAATTACAAGCATCACGGCGTGAGCCATAGGGGTTCCTTCCTCCAGGGGAACGGATTAAGGGATGTTCCCTCCGCTACTTCCAGTGGAACCGAAAATGATAGTAAGAATGCCAACGATGGAGAAACCGAGAATGATAACAAAAATTCTAACACGAATTCCAACGGAAATTCCACTGTAAACCAGAACAGAAATGCTAATGCTAACTCGAATACAACTTCTGCACCAGGTTCTTCACAAACATCTACCCCTGCTTCTTCACAAACTTCTGCACCAGGTTCTTCACAAACATCTACCCCTGCTTCTTCACAAACTTCTGCACCAGGTTCTTCACAAACATCTACCCCTGCTTCTTCACAAACATCTACCCCTGCTTCTTCACAAACTTCTACACCAACTTCTGCACCAGCTTCTGTACCAACTTCTGCACCAGCTTCTGTACCAACTTCTGCACAAACTTCTGTACCAACTTCTGTACCAACTTCTGCACAAACTTCTGTACCAACTTCTGCACAAACTTCTGTACCAACTTCTGCACAAACTTCTGTACCAACTTCTGCACAAACATCTGCACCAACTACGGGACCAAATGACGAAACACGTAGCATCAAAACTACCAATGCAGTGCAAAGCAAAAGAACAACCTCTCCCACCTCCTTTAACAACCCCTTGTATGACACTGCTTCATTAAAGCCAAAGAATGTGGCAGTGTTAATAAAAGATTTACTAAAGGACATAAATATTATCAAGTTTGAGAAAGATGAACCAACTAATGAAATAGATGCAGAAGGAATTAAAAAGCTCATAGAAAGTTCCTTCTTTGATTTGAGTGATAATACTATGCTAATGCGTTTGTTAATAAAACCACAAGCGTCTATCTTATTCATAATTCAGTCTTTTATTATGATGACACCCTCTCCAACAAGAGATGCAAAAGCATATTGTAAGAAAGCTTTAGTCAATGGTCAGTTAGTTGAAAATAGGGATTTAAATACAATGTCAGAAGAAGATGACTTAATTAACAAGTTCGCTAGCAAGTACAATTTATTATATGAGAAATTAAAATTGGAAGAATTGAGAGAAATTGAGCAGAATAAAAAAGCGTTAAAAAGTTCAAATACAAATTTATCAGCGCTACAAGTTCGTAATACTATGAATAGTGAAAATGGGAATGGTAACGATCGAAATGGTTCTCCATTAATTGCAATAGTTGGTGACGCACAAGGAGAAAAAACAGATGACATCATTAAAAATAATATAGATGTCTCGGCTTTATCAGCCGACGTAGAACAAGCCTTTAAAACCCTTGAAGCTAAAGGTGGAAGTTTCTCAGCAAACTTATCGTATGTCATCATGATCATTTTTTCCTTTTCCTTACTACTATTTATTTGTTAAATAATAAGACACATAATTCATGATATCCCACTCAAAATATTGTCAAGTTAATCTATAGAATTAATTTACCCATTTAATTTCTTGGCTTTATTTTTCCTTTCTCTTATACCATTTTTTTCTTTTTTTCGTTTTTCTATTTTGCTTTACATATATATTATTTTTAATGTACATGCAATACATGCATGCACAAAGGGTACACCATAGAGAACCCTTATTTCTTTAATACTTTTTTGTTGTCTACGTCCGTTTATGGTATATTTCCTCACTTCGTCCCCTTTTTTATTGCTATTTGTTTTTTTTTACCCTGTCTAATTTTTTCTTTTCATAAAACTCTAACATAAATACATACATACATATATATATATATATATAAAAGAACAGCATAAATAAATTCCAATTTTTATTGCCATACCAGAGCTATTTGAAGCTGAAAATGGCTTCCTCTAGGGAGTCGCCTCCAAATAATGAAAAGTGTCTCAATGTAGAAATCCATTTTCACAAAATGAATGAATTCCTACTTTTTCAGTTAAAATATGGAAACGTTAGCAAACCATCACAGACCATTCCATATGCTTTTGATTCACTATTTGTATGAAAAAGAGGAGAACTTAAAAAAAGTCGATCAAAGGTGTAGTCCCCCCCCCCTTTTCCCCACACAGATATATATGCATGATGAGGCAAAAAAAAATAAATAACTATATCGATAGATGGATAGATAGATTGATAAGTATGTAGATATATAAATAAGTGAAACATAATAAACTCGTGCAAATAAGCAATTCTTAATCCAGAGTGCACCCATTCCTTGCATCTATCTCTTCAATGTTCCTTCAGAATTGAAGAAACTGATTCTCACCCCACCCCCCTAGTTTGATACTGCATATATGGAATAATAGGATCATTTTAGTATTTCTTCTTAAACTTATTCAGAAGCCTCTATAACATGATAAATCTGCTCAACTACTGTGTTATCTCCATAATTTTTGAAGCATTCTAAGAGAAGGTCTATCTTCTCCTTTAATGATTCCATTTGTATTTGTTTAAAAATTTTCTTTTCCAGTGTAACATTTTCTGAATGATTATTTGATTTTCCTTCAAGAGATGATTCATCACCCATTTCAGAAACTTCTCCATGGTCTGTACTCTGAACCCCAGCTGAATGGTTCTTGAACATCTTTTTTTCTGCACCCAGGAGACCCTTCAGCTGATCGGATGATCTTTTAATTTTTACGAATATTTCGTTGATGGATACTTCCATTTTGGAACAATTTTCTTTCAAAAGAGTTACTTTGTCTTCCACACTTTTGGTTTCCATTAGAGTAGTGTTTAGCTGATTTTCTACCACGCTTATTTTTTTTTTATATTCATTTATTTCTTTCTCCATAAATGATATTTCCTCCTTGATTTCGTTCATTTTTTTGTTTAACTTGTTTTTTTTTTTCAAAAATAATTTATATTGAGGGTCTATGCATTTTATGTTATCACTGAAGGATTTATTCGTTTGAATAATATCATTTAAAGTTTTTTGAAATTTGCATATTTGTTCATTTCCCCTTTCAATTTCTTCATCTATCGTCTTTATTTCTTTCTTCAACTTGGTAATATCTTCTTCTATTTTAATTTTATAAAGAATTTCTTTACCTCCTTGTGCATACGGGTGGTTGGCAATGCTTATATCGTTGTTGCACTCTTGTTCATTCTCTTTTTCTTCCCTACTGATAACATTTATAGCATCTAATTTGAGCTCCAAATTGTTGCATTTACTTTTTTTATCATAGACATGAATATTTAATTTATGAATTTCATCCTTCATATTTTTTATAATAGCTTTGAGGGATTCAACATGTGCATTCATATCTTGTTCACTTAATTTTTCATTTTTGAAATTTTCTTTTTTCTTTTTTCTTAAAAGATTTAAATTATTTAAATTTTTCGAAAATATTTCCTTTATTTTGGCTAACTCTATTTTTACATTCATTTCAATGAGCATGACGTTTTCTTTTTCTTTATTTTGATTTGATACCGCACTTTCTAAGGACTTAATTTCAAGTTCTAAGTTTTCTATCTCTTGATGAATGTTGCATTTTTCTTCTATCAAACATGTTTGATGAGTTTTTATATTTTTTAATTCAATGTTAATGCGTTTAATTTCGTTATTCAGAGTAATATATATTTCCTCATATTTATTGAGCTCTTTTTCTAAAGTAATTATTTTCTTTTGACTTTTTTTTTTTGTTTCAAAGGTGCTAATTCCAGATGCGACATTAAGTTTTTTAGTTAGTACTTGTGTTTGGAAATCAAATTTATATAAAATTTCCTTTTGTCTCTCCAATTCTTGTTCAGTTTTTTTAATGTTATTTTTAATTTGCTTAATTTTTATTTGTGTTCCTACCATATCTGATTCCAGGGCAATATAATCATTTTTACTTTTCTTTAAAATTTCATATAATCGAAATTTCTCTTCATCTAATGCTTTTATTTCTGTATTCAGTTTTGCTAATTTGTTTTCTTCTTTTAGTATCTGTTCGTTAGATTTTATTAATTTATTCTTTTCCACATTATTTAGCTCTTCCTTCATTTGTTCCTTTTTGGATTCCTCATATGATGTAATGAGCTTTTCATATGTCTTTTCTAAATCGTCCAAACTGATTTGGAGATTTTTTTTTTCTTCAAATTTTTCCTTAGATGCGATTTTTTCACATTCCAAGTCTTTAAACAAAATATCCCTTTCATCATGAACCCTTTTGTATGCATCCTCTACCTTGGTTCTGTCATTCTGTAATTTGTTTAAATACATTTCTTCTCTTTTTATTTTGTCATTCAATTCATTATTTTTCATTTTCTGTGCGTCTATATGTTGATTTATAGATGCATATTTCTGTGTTAACTTTTCTTTTTTTTTTAGATATTTTTGAAATTCCTCTTCAAATTTGTATATCGTTTGATCCCTATTATTTATAGTGTCTACAATGCATTTCCACTTTATTTGAAGGTTTTTTTTTTCTTCTTCCATTTCTTCATTTCTTCTTACGCTTGCTTGTAATTCCATACTTAATTGCATGTTTTTCGTTTTAATTGCACTAACTTTTTTTTCTTGTTCTACTCTTTCTAGACATAGCTTCTCTAATTTGTAAGTTAAGTTTTTAATTTCTTTATCTTTTGACAGGGTAAATTTTTCTATCTCAAATTCTTCCTTTTGTAGTTTATTAATTTTATCTATCCATTCTTTTAATTCCTTTTCTTTATTAATTAATTTTTTTTTTATTTCTTCAATATTGTTATCACACTGCAGTAAATCATTCTGTGTTTTTACTATTTTTTCATTATTTTTTTCTCTTTCCAATTTTAATTTTTCATTTTCTCTTTCTAAAAAATCGTTCTTCACTTGAATATTTTGACATATACCTCTTTCTTCTGCTTCTGTTTTACTTTTTTCTTCAATCATTTTCTTCGTTTTTGTTATTTGCTTTTTTTTATTATTTATATATTTTTCAATTTTGCTGAATCGATTCTTTAGGTTCCATATCTTTTTGTTAGTTTCTTCTAGGAGCTTTTCTTTAGTTAATATTTCTCTTGATAATGCACTTATCTCATCACTATTAAAGTGTTCATAAACTGATTCTTCATCTTTACTTAACTCCTTTGCATCATCCAAGACATCACTGTCACTTTCCATACCGCTCAACATTTCATCTGTAGATATATCACTTATTTCATCTTCCCCTCCTTGTAACATATGTTGATTACAATAGCTGGGAATTTCATCCTCCTTCTTTTCAAATTCTTCCCAACTTGTTTCTATATCCATTGATCTATTTATTGTTTCCCTTAGATCAGTTTCCAGATCTGTGTTATCAAAATTTTCCTTTTTTTGAAATTCCTCAAATGGGTATAATTCACTTGTACAACTTACATCGCGTGTGGTGACATTTTCATCTCCTTCTTCCATTTTACTACTAACTTTCGAATTACAATTACCTATACAAACATCTCCACTTCTGTCATTGTTCATCTGATCATCAGCACCATAATCCTGATAACTCGTAGCACTATTCCCCTTTTTTGTTTTTTCCTTTTTCATAATTGGAAATGTTTCCTAAATGTACGAACACGCGTGAGGGGGACTTCATCCCACGTTTGTGCGAAAGAGAAAAAAAAAAAAAAAAAAAAAGCAAAATGAATCAATAAATAAATGAATAAAAAGAACGGAATGAGCTTGTCTAGGTATACGTAAATGGGGTAGACACAAATGAGATAGACACAGATGAAGTAGGTAAAGCGCTACATAGATTCATTAATATTTTGCTTCAATTCAATTTCCACGTTTCCTTGGACAAATTGGGAGATAAGATAAAGTTTAAATTTTTTTTTTTTTTTTTTTTTTTTTTTAAATAGTGTCCACAAGTGTATCTCATACAAAAATCATACTCAGATGCGTAATTACCTGTCCCCTTTTTTTTTTTTTTTTTTTTTTTTTTGAATAATTTTTTTTTCAATTCGTTTTCACTAATTTGTTATTCCCGTTTTACAATTTATTGTATGTCCTTTCCTTTTATTTGTGTGCCCTTTCGAAAAAAGGGGAATACAATCATTTGCACATACATATTTACGCATGTATATACGTATGTGTGAAATATGAATATATATATATATATATATATATATATATATATATATACATATGCGCACATGTATAATTGCAATGTTTATATACTTGCACACACAGGCCTAATTATCTCCGCAATTCTAAAACACACCACAAGTGTAATGGCCAACTTTAAATTTGTTTCTTCATCCTTCTACCGTTTGAAAAATTACACACATTTTACATAACCCCAAAATTTTCTACCATGAGTAGAATGATAAATAGACGCGTCGTTTTTTACAGGGACCTCTTAAAGGGAAATGTATGTGCACACTTTCCCTCATACAAATATGAAGAATTAAAAATATTTGTCATTTAACCAATTTTGAAAAAAAAAAAAAAAAAAAAAACATGACACAGTATAAGCTGGATGTGTTATAATCCAACATCATGCAACGTCAGAATAACCTCCTTTTCGAGTGCTACCCAAGTTGATCTTACTTTTTTTAATAAAACAGATGAACTAATCTCAAATTAGAAGCTTCTTTATCCCAAATCTTTGAGGATGATAAGTATAGACGTGATAAATGCAAAAAGAAATTTGAATCTTTTCAAATTTGTACATTTTTTTTTTTTTTTTATTTATCTCTTCGGGGGGAGGATTGGTAAATTTGTCAGTTTTAACAAATTATTTTTTTTTTTTTTTTTTTTTTTTTTAGACAAAAATAGGGGAGTAAAAAAAAAAAAAAAAAAAAGGATATACTTTTTATAATTTTCTATCTCTATTTTAAAAAAAGAAAAAAGTTGAAAACCAAAATGATACTTACGAAAAAAGTTACGTTTTGTCCAAATTGTTTTGTAACAACTTGCACTTTGGGGATTTACTTTTTAAGGAATAATAAATATATCTTTTAAAATGTTTATGCAAAAAGAAAAAAAAAGGAAAAAAAAGGAAAAAAAAAAAAAAAAAAAAAAAATTCCCTGGAAAATTACACATTTCACATTGGCCCTTCTTGTGTGTGCATTTTCGTTTACATGGATAAGTTATGCATCAAATCTTGTTGCCTTAAAAATTTTACATTTTCTCGAATTATCACTTTACATTTTAGAAAATTAACATTTCATCCATTAGAAAATAGTCTTTTCATATAACGCAGACCTCATCGTTTCAGATTTATTGTGTTGTGCACTAAACCCCTGTCGCTTCTGTGATCCAAAGGAATTTATATTTTCCTTTGGCTTTCTGCTTCATTATTATTTTTACATTATTTTATTTATTTTTTTTTTTTCTCGTGCCACGATATCTTTAACCATTTTGATATCTGCCCCTTTGGGCAGTTACAAAACATTACATGAATGTGTGTGTTGGCATGTATTAGTCTCAGTCGGCCCATATTTGCATGTATTAGTCTGTGTTAGTGCGTGTTAGAATTCATTACCACGTGTTCGCATTCATTACCACGTGTTCGCATTCATTACCACGTATTAGCATGTATGTACATCCATTTTTTCTTCTTTGCTACAAGAACGGTTCCCTTTTTAGTGCCATTCTGTAACCTCCTGTGTACAATAAAATTGTATCTACTTCATATAGACCTACGCTGCAACAGAACAAGTAATTTCTATTTTTTATGAACACAGAACATGTAACATGCATACCATTTTGTTCTATTTTTTTTGTTTCTACATACCTAATTATTTTGTTGGTCCTAAAAAGTCGCTTATATTATTTTTATTTTACCCTCATGTTGTTACCACCACCACCCCCATTCCTTATTTTATCTATCTATATATCTTCCTATTTATCTATCCATCTTACATGAGAAGTGAGGAACCATCGTCCGTTGTACCACTTCATTGATTTTTATTTGATTCCTCGTTGGGCTGTTTTTTTTTTTTTTTTTTTTTTTTGTTATTAAAATTTGCACTATGATTCATTTGCTTATGTTGTTTTATTCAATTGAAATTTCCCTGCATGATATAAACGCTTATATTTGCTACCTCTGTTAATCGAACCATATAAAGAACGACAAGTTAAGAATAACGAATTGCAGTGAAACCACAGATGCAATACTTTCCGTTCATCCATTTCTATTTTTCCTAATCAGTTATTCGTATACTTTAACTCTCTTCGCTTTTAACGTGTATTGCTACGAAAGTCTACTTTCCTAATTGCACTTATGCACTCACATGATGGATAAACAAATCAGTTACGAAACTTGCAGTACCCTGACAAGTAATTCCTTACAAAATATACATGCATATGTACATGTACATATTCTTGCACACATGTAGACACCTCTCCTATACTATGTGTGGGGTCTCGTATATTTAACCATTTTTTTTTTTTTTATATATATTTCCATTCCTATATGTGTATGATATTCCCCACTCATGGGAAAAAAATAAATAAATAAATTATTTTGAGAAGATTGCAAAATTATAAATGTTTTTTTTTTTTTTTTTTTTTTTTTCTCTCTATCTCTCTCTCTCTCTCCTCCTTCTTGCAGTTGATTCTTACAGCTCCTTTAACGAAAACAGCTACTTAATTGAAAAAATAAAAAATGATGACGATGATAAAGAAAACAATTCTATATACAACAAAATATCCTCAAGTCTCATAGGTTTGGTCTTCACTACTACATGATCATTTCGCACGTCCCAAGTGGAGCTCTTTCATGTGTGTCGTTACAACATTCTGTATACTCCTTTCTTCTGTGCCTTGCACAATTTGAACATACCATTCATCTTTCCTATATAAAACCATCTTACCAAATTTGACCTATAACACAATCTTACCACACTTCTTATCGATCGTTTAACACACATCAAACCAAACTTTAGAACATCTTTAAATCGCCTTTCTCCTTCTATCTAGCCATGTTACAGGGCGTGGAAGTATTGTGTAATCTTTCCATTTTATACATTTTCAAGGATAATTACAAGTTGCATCCAGGTATGCATATGGCAGATGTAGAGAGTGCGCATCAAAATCTTGCCATGTATGTGTAAACCACCGGTTGGACGGTGCAAAAGAAGTGCACTCTGTGAAGTATGAAGCATGTACAATGTGTGAAACATGTACAATGTGTGAAATATGTACAATGTGCAGTATATGCTGTGTATATCCTTTATGAGTCCACCTTTTAAGTGAGTTTCTTAAAGAAAACTTCGATAGGGTCTCCATCTATAGAACCTACTTCAATCGAATCTACTTCTATCGAACCTACTTCAATCGAATCTACTTCTATCGAACCTACTTTAATCGAATCTACTTCTATCGAACCTACTTTAATCGAATCTACCTCAAGCGAACCCACTTCAAGCGAACCCATATTCCCCCTTCGCAGCAACACTTAGTGTAGTCCTGAGCCTGATAAAACTCCCTTGGTCGATCAAGCTCCTCTGGGCAATCATATCTGACAGTTTTCCTGTATGTGGATTTCGAAGAAAATATTACTTACTGGTGGGTTCCTTGGTGTGCATCCTGTCCTTGCTTATGTTAGGATGGATTCATCACAAAAACATTACAGTAAGTGTTGGGTTGTTAATGATGTACTTTTTTGGCAGTTCTCTGTGTAATGTCATAGGAGAAGCACAAGTAGTAGAATCTAGTAGAAGAGGTACAGTAAAATGTTCAGCAAAAAATGTTTCTATTTTCTTTGCGTTCAGAAAATTAAGTTTTGCAATTATGTCTTACTTATCTGGGTATTTATTATCAGTTATGACCAAGCAGCATATATTTCTAATTGGATCCATGTTACCTACAATAGTCTTCATTTCTTCCTTTTTTACAACCGAGAAAAAAAGTTATAGAAAATGTTCCGTGAAAGAACAAGTTAGATGTGTATACAAAATAGTAAAAATGTCCCACGTCAAAAATTTTATTATTTTTATTTTTCTTTTAATGTCTATGCCATCTTGTGGAAATACATTATTTTTTTATATGACCAATGAATTAAATTTTAGTCCAAATTTATTGGGGAAAATGGCAATGTTTCAATCTTTGGCTAGCTTAATAGCCATTTTATCTTATATGTTTCTATTTAGCACAATTGATGTAACCAAATTGATACTGTACTCTACAATTATAATAACTCCATTCGGATTACTTCCCTTGATAGTTGTAAAAAAAATAAATCTTCTTCTCAATTTACCTAGTAGCTTATTCATTATCACAGATACAATTCTCGTGGAATTTATTGCAGAATTTCAGACTATGCCTATATTAGTACAATGCTCACGTATAATACCGGAAGGATTTGAATCAACCATTTATTCACTCTTTCTATCAGCTAATAATTTAGCTATCATCACAAGTTCCTTTCTTACCTCACTACTAACATATCAACTTCAAATAACTTCAAAAAATTTTAATAATCTCCCTCTCATGATAATTATCTGCTGCCTTACAAATATTATACCCATTACATTTTTGTGCCTTTTCCCTGTCTTCAACAATAATATCAAGAGTGTACAGAATATAGCAAATTCCCCTCCTCCTCGTACCATATACGAATCAACACATTGTGCATCATCAGACAACTCAGATGCTGACGAAGAGACACATCTTTCTCGGGAACTTGAAGTAGATGCACTTCCCATGGCATTGTAACCGGAGCGATACAGAAGTAGTAGTCCCCCTGTGATTGTAGCTGAAGAAATAATACCAACAGGGTTTCATTAAACAAGTCCTATTCGAATATTCGTGGATATTTCCAATTTTTTTCACATAAAAAGAAGGTATTCATTTTTATGCGTAAATGGAATTAAAAACAGTTCGACATGTATATATATATATATGCATATTTTTTGTGCGCATTTTTTAATGGCCACTCATGGCATATCGCTTTTTTTTAATTATGCATTGAGTTCACACCTGGGGAAAGATGTGGATGTGTATATATGTAGACATAGGAGTAGACCTTATCCATATGTCTTAATGTTTATTTACATTCAATCTTTGCAAAAATGTTTAAAGGAGTGAAACAAATCGTCATTTGGTGTTTGACATTCATTTGAAACCAGTGGACATTACTTTCCCAAATTTTGAAGGACCTTTTTTTTTTAATTTTTTTTTTTTTTTTATATCAAAATTTTGTACAACACTCTCACAGTTCATCATTTTTATGTTATTGTTACACTTCACTGAGCTTTATCTTTTCACCTTTTTATTTATTTATTATTTATTTATTATTTATTTTTTTATTTATTCTTTTTTTATTTATTCTTTTTTTATTTATTCTTTTTTTATTTATTCTTTTTTTTTTTATTCTTTTTTTATTTATTCTTTTTTTATTTATTCTTTTTTTATTTATTCTTTTTTTATTTATTCTTTTTTTATTTATTCTTTTTTTATTTATTCTTTTTTTATTTATTCTTTTTTTATTTATTCTTTTTTTATTTATTCTTTTTTTATTTATTCTTTTTTTATTTATTCTTTTTTTATTTTATTTATTTTTTTTTTTTGTTGCTTTGTGTGCATACAGGCATGCCATAATTTATCACTCAGAAAGAGAGATAATCCCAACCCTTGTGATAAATCTGAAATTCATTAATCTTTTTGCGTTCATTCCACTTTGTGGCAAGACTAATTGTCTGAAATGGATTCTTCCCTGGACGAGAGTCCTTAAAATTATTAGACATACTCTCATCATTTTGTTCATTTTGAGAAATAGCGTAACAGTAAAATATGCAACCAGGATGGTGGTAAAATGGGGTGGGGATTTTCAAAAAAAAAAAAAAGAAGGAAATTGCTATTTTTTTTCACTTTTTACATGTGTTTAAAAGTTATCAATGCGCGTGCAATTTCACTCATCAACATTTCAACACTTCATCATTTCAACACTTCATCATTGCAACACTTCAACCCTTTTGCTATAAGTACAAATACTTTATTCCGCTGTTGGCAATTTGGCAACATGTTATATATGTGTGACGTAATAAAAACCGTCTCCTTTTAAGCAGAAAAAAAAATAAAATGAAATAAAATACAGGCGAGCCATGGGGAAATTATAAGATCGTCATTCACCAAATTGTACGTTGCTAAATCAGAAATGGCTTATAGTGTGAAGAATATTATTGGAAGAAAAAATTCATCCTTTATAATGTCATAGTTCGTCCTACATGTTCAAATGGTAGTCCCTTTTTTCTTTTTCTTTTTTTTTTTTTTTTTTTCTTTAACGCATTTTTTGCCTTTTCCACTTTTAATATCTACTTCAAATTGTGTTCATCACATATTTCAGATATTTCAACACATTCAGGAATTTCAGATCTTCCGGCTTTGTGAACTTTTGAAATTTGCGAAAATTTCAAAATTAAGCCACACAGAGAAATACACCCCTCTTCGCTTTTTTTCGAAGTGAGGAGGAAAAAGTTCATACTTAGGGTCACGTAAAAATTAAAAAAATCCTTGTAGATTTAATGCAAAACAAAAAAAAAAAAAAAAAAAAAAAAAAATCCTAGTATGTTTTTATGTATCAAAATTGTGACATAAAGTGAGATGAAAATAATGTAGAGAATTTTTAACAAAAGAATACTTCCATACAAATTTATTTCCATACTACTTTCGTAAAAACAGAATAAATGCTTTTACAAAATGGACCATTGTGAATATACAAATGAAGAAGGTGATGTTCTCGAGGAGCATGAAGGTATTTTGTTTGTTGTGATTTTATGTTCACAGTTTTTTGGTTTTTTTTTTTTTTTTTTTTTTTTTTTTTACAACATATAACATTTTCACACAGACAGCGGTTTTATTTTTAAAATTTGGAGAAAACCTTTTTTTTATGTACATATTACACACACTGTCGCTTTTGATCTTACAAAGAAAAAAAACAAAAAACAAAAAAAAATATTAATGTTTTTATGTATTCACTTATTTCCTTACTGAAGTTGTACGAACATTCAAAAAACACTACTTTGATGGCAAGGATGAGATGCACATTGCAGCCATTAAGGCCATAGCACAGTAAGACGAAAAAACATTCTGAGGAAATAAAAAGAAATTAAATGAGCAGTAGACCGAAAAAAAAAAAAAAAAAAAAAAGTAGAAAAGACAGAAAAGTTTACACTGTTCACGTTCTACTAATACCGTTCTAGTGAACAAGAGCTAAGATGAAATTACTTAAACGCTAATATGATAAGTAAAAACTGTAATGAGATGAAAATTACGAATAGTCAACACATCCAAGTGGGTACATTTAAAAAAACAAAACTCGTAATTTCATAAAAAAAAAGGAAATGAAAAAAGAATGCGCTTTAAAAAAAAAAAAAAAAAAAAAAAAAAAATATGTAATAACGTTTGTGATAAATAACACATTTCGTTGCTACAAAGTTAAAGCTATAGAACTTCTTCGAGAAATTAATGCATTTTTTTTTTTTTTTTCTGAACCAGTTACCTGCATTCTTATGTTCATATGTAAATGAACATGTACATTGCACACTTCGTGCTCTATGTCTTTTCCTCTCTACAGAATTTTACAAAGCAATTCCACAAAGACTAACTTCGAATTGTTTATTAACTTAAGTGAAGCTAAAATGAAGCTAAATAATTTTTTGAAAAACAAGAAAACGCAAAAAGAGATTATAGCTATGCCCCATTCTAAGCGAATGACCATTTATCCTATTCTTTCCTCTAGCGATATTTATCTTCACTTTTTAGTGAAAAAATATACACATAATGAGAACGTAAGGAAGATGTATATATGCATATATGTATATGTTCATATATTCACATGCCTATATGCGTGCTTGTTTTTGTATAGGAATTCCTTTGAGGAAACTGATTGGAACATATTCTCAAGAGGGGAAATTCCTTCCCTCCCCCATTTTGCATTTACAAATGTTCACATGATTGTAAGCAGTTTTATTTACGTCCCTACACCCCATTTCTCTTCGCTCTAAAAGAACTTTTCCAACATGAAAAGCCTGATGACCAGGGGCGCGAATAATTTTCCGGAAAGTGTTAAAAAAAGTTTAACTGCCATAGGAAATAGAAGCAATAGCATGTTCATTAATAGGAAGACAACCATCTTAACACATAGCAATTCTGAATGTGTAAAAAGCTTGTTATTAAATGTTGTAAAAAATCAAATGAAACAGGTGAGTGTCTATTTTACCAGCACAGAATATATTTGTGAGGACTATTTGAAGAAAGACAAAAATTTCGATGACAAGTTTATTCAAGATTTGCAGAAAGAAAATATTAAGGTAACCAAAATTCATTTTAATAATGTTAAGGATATATTAGGTACAATCGACTTTGTAGTTATAGGAACAGAACTCGTGTTTGACAATGGGGGAATTATTAACAAAAAAGGTATTAAAGTCTTAGCCGAATTATGTTCATTAAATAAAAAAGAATTTTATGTCGCATGTGAAGCATATAAATTTTTAAAAATTGAGAGAATAAAAAATTGGTCTCATGATCTTTATTCTTACTGTACCAAAAATATAGCTACCGAAGCTGGAAATTTTTATGAATTTCTACCACACCATTTTATTACTCTTTTTTACACGGACATTGGAATTTTTCCTCCATCTGCAATATCGTACGAACTGAATCAAATATACATAAACGACGCTATATAAAATTTTATATCCCCAATGTGCATAGACCACATTTACTGTACCACCGTTTCGTCTGCTTATCTATGCGATGTGTTATCTCTGCATATGGATACACGTATGCACAAATATGCATATTCACAAGTGTATTCTACTCGCATCACCACCATCCCCTTTCTATCTTTCTTCTCTCATGTTTTTTATGTACTCCTTATATAACTCATCCCTAGTATTTCCCTCTTGTTAGTCCCACACATTGTTGTACCATACTGTACTACATATCATTTTATTTGATTTGACTTCCCCAATTTTGTACCAACTCATTTTATCACATTGATTAAGGGTTCTGGGCCCCTTTACAGACATTTGGGGGTGAGGGTTGGGGGAAGTCCTAAATTTTTTATGTATTTTTTCAATTTTCATATTTTTAATTTGTTTCACCATTTCCATTTTCCCCATCTTTGCCTCTTTTTTTTTTTTTTTTTTTTTTTTCCTTTTCTATGACACAATCGAATCATAATAATGTGTTGATATTCCGAATTTAGACAAGCATATTTCCCTTCTTCAGTATGCATTTAAGGGAAAAAAAAAGAAAAAAATAATTTGCAACTTTAAAACAAATTGTTGCGAAGCTTTTGGAACCTCTGTATGTAGGTATATAGCACATACTATATGTTCAGCACAGTTTTACTCGACACTTTTTGGAATGGTTCCATTTTTTTTCTGTTTTTTTTTTTTTTTTTTTTTTCTTTACTTGTATAGCCCGAATATATGTATTCTTATTTTAACAGTCCTAACGTTGTGGCACTTATTTTTGCTATGCAACACATATTTGGTGCATATCTTTTTATTTCACTCATATGTTCTTTTGCATTAGAACTTAAAATTGTAGAAAAGCATAACCTTTCTGCCTATTCTCCTTTTGTTCTATACCGATTTAAATGTATATTCCTTACGCTTTTTCGTCCATTTTTCGTACATTTTTTTTTTCCTTCTTTTGCTCTTACTGCTCTCTTCAATTGGCGTCCGAGCCATCTCTAAAGGTTCGTTCAAAATATGTGTGCAAAGCAAAACCCCAATACAGATAAAACACAAACATGTGTATAATTCATGTACATATTCATTTATGTGTAACACATGTGTATTAAAATTATACCAAATGAATATGTTACCTTAATGCTACTTCAAAGTTAAGATTTATTTTTCTCTTCTTAAAATTAAAAGTGCAACAGTAATGTTGCTTCAGTATTTCGGCAAGCTTACTGCACAGTACAAAAAAAAAAAAAAAAAAAAAAAAAAATGGATTTTTTTATAAAAAAAAAAAAAAAAAAAAAAAAAAAAAAAAAAAATCACAAAAGGGGAGTTGTAAATACATATATACATGTTCACTTTGTCATCCCCATTTTCTACAAAATATAGTATATTTACACTCTTTCTCTTTCTCTTTCTCATTTTTTTTTTTTTTTTTTTTTTTGCAAAGGCGTAGATATATAAAAATTTCACTCGAATACTACTCTCTCTCCCCCTACCCTCGTCGTTTTTACCCATTTTCCTTTTTTAATAATATGAACTTCGTCTATTTACAAATTAAGCTGCATAATGGAATTTTAAAAAAAAACTCTCTAAATACATTTTCTTGTAGCAGTGCTTTCAAAAGAAGTAACCATGGGTGGTGCATAAGAAGTACAAGTTATAAACATAATAATAGCACATATGACAAAAAATTAAAAAATGTGAATAATATTACTATCGGGGAACATTTTGTCCATTCTCGATATTTTTCGTATCAATCGAACATTGTCACATGTTGTGATGAAACAAATTCAAAGAGGAAAAAAGAAAAGGATGAAGGAGATAACCCCATTGGCACCTCAACACAGGATGACGAAAAGATATATAACATATATAAAAATGGGGAAGAAACACTAGTATCGTTAAAAAAGGACAAAACTGAAGAAATATTGAGTAATGATCTTTTCCAAGAAGTGGACAATACTGAGAATCTCCCACCATACACTCATTTCATCATCGAAAAGTGCAAACTTAATACAAAACATGATGTAGACGATTATGAAAGTTCTTGGTATGTTGAACTTGTATATGAATTGCTAAACTGTACAAAAATTATGTTCGATTGCTCATGGATGACATCGATCGTAGGAACAACTCTATTTATGAGAATAATAATTTTACCACTAACTGTATCAGCAGAAAGGGACAGGAGAAAGCAGAAAATATTAAACCCATTAATAAAGGAATTAACAAATAAATTAAAAAGTAATGCACAAGATGGAAATGTAAAAAGGGCTCTTGAATTTAAAAAAAAAATTCTCAACATTAGAAACACACATGGAATATCTTTAATACCTAAATCGATTATATTAATGGCATGCTTTCAAACACCATTATTTTTTATATTTTATTTTTCTATGAAAAAAATGGCATCTTATCCAGAAATTTTTAAAGAATTTACTTTTGAATCTCCACTATGGCTTGATAGCTTATCTCTACCAGATCCTTATTACATATTACCCTTCCTTTCATCCCTCTTATTATTATCAAATAACGAATTAACAGCATTGATTGACAAAACATTGAGCAATAGTAAATTGAAATATACATACACAGATGAAAGTGATTTTCAAAAAAAAATGAAAGAAATCTCCCTAATAGCTATGAGGCTATTCTATATATCATCCTTATTTTTTTTTAAGTCTATGCCATCTGGGTTACTCCTCTATTTGATCACCAATACCTTCTTTCAATTACTCACTACCCAAATTTGTAAACTCAAAATTGTTGAAAGGTTTTTGGACTTACCTCCACTATATTCCAGGGGCTTATCCATGCAGAAGGATGGGAAACCGACCGATTATTTCGATTCCAGACGAAAAAAGGGTGTTCACATGAACGACTTATTACAAGATAAGTTCATGTAAACTGATTCATTTACGTACGAGGGGGTGTGTACCATAGGAGAGGGGAAAGAAGGAGAACAGAAAGAAAAAGAGGAGAAAGTAAAAGAGAAGAAAGAAAAAGAGAAGAAAGAAAAAGAAGAGAAAGTAAAAGAGGAGAAAGAAGCCAAACAAGAAAAAGACGTGACACCAGAACTGTAATTGTTTCATAAATGCAGGGTCTATGCCTGCTCATGTATATTTCACCTACGCCCAATAATATTGGATATTCTCACATGTACACTACCCCTACATCCTTTATCAAATGCAACTATGGGATGGCCAACACTTTTGTCAATCAGTACAAGTTCGGAAAAAGTGAATTTATGTGTTATAGATATACATTTCTATTTTTTGGACATGTTGGACCAGAAAATTTTTTCACTACATTTTTTTTGTTATGCAGTCTCTATATTTTGTGCGTTCTGCTATCATTTTATTATTGTCACTTTATCATTTTGTCGTTTTATCACCATCATTTTTTTTTTTTTTTTTTTTTTTTTTTTTTTTTTTTAAATTATGCAGTGCATCCACTTTCATATAAACTTTCGTACCACTTAGAAGAACTTTTTTAAAATACAACATAATTCTTTTTGAATAAGCTGAGTAAAATGCTTTTTTTTTTTTTTTTTTTTTTTTTTTTTTGTGTGTGTGTGTATGTGTTTGCTACTTGAATGTATTTTCCACTGTTCATTCGTATAAGCACGGAATAAAGAATGTCAACACATATGCATGAGGAAGAAGGTGAAAATATTTCTAGGAAACAGAAACTTCAGGAACATATTTAAAAAGATATGTGTAAAACACAGAGGATAGTAAGGGAAATGAAATAATGGAAGAAACTGTGACTGCAATTTTTTCCTTTTTTTCCAGTTTTATCCTTTTTTTTCTTTTTTTTCTTTTTTATCCTTTTTTTCCCCTTTTTCCCATTTTTTTTTTTTTTATTCAAAAGAAAAATATAAAGATTTTCATATTCATATGTGTGAACACACACTAGAACAGCTTAGGTAGGCTTTTTTTCTTGGGTATTTAATTTATTTATATATATTTTTTTTTTTAAACAGTAAAATAAAAATGTAAGACTAAAATAGAGGAAAATATATATCACACGGGATATTTTCCTCTTCTGTGAAAAAATTGTAAAAACGAACAGGAAATTTTATTTAAAAAAAAAAAAAAAAAAAAAAAAAAAAAAGATATGTTTTGTTACCCATGACTATATTTTTTCTCTGCATTTTTACTCTTACTATACTTTCCTTTCTCCCTTTTCTTTTTCATATAATTTGTTTTTTTATTTTTTATCTTTTACTTTTTATTTTCCATTTTGGATTTACTTTTTTTTTTTTTTTTTTTTTTTTTTTTTTTTTTTTTTTGTGTGTTTCCTTCATGTATCTGCTCATTTTCAGAAAAAAAAAATAAAAAAGCTTAAACAATGTTTTTTCTTTTTTTTTCTTCTTTTGTTGACACCTATTCGGTATTTACATTTTCACTTATCCTATCTGTTCTATTTTTCATTAATCCTTTTTTTCTGTCCCTTTTTCCTCCCTCATCCGCTTCATCACACAATTTCCCGTTTAAATTTTGTGTACACTTGTTTAAACATATATATTCCCATATTTGATGATAACTTTTTTTATGTTCTTTCTTCCTATATGTTTTTATTTGATTTTTCTTCGATTTTTTTGTTTTATCAAATAAGTTTTCCATATAATATTCAAAAAGAGGAGAAGAACAGGAATAATAATTTTCTGTGATATGCAACAATTATATTTGTGCATGTAAAAGTAACAGCAGATTTTTTTTTTTTTTTTTTCTGTTGTTCTTTTTTTTTTTTTTTTCCACTTTGTTCTTTTCTTTTTCTTTTTTCGTCTCCTCTTCTTTTTCTTTTTTCGTCTCCTTTTCCTTTTCTTTTTTTCCCCTCTTTTCTTTTTTTTTTTTTTTTTTTTTTTTTTTTCTTGTTATTCTATTTTATCCTTTTTGAAATCGAAAAATTGAAACTATAAAAGGACTCACATTTTTACATGTTCAAGTGGTACTTTTTTTTTTTTTTTTTATGCGTCATCTTATTCTATGGCAAACTGCTTCAACAAACCCTGAACGTAATATTTTTATTCAGTTTTTATAAGTGTCATATACATCACATTGCACACACCCATTTTTCTCTTCATCTGGGCAATAGAAAAAAGTTCAAAGTTGTTCCATTTAACATAACCATAAGTTTAGGTTGATATATAACTCATTCTTACAGAACAAATCCCGTGGCCATCCTTCTCCTCATTTCTACAACATCTGTGCTGTCATATATGCAACCCAACTGTCTCATACACAACACGCACGCTTAACACGCATACACTTGCATGCAAGTCTTCCCATTCATGGATTCCACCAACTATCCATAATTAAGAAAAAAAATAAATAAAATGTGCAATCAAAATGAAAAAAGTTGAAAACGTAAATTGTGAACCCGAGGAGAAACCAAGTGAGCGCGAAAAGAGTTCCAATAATGAAAATAAAATAAACCACTTTAATGAAAAAGATGAAGAGAATACTTTATCTAGGATGCAACATGACGCTAGTGTGTCAATAAATGAGACTAATGCATCGACAAATGAGACTAATGCATCGACAAATGAGACTAATGCATCGACAAATGAGACTAATGCATCGACAAATGAGACTAATGCATCGATAAATGAGACTAATGCATCGATAAATGAGACCAATGCATCGATAAATGAGGCTAATGCATCGATAAATGAGACTAGTGAACATAGCATACAAGGAGAAGAAACTACTATTACCACCATTAGTAAGAATCAGAATGTATCACACGAGGTCATCACCGACCAGGGTCGTCTAACAACAGGCAAATCGCACACCGATAGCCATTCTAATGGTAAATCATTTAACGAAGATGTTGAAGATAAAATAATCAGGAAATATCTGAGTAAGCAAATGAGCGATATAGGTTTAAATCTCATCAAAGAGAGTGGAGACAGTGAAGAAACAAAAGAAAGTAAAAAAAGAAGAAACGATGGAGATGCAAATGGAATCCACAAACTTCCACCCGAACGTTCGTCCAAATTTGCACATGAACATGTTAACATTATCACTGACAGTAGCAGCAGCGATGATGATGTTTCAATATTGAAAAAGCTCAACCTTGCAAAGGTAAAAATAGGAGAAAAAAAAAAGCCAAATATGGGAACGTCGGATGTAGGAGGTACAATTTTAAAGATAAAGAAAACAAATGAAGGTACAGAAAAAATAAAAAGCATAAAGCGTTCAAGATTCAGTGACGATATAAAATGTGCAAATAAAAAAAAGAATGAAAATACAGAAACAGATGTAAGCAGCGATGACGAATACTTAATAAGTTTAATTAACAATAACAGTAGTAGTGATAAATTATGTGATGTAAAAAGATGCGAAAGTGTAAAAAGGAACAGTACACATCTATTAAATGGGAATGTTTTAAAAAAAAAAAGACTAAGTGATGCAGCAGATGAAGAACATACCCCTTCCGGAGAAGAACGTAGCATATCCAGCTTGGATTCGGATGCACCACTCCTTGTTAAAAGTAAATTAAAAAATAAAGTGAATGCATATTCGCGAGACACAGGCAATAAAAACAGAAATAGTAGCAATACTTGTAGTACCAGCAATAGTGGAAATAGTGGCAGTGCCAGCAGCGGGAACCTGAAGCAAGGCGTCCATCATAGCAGTGAAAGCAAAAAAATGAATATTCCGAAAAAAAATAGTGTAGTGGCTCAAGTAGCCAAAAGTAATGTAAATGAAAAGAAAAGGATTGCAAGTGAAAACAGGAAATCCTTAAAGAAGAAAAAAAAAAAAAAGATAAAAGTAAAAAGGGCAAAAATAAGGAAAAAAATAAGGAAAAAAATAAGGAAAAAAATAAGGAAAAAAATAAGGAAAAAAACGAGAGAAAAAGTACCACGGGTTTGCAGAAAGTTGCCCGCAAGAGCACCTCCACGGAGGTACGCCTAAGTGGCGTAGCTGTGAAAAATAAAAAGATACAAAAAAAAAAAAAAAAAAAAAAAAAAAGCGAAGCGAAAAAAATAAAAAAACGCACAAAATCAAAGGTGGCAATCATGTAATTATTAAAGATAAGCATAAACATAAGCAACATACACATAGAAATGATGAAGATTATGAAAATAGCTACAATAACGACAATGAAACAGATTCCATTGTTATAGGTACATTTGACCCCCATAATAGGACACCAAAGGAAAAACTTGTGGCCCAGCTACTCATTCGCTGGTGGTACGTTCTCCCAGATTGGCCAATACCAGATTTCAACTATGAACCCGAATTGACAAAAAGAAAATTGAAGTTAGTCTCTTTGGAAGAATATGAAGACAAAGAGGATATAGACAAAGATGGATTCAAGAAAGTATACCAAATTTCTGCATTCCCTGGAGTTTTTAGAGATGCAACAGGAAAGGCATACGACTTAAGAGACAAAGACACATGTCCATGTTACAACAATTTAATTAAAAAAACGGACATCGAGCTCTTGCAACTTATATGTGAAGCCATTAAAAATCAAATCAAGTCTTTGAAAAATTCCCCCTATAATGAAACGTATAAGGAAAAAACACTGGAAAAGGAGTTAAAAGATGTACAAGTGAAACTTAACCGAATTACAAAAAAAAATGAAACAAAAAAAAAACATGATGGGGGAGAAGCGAACGAAGCGAATGAAGCAGACGGAGCTGGCGAGGCAGACAAAGTAGATGAAGGATAAGAAGAAAAACAACAAATGGTAAAACTTAGTGGTGTATTTTTTTTTTTTTTTTTTTTTTTTTTTTTCCTCCACCCCCTCCTATCAGGAGAACTTTCCCAGGAGAAAAAGTCTATCTCTTCCCATCGATCCATTCATCACAGGGTCGTATTTGTTTGATCTAAATTTTTCAGGCAAAAAAAAAAAAAAAAAAAATGTTCCCAAAGGGGCATCATCTCTATGCCGTTCTTTTCTTTTTTTCTTTTCTTTTTTTCTTTTTTTTTTTTTTTTGTGTGTGTGTGTGTGTGTGTGTGTGTGTGCATATACAAGGGAAAAGTTGCTCACAATTGTTTCAGGGATCCAATGGTTGGCCCCATATAGGAGAGGGATAAATAACCGGCGAAATTGTCATTCTTTTTTCACACTTTTCACTTCTTTCCATTTTTATTCCTCCCCATTTTTACTCTTCCCATTTTCACGCCTCCCCAGCTGTGCCTCATTTCATTACAAAGTTTATTACTCGATTTGGAATATACACAACGTTGACAAGTTTTTTCCCTCTTTTATTTTCTTTTTCGATTCGACCCCGTATCACATTTGTGGCCTCTCGTATGACATTTTGTGAATGATTCGCATAATCGGGGTGTTTCTTCACATTTTCACAATCCCTCGATTTGTTCGAAACTTCAGATGTGTCAATATCAATAAAGGCCACGTGCTTATTATTCAATCTAATGGACAGCCTGTTCAATTTCTCTTCCTTCAATTGAAACAGTGATGGCCACCTGGAAAAGAACATTAATTTGGAATTACAAAAATAGCAAATATGCTTTTTTTTCTCCTTTTTGTACTTTTTCAAATAATAAAACCAAAATTCTTCACAAATGTGTGGGCAAAATGGATATAATAATTTAATAAATATTAAAAAGATCTTTAAAGGTACATAATCCCAATTTTTTATCTCATTGAAAAACATCATAAAAAAAGACACAGCCGTGTTTAGCTTCATAGTATTTATACATGTAGTTATTTTATTGATGTAATAATTTGCTTTTTCTTTTTTTTCCTTTTCAATTTCCTTGTTTTTCTTTTTTATTATAATGCTTGATAGTTCTTTCGATAAATGATCTTCACTTTTCAATTTATGAAAATACTTTTTTAATAATACTACTTTTTCTTCAAACATTTTTCTATCTCTCTCATCATGCCCTTTCCCACTTCTAATTTTATCAAACTTCAGGATTAATTGTTTATTTCTTTTTTTTCTCATACAAGATAAGCAAATTATATCGTTATTGTTATAGTACCCCACAGTATTAGATTCTGTTTCATACATATCATTCTTGTTTTCATTTATTTCTAAATTAACAGTTCCTTTTCGTTCATTATGTTGGTCTTCCCCTATCTGAACATTAGAAGAAACAATTTTACTTTCACTTGGTTCCTTCTTCTTTCCAAATTTTCCCATCTTCTCATCCCTCTTGACATTCGTCGTTTCTCTTGTTTTTATAAAAAAATTATACAATTTGTTCAAGAACTTAAAGGTTCCTTTTATTCCTTTTAAATTCCATTTTTTATTTTGATCTATGGGTCCTAAAAATAGAATGTGTAAACGTAAACAATCCGACCCATATTTCTTCACTACATCATTCGGATTAACTGTGTTACCTTTCGATTTAGACATTTTTTCAAAAATTGCTTTAACTTCAATATCTGGATATTTCTTTAAATAATATTTTCCTTCTCTTTGAATTACATATTCTTCATCAATTTGATACTTTTTGTATTTCTTCCCTACCATTATTGGTTTAATTCCTCTTATCATTTTTTCTATTGCATTATTTATTTCTTTTTCTTTTTCCTTTTCTACACAAAGCGCATCTGTCTCTTCGCCTCTACCATTTTTATTTTTCATATTTCTCTCATGCGAATGGTTCATTTCGGGATGCTCTATTTCAGTCCCATTCTCACTCCCTTCTTTAGCACCCATGTTAAGTTCACCTTTTGCATCGCCATTGTTACTTCTACTGGTGATGCAACTTCTACTATCACTGCAAGTGCTACTATCACTGCAATTACTACTATCACTGCACCTGCTACTTCCACTAGAGCCCGTGTTTGTATCTGCACATCTGTCATGTATGACCCCACGTGATGCACCTCTCCCGTTTTGTGTTTGCTCACGCAAAACAGCAGAGTAGCTAATCAGATTACCCATGCGTGTGGTGTAAACAAAAAATGATGTTGCACTAAGCAAGATCCCTTGATTAAACAATTGCTGAAAGGGTTCTTTATGATTAACCAATTTGAGGTCATACAAAAACTTGTGGAAGAATCTTGCATAAAGCAAATGTAGCACAGCATGTTCACTTCCTCCAACGTATAAATCAACAGGAAGCCACAATTTTACTTTTCCTTTATCAAAAATTTGTTCTTTATTTTTCGAATCCAAGTATCTTAAGTAATACCAACTAGATCCAGCCCACTGAGGCATTATATCACATTCTCTCTTGTACATAACATTATTTTTTTTTTGAAAAATCCATTTTTTAAATCTCGAAAGGACAGGCGTATAACTTTTATTTTTGCTTTTACTAACTTCATATATTCTTTTATCAAACTTTGGTAGATGTACAGGAATATTGTCTATGTATATGTCACTATCCAATGAATTGCAGATATTTTTAATTTCAATGTTGGAGTCATTGGTGGATTCTTTCTTTGGGGTGGAGGAGTTGTCATTCGAGTGGGTAGCATTTTCCATATGAGGAGATTCCTCCCTCGATGCATTTGGCTTCGCCTCCAATGATTTCAACTCCTCATTCTCTTTTGTGCTTCTCACTGGGAAAAGAAATGGAAAAGGTTCTCCCCAATACCTCTGTCTCGAAAAAAGCCAATCCCTCAAATTATAAACACTTTTTCTTTTGCCATAATTAGATGCACGCAAGAAGTTGTGAGTCAATTCCCTTTGTCTAGTTTCACTCACTTGTGTGACATTTCCCTTTTTCACAAAAAGAATATTCCTATTATTTTCTAATATGAATGCACATACAAATATAGGAATATACTGATTGATTATAGGGTTGTAAATAACCGAACCCGTGAAATAAATACTTTCATTTTTTAGTCTCTCATTATCGCTCTGTTTAACCGTTTTTCTCACGAAGTTTAATAAATATTTTCTTTTATTTACAATTTGCTTGATGTTCGGGTGGTTAACACTGATTAGAATTTTATCTCTCTGAAAAATGGCTTCTTTATAATTTAAAAATATTTTCACATACAAATCTTTCTCATTTTCTATTTTATAGCTTTCCACTTTTAATAAATCTTCTTTTTTATTTTTACTCTGGTCTTTTTCTGAACTTTCCCATAAAGAGCATATCCTGTGGAAACTTGGTTCTACCTCACTTAGTAAATTCCATACTTCACCCTCCTCCTCCTCCTTTTGTACCTCATAATTCTCACGATTACAATCAAGATGAATCGGATGTAAAAAATCATCTAACTTGTCTTCTGTATGATCCACATCTTTTAGTCCCTTTTTCTCCTTCACATCACGATCAGGCCACTTTGAGTGCATCTGATAGGTAGCTAAAGAGGAAGCGTCATCCTCTTCTAACCCTCTTACGAATGAGGAAAAGAATTCATAGCGAGAAACACCATGCAAAGGTGCATCATCTATTTCATGCGAATACAAATAATTAAACAAAAGCGTGAGTTCTACATTTCTGTAGATGCTACTGTAATGAACATGCGTCATGAACTTACATGAACGTTCATATAAAAATGTCTGATTAACCCATTCGTCAAAAAGTATAATTCTAGCTTTTATAATTATTCCTTTTTTTTCACCTATCCAATTAATTTGCATATTTTTTATTTTCTCTGGCCAGTTGATAAGTTTCAAATCATCAATTAGTCTATTTGCATATTTAGTAATCCTAAGATACCATTGTAATAATTTCATTTTTTTAATTTTTAAAAATTCTAAATTATTCATTTCATTTTTCATCTCATCATTTGAAATTACACAATTAATTCTTTTTGACCAATTTACATAAGACTTCTTTTTATATCCTAATCTGTTCATATACATTTGTATGATAATCCACTGAGTCCATTTATAAAAACTTTCATCACATGTGTTAATTTCTTCATCCCAATTAAACAGAAATCCTAACTTTATTAGCTGCTTTTTAAAATTCAAAATATTCTTCTTTATAATTATTCTTGGATCTACTTTCAATTTCATTGATAATCTGTCACATGGTAATCCGAAACTATCCCATCCGATAGGGTGAAAAACACAATGATCGTTCATACGTTTGAATTTACTAATCACATCTGTTATTGTAAAGCAGAGAATATGACCCATGTGAAGTCCTTGGGCTGATGGGTATGGAAACATATCCAAGATGTAAAACTTTCTTCTCAATTTTCTTCCTTCACCATTTTCATCTCTTCCTTTTATTTTGAAGTTCTCTTCAGCATCACTACTTTCGTCTCTCCCTTCTTTTTGGAAATCTTCCTCTGAATCACTCCTGTCGTTCCCAATATTTTTTCCCACAAACTGTTTGTTGAATTGTTCAAAGTCTCTATCCAACAGTCTCTTTGAATTCCACACGATTTGCCATTTCCTCTCGATGGATCTAAAATCATATGCTTTTACCCTATACACATATCTTTTCCTTTTCCCATTTCTTGTAAAGGTCATACCATGACCTGGGTGTACGAACGAATAAGTACCATCTTTAAATGGAATTTTTATTGAAAACACATTATTATCCTTTTTACATACCAGTAAGTAGTATATGACAATTGTTAGAATTAAGCTGAATGGCATGCCACAGACATGTTATGTGTAATGCTCTAGCGGAGAAAAAAATATATATATATGAAAAAATATGCAAAAATGGGCAAAAATGGGCAAAAATGGGCAAAAATGGGCAAAAATAGGTTAAAAAAGGAGAAGAATAAACAGAATGGAAGACGAACGATTCACAAAACAACCCCCATGAGGTGCACCTTCTTTTTTCTTCTTTCTTATTTATACCATATTTGTCCCTCACATTGAGTATGTTTTGTGTAATCTTCTTAAAAATATATATAGTAAGTGTTAATGAAAAAAAAAAAAAGGCACGGGAGGAAAAACTTCTCTCAAAAATAGTCTTCTTATTCTTCTCATCAGCGTGTAGGTATAAGCCCATAGTCACATGAACTCAACAATTAGAAGAACAACAACAACATAGTGTTATGTCAATTTCTGAAGATCTATCAAAAAAGAAAAAAAAAAAAAAAAAAAAAAGAAGGGAAAAAGGCTGAAATTGTGTGTACACGTCAAATTTCATCAAATTGCAAATATGTTTAGCGAAGGATATATGCACAGGCAAAAGTAGAGGAAAAAAATAAAATAAAAAATAAATGAAGTAATAAAAATCATAAAGGGCTGCATCTTTTTTTTTTTTTTTTTTTTTTTCTTGCCCCTATCTATTTCTCCAATTTGTTGTGCAAACGTCCCGACCAACGCCACGGCGTGTTCAGAAAATAAAAAAAATTATAGCAAACCTGTCAAGTCAGAAAACCATGATGATACAAAATTGAGATAATACAAAATTGAGATGACACAAAATTGAGATAACACAAAATTGAGATAACACAAAATTGAGATAGCACAAAATTGAGATAGCACAAAATTGAGATAGCACAAAATTGAGATAATACAAAATTGAGATAATACAAAATTGAGATAATGCAAAACCGTGATGTTGGCATTGCTTGCCCCACCCAAGGCCTCTAAACAGCGCGCCTCCCCTCTACCAAATAAATTGGCATTTTTTCTTTTTTTCCTTCATTCAGATTAAGAATCAATTTAATACTTATCATATGTCATAAGAAAGTTCAATTAACTTAAAAGGGAGTGTATTCATGAAGATATTACAAAAATGGCTATCGAACAACATCATCAGATGTGGCAAATGTTATAGATTCAATCAGTGTGTAAATCATGCTGGAGTCACCAAAAAGAATTACATGAAGTTCTCGACAAGGAAAAAAAAAAACAATGCAATAGAATGTGCTGGTAGTGAAACAAATTCAGAGGTGAAAAAAAGGAGTTTATCAGAAGTAGGAACATACAGAGAATACAAAATTCAAGATGGGATGATGCAAAGTATGTCTCATGTGAACCTTCCAAATGGTGAGGTAAGACGTCGAGTAGGTAACTTATCACCACCCAAGGAGCTCCCTGATGAAAGGAGAGTAACGCAAGCGCTGATAAACAGAACGAGAGAAGAGACAGTAAAAGATGCAGAGAAAGAGGCAGGAAAAGAGGCAGGAAAGGAGGCAGGAAAGGAGGCAGAAAAAATGATCCTTTTAATAGACCAACTGGCACTTGAAAAAGAACACACGAGTAGCGGCTTTCTTGATTTCTTAACCTTATCAATCCTACATAAACACGATATTGAAAAAGAAAAGAAAAAAAAATTCATATGTACGAGCAAAATTAGATGCTTACTAAAGGAGTACACAAATTTCACCATTAAGCATAAGCAATATTCTTATTTGTTCAACATTTTCGAGTTATCCTGCATATATAACATAGTAGATATGAAATTGTATCGAAATTTAATCCATAAAATACTTATACACACAAGAAATGAAGAAGAAAAAGTTATTCAGTGCTACTGCATAATAAAACACCTAAGTGAGAAAAACATGTACGACCGGGTAATTGGTATATTGCTTTCCAAGTACCTTTTTAACGATTCTTTTTTCAAATTTCTCCATAGGAACTCATGCATCAAAAGCAATTTTGTAATTCTTCTGAATTATTTAACTGAATCGGTTATGTGTTCTTCCAACCGTACTAATATGCTTGCATTGCATACAGTATTCAAAAAGTACATGCATTATTTTAATAACAACTTAAAAAAGGATATAGAACCCAAACTTGTAAATAATGCAGATGAGTTAATCAAAATGCAGGAAATTTTTGTAAAAACGAGTTTCTATGACAATGAATTCAATTTATTAGTTAAAAGGTATATACACACATGTACATCTTACGTGAATCCATTCGACACCTTACTTCTATACTCGAATGTGCTACTTAATTTTACTAAAAATGATTATATTATTTTAGATCCAAACGAAGAACTACATGCAGAAACACAGATGGAGCACAACAAGGAGAAGAAGGAGACGAAGGAAATGAAGAAGGAGAAGAAGACGGAGGGAAAACATTCCAAAACGAATTTCGATAAAAGGTATAGAAATTTCTTATCAACAAAATCTATGATAAATATAGTTATAAGAACGAATGACTATTACATATCAAATACTTGTAACGAGGTCGAGTATATCCAAAGATACCTCGTTTTGACATCCTACTGCCATTTCACTTTATTCTCCAATTGGTGGGATGACACAGTAATAAATGAAAAATTAAAAAAAAAAAAAAAAATTTACAAAGGAGTTGTTCGATCAAGAATTCCAAATAGAAATCATATGGTAGATAAAATATCGCATCTGTTAAATATATTACTATACAAAAACAAGAGTTTTAGTTATCTCAATGAAGAACGTGCGAACGAGGATTCTTTACAAATTTCGACAACCAAAAAAATAATCAGAAAGGAGTCAAATCGGCCGAATCAATCGAATCAATCAAACCAATCAAATCAATCGAATCAATCGAATCAATCAAACCAATCAAACCAATCAAACCAATCAAATCACCGAAATTCAGGAAACCCGAGGTATTTTCCATACATATTCAAATCATTCATTCGTACATCACTATTTAAGCCAAAATTGCTACATGACCAATCTTTTATTTTATTTTTTGAAAAAATTTTTTCGCACACTATTGATGTGTTCATTGATAATTATGAAAAACCTCAAAACGAAGTAAAATATCTCAACCAAGATTATCAATACAATCAAACGAACGACAAAAGTGAAGAACTAAATACTCTTATCAGCCGGGTTAATTATGTATCCGATCATTTACTCAATTTTATGAATACTTCAAAATGTAAAGATGAATATCTTCATTTTCATGACAAAAATAATCAACATTATGACATGAATGAAAATTTCACTTTATATGAGCTTAGTTCAATATGCGAATGTTTCTTCCTTGTGAAGCTCATGCAAGAAAGTGTATCCCTTGAAGGAACCCCGTTAACAGAAAATGGAACTTGTACTATCACTTCATCAGTTAAATTACACAAAGATTCATATAAGTACACTATCGACAAATCAGTAGATATATTCGAGAGAACATTTTATATATTTTTGGAAAAGCTAAATTTTTCAAATGACCAGAAAAGAAGTAATAAAATCCATGTTATGTTAGAAAAAGGTGATATGAACGAAATTTTAAAAAAAAAAATAATGTCGTCCTCAGAACCGATTTTTCTTTATTATTTATTTTTAAGAATAATTTTACCACACATCTTTAGTGACACTCGTGAAGAATCTTTAAACGTGACTAAAATGACAATTTCATACATCTTGTCATTTCCATTTCGAACAGATATGTTTGTAGAATCTCCATGTGCACAAATGAACGAGTCAATGTTTAACCTTCATCATGTTTTAAAGAAATTAATTCAGTGGGAAAATTCTATTATAACTATAAACAATCAAAGAAGAATTAGAAAACAAATAAAAAGGAAAAAACATCCATTTGATTTCTTATATGCTGGTGAATTTCTTCGTCCATCCTCTATTTTTATGCTTTGTTTAAATGAAATGACAAGATGGGAAGATGTTTACCTTCCATTCTTGAAAGAAGTTTTTAAAATGGATCATATATCCGATGAAAAAAGAACAAGCGTTTCAGCTCTTATTAGAGGTACCATAGAAGGGAACCATCTATCACACTTTTCTATTTCTAGATTTTTAAAGAAAATGCGAACTTCTGCACCCATGGTCACGTCGTGTCCATGATTAAATTCAGTCTTCTTTTTATTTGCATCCTTTCATTTGTGATGGTGAGAAGTGCCCACCTTCATATTTATTAATTTGTTGATTTGTTGATTTGTTGCTTTGTTGCCTTGTTGATTTGTTGCTTTGTTGCCTTGTTGATTTGTTGATTTGTTGATTTGTTGATTTGTTGATTTGTTGATTTGTTGATTTGTTGATTTGTTGATTTGTTGATTTGTTGATTTGTTGATTTGTTGATTTGTTGATTTGTTGATTTGTTGATTTGTTGATTTGTTGATTTGTTGATTTGTTGATTTGTTGATTTGTTGATTTGTTGATTTGTTGATTTGTTGATTTGTTGATTTACTAATTTGTTGACTTACTAATTTGCTAATTTATTAATTTTTTTTTTTTTTTTTACTACATATCTGTGCCCCGAATTTTGTAATTCTCCCGTTCCGGCTCAAGGATTCGGTGACCGTTTGTAGACATAACTTTCGTGAAACCCAACTCAGGAGGGTATTCCTATCCATACGATGGTTATGACGAATAGCTCGATTTGGTTCCATCCGATGGGGCTTATTTCAGTAGTTGTGTCGTTTCATCTACTTCTCTAGCGTCTGCTTCTTTTTCTCCAACACCACTCAGACTCATTTTCATCTCATAAAGGGCAAAATAAAACATGTTTAAAGCAAAAAAAAAAAATTCGCATAAAACTAATGATAAAGCCTGCATGGCATATCTGTAACAAATAGTCGAATTGGCAAGTATAAAACAATTATGACACAAATGGATGAAAAGCTGTAATATAGGGACTTTTGAAAGCTGAAGAATAAGAGGAAAAAAAAAAAAAAAAAAAAAAAAAAAAAGGACGGGGAAGTGTGAATTTTATAATAGTGAAAAGTTATGGTAGCATATGTTCTGGTGAGCAGATTTCAAAGTTGTCTTTTCTCTCTCTCTCTCTCTCTCTCTATATATATATATATATATATATATATATATTTCTCCATTTCTCTCTCTTTCTGCATGATCGATTTTGAATCTTAGCGCGCATAAATTGTTCGAAATTGTCGCTTCTGAAAACTGGGAAGTCATACAAATCGTATCCTATAAACTTGTTGTAATGACAAGCGAAAAAAGCCCCACAGAGAAATCCTCCAATGTGTCCAAAAAAATCAACAGTTGGAGAAAAACTAAGAAACAAAAAAAATAGCAAAAATATAAATACATTAAAAATATAGTACTTCTTAGCCTTTCTTGATAAATTATTCCAAGCTAAAAATATTTCAAGAATGGAACATCCAATTAATCCGAAGCCACTTGTTGATGCTCCAACGGCTAGCTGGCATGGATTACAAATTGTCGTTAATGTATTTCCAATAAACCCTGACATGATATATAAGAGGGAAAATTTCCCTCTCTTGTATTTGCCTTCAATTACTAGCCCTAAATTTAGTATACATATTATGTTTATTATTAAATGCCACCAATTTGCGTGCAGAAAAATTGGAAATAATAGTCTCCACAATTCTCCCTGTCTGTTCAGGTGGGGTTTTGCCCGAGTGACGGTGTGTGTGTGCATTGTGTGCGTGCATGTGTCATATATTTTATACGTTTATGTATTTGCACATATAAATATACAAAATATGCAAATATGCAAATGTGCAAATATGTAAATATGTGAACATATTTACATATACATGCACGCGTGCTCATTCATGTGTTAATATATTTATGAACACATGGAATAACAGAAAAAGCACAACGTCGTTCCAAACTAAAAACATGTTCTGAATTATAAAGGAAGAAACACGTATACGCCTTTTTGGAAAAAAGTGTATAACTGCTTCTATGCATTGTACTTAATGGAGGGCCCATAAGTAGCACCTAGGAACATCAATATCTCTACATTGGGTGCCAATAAATTTTCACTCAAAAGACAACTCAAAATGTAAATGATAACTTGAGCTAAACTTATCCAGACAATGATTCTGCAATGATGTAACAAGGATATAAACAACGGATGAATTCCATTCGAAGTGACATATACAAATAAAATCATCATGCGAATCTCTCTCTCATAAAATTTATTTCGAAGATATGTCTATAACAAAACATATTTACTTATTTAAGGATATATCAGGCATAAGCATGTCATAAAATGTATCTTTTTTATTTCTGCCCACTAAGGGAATATTTTCATTCACCTCATTGACATCATTTTCATTTTGTAAATTTTCTCGTAACATTTTCCTCAATTTTTATATTATATATAAAATGAAGGGATCAAATGATATACAAAATTACATATCTTTTTATACATACTATGAGGGGTTATTTTATTTTTTGTTTACAAGATTAGACATTATTCGTACTTGCATTTTTGGTGAACAGGGGGAAGATTAAATCAATGCAATACAGTCATCACACACATTTATATACTAATTTATATATACATTTAATATACACATATGTTGTACACATACAAATGAGTATACTTGTAATTGCAATGGACATTAAATCTATTGCAAAACTGTCTTTTCATCTATTTTATATGTGTAGAATACACAACCTCATGAAAAATTTCCAATTCGATTATGGTAATGCACTGGTGTGAACTTGCTAACTTGGTGTATGCGTGAAATTTACCGTTGCACATTTTGCATGCTCGTTATAATCGCGAATGAGAAATGAGTAGAAAAAAAAAAAAAAAAAAAAAAAAAAAAATCTTTGTAAATACACGCATTTCCTGTTTTCCTTACCCACCCATTTGATCCATCTCCTTAAATACAAACATGAACGAGCTTTCTATAATAACTAAAAGAAAGAATTTAAAATGGAAAAATACATAAAACCGCGTGTCAATGTGATATGACCATATCCATTACTCCGAATGGCAACTAATTCAAGTCCCTTTATGTTTTTGATCTTCTCAAAAAAATCGAATTGTCTCAAAAGGGCGTAAAGGTAGTAAGTTTTCCAAGAACAACAACGTACATATAATCTGGTTAAGCCGTAATAAAAAGGCTCTTTTTTCTTTTTCTTTTCCTTTTCTTTTTTTTTTTTTTTTTTTTACTAAATTCCATTGTACCTAGTCAGCCGGTTTCGTTTACTACTCCCCAATATGACGAGATACATTTATTTTGTATACCACGTCTTTACATAATAGTTGAAAAAAAAAAAAAAAAAAAGGCAAAATAGTTCTTTCGTCTTTTCTTCAAATGATATTTATTTAGTTTATATCAAGTGAGGTAGCAAGTAAATTCTCATTATAGTGTGGTATCTCACTCATCTTGGTTGCATTTAAAATTCTTAAAAAAAAAAAAAAAAAAAAAAAATTCATAAATGACATTAAATTAAAAATTATGTAAAAAAAGGATACAGATTTGCCCAGCAAAAATGTCGCTTTATGCACACGAATCAACAAGGGGAATAGTTTTTTTTTTTTTTTTTTTTTTTTTCTTTTTTCAAATAAAGTTATGTTCCTCTATTTTTGTTTTTCATCTTATGAAAGGATGTGTACACATCCTCCAAATAGCTGCACGCATGAATGGTTTTATCAGCAATGACAATACATAAATTGTTAAAGAGTATAAATAAAACACATGTGTTACTAAATCATGGGATTATACTAAAAGTCCCCACTTTTTTTACACACCATTCTCCTCCAATAATTTGACAATAATTTTGGTGTAAAACGAAAATCTCCTTACAAGCAACAATGAAAAAAAATAATAAAAAAAAATCTCACAATTGCAAAATTGCATTCAAATCAAATGTGAAGAAAAACATACGTTGTTGTGTTTTTACTTTTCCTGGGTGCACAATTCTTTATATAAGAGCTTGTTCATTTTGGGAACTTTTTATATATTCTTCTTTATTTTAATTTAATTTTTTTTCTAGGGTTACTCAAATGCAACTATTTCTTCCTTATTCATATGTCACGTGTGCCAGTCTCATTATTCTGTTATTCCCATTTATCCCTTGGTCTTTCACATTTTCACTCTTTGTCATTCGATAATCCCAATACAAGAATGTGCCTTAAAAATACAATTGAGGTACCTCTTCTTTTTTTTTTTCTTTTTTTTCCTTCCCCAATTTAAACATGTAACTTACGCAGCCTAACATTATATACATGCAAAATGGGGTGTATATAAAATGGTTCCGCTACATATGCTTAGAATCAATTACTTATAAAATGTGGAATTTCTTTTTTCTTTTTTAAGGCATCATATATATATGGGTAAAACAATACATTATACATGTGCATCATAACTCAATGTTGATCCCTGTGAATTCGACACACGTAAGTTATCACCTGGGTTGGCAGTTCGGGGTTAATCACACCCACGATCTCATATATATAACATCGTGCACATGGGCAGTATGCATTGTGGTATTTGTGTATAATACGAAAAAATACATTATGTATGCGTTCATATGTATTCATACATGATAAGAAAGGGAAAAAAAAAAAAAAAAAAAAAAAAAAAAAAAAAAAAAAAAAAAAAAAAACCCAAGTTAGGCACCCTTCTCAGTATAAGCAAAACATTGTTACATACAGCACACAGCAGTAAGTGTAGCTTTTTTTTTTTTTTTTTTCCATCCCCCCCTCAATTTCATAATTAAGTACACGTTTGTTTGTATTCCCCAATTCCTTCTTCTTTTATTATTATTTTATTTTATTTATAAAATTAATAACATATCTGTAACTTAAAAAAAACCAACATACTTAAAATTTAGGTTATTTATATAGTCATAATTATCGACACTTGGGATGAGTTATACCCCCCCCCTCCCTCACAACTTACCATAATGTGTTTATGCCATTTTTTGTTACCATTATAGATATATTATAATTGGTACCCCCTTTTCCCCCTTTTTTTTTTTTTTTTTTTCTTTTCCTTTTTCACCTTGCTTGTTCAGGTAAATTGAATAAAAAATTGGTAAACACATTTACGCGTGTGCTATATTACCACTTTCCAACAATACCAACACAGCTAAGATTGGTTAACGAAATGAGAGCTCAGAAAAAAGAAAATAATTCTTTTAAAGTCAAATTGGATAATTTTTGAACTCACACAACGCACATAATTCATGTAATTCCACCTGTTCCACGTAAAACCATACCCATTCTCATTTTTTTTTTTTTTTTTTTTTTTTTTCCTATTATTCCACCAACACCCCACCAAACATAGTATATCCCCTTCAGAAACGTGTCGTACACATTTTTATACTTCACACGAATTGGCTCATAAGATGAATACGAAATTTTTATTGTTCTTTTTATTCTTAAGTCCCTTTGTTCTTTACAATTATGCACGTGCTCATGAAGATCTCTTTAACGAGTTTGTGACGAGCATACACGATGGAGAATTAAATAATTTTATCACGAAGAATAACATCGTTTTGGTTATGTTTTTTGCCCCATGGTAAGATTTTGCATGCAAAAGAAAAAAAAAAAAAAAAAGTGGTAAAAATGTTTACACACCCCTGATGTGTATATGAGTATGTATGATAAGGTGCATTCCAGGAATTAAATGAAACCGAATTCCTAAACAATTCCAAGAATATCCATGCAAGGGAAAACACACCTTTGCATGCACATTTATGAACATACATGTAAAATACCATCTTACACAATCACACACATACGCTCATATAAATGTAAATCTCACAGGTGTGGTCACTGCAAGAGACTAATTCCAGAATACAACGAAGCTGCTAAAATCCTAGCAGATAACAAGAGTGAAATAAAGTTAGCCAGTATAGATGCAACTACTGAAAATGCATTAGCACAAGAATATGGAATCACAGGATATCCAACGATGATCATGTTTAATAAAAAGAATCGTGTAAATTATGGAGGAGGAAGAACAGCACAATCAATCGTAGATTGGTTGCAACAGATGACTGGGCCCGTATTTAGTGAAATTACCACAAATATTGAAGATGTGTTAAAAGAAAAAAACATCTCTGTAGCATTTTATCTTGAATATACATCTGAAGATAATGAATTGTATAAACAATTTAATGAAGTAGGGGATAAGAATCGTGAAATTGCAAAATTTTTTGTTAAAAAAAATGATAAACATAATAAAATTTTTTGTTATAGAAAAGATGAAAACAAAGTTGAATACGATGAAAAAACACCACTAAGCGAATTTGTATCTACTGAATCTTTTCCATTATTTGGAGAAATAAACACTGAAAATTATCGATTCTATGCGGAAAGTCCTAAAGAATTAGTTTGGGTATGTGCTACTTCTGAACAGTATAATGAAATAAAAGAAGAAGTTAGATTAGCCGCATCTGAATTAAGAAAGAAAACACATTTTGTCCTTCTCAACATACCAGAATATGCAGATCATGCCAGAGCATCATTAGGATTGAATGACTTTCCAGGTTTAGCTTATCAATCTAGTGAAGGTCGATATTTACTACCCAACCCAAAAGAATCCTTACATAACCATAAATCTATTGTCACATTTTTTAAAGATGTAGAAGAAGGAAAAATTGAAAAATCCTTAAAATCAGAACCAATCCCAGAAGATGATAATAATGCACCTGTTAAAATTGTAGTTGGAAATTCTTTCATAGATGTTGTTTTAAAAAGTGGAAAAGATGTACTCATTGAAATTTATGCTCCATGGTGTGGTCATTGTAAAAAATTAGAACCAGTTTATGAAGATCTTGGAAGAAAATTAAAAAAATATGATTCCATAATTGTTGCAAAAATGGATGGAACTCTTAATGAAACACCAATTAAAGATTTCGAATGGTCAGGATTCCCAACCATCTTTTTTGTTAAGGCAGGTTCGAAGATACCTTTACCTTATGAGGGAGAAAGATCCTTAAAGGGGTTCGTAGATTTTCTCAATAAACACGCAACTAACACACCCATATCTGTGGAAGGAGTTCCGGAGTTTGAAGATGGAAGTACAGATGAACTGTAAGTTATTTTGCACTTGGATGCGCGCAGTCGCAGTTGGTTACTCGTAGTTGCAGCTGGGCCACAATCAGTTTCAATGGAGAATAATTAATCAGATTGGGAAATGTATTATTCATTCATTTTTTACACATCCGGTGCTTGTGAGATTTATTCAAATAACATATCCCGGTAAAATTATTCATGAACATGTAAAGGTATTTGCTACGGGATGTGCATAAACGACATTATGTGGATTTATCAGTTGGACCTTCAAACAGCACAATGTGGAAAGAGAAGGGAAGAGAAGAAATGAAAAAAAAAAAAATAAAAAAAAAAAAAAAAAACACTTATGATTCACAAATAGAAGAGTTAAATCTTATCCTATTAGAGAAAAATTATTTTGAACAAAATGTACACGATTATCACTACCTCTTATAATTCACAATAATCGGAACAGTATACATGGTTGCTGATTGACATTTGCTACTATCGGCACTTCTCCCCTTTTCCCCATGAATATTCAGATTTTCAGAACCCATATTATTTATACATACATTCGGCGTTTACATCTGTACATGGTACACAAGTAAACGAATGAACGGATGATTGAACAAACGAATGAACGGATGATTGAACAAACGAATGAACAGATGATTGAACAAACGAATGAACGGATGATTGAATGTCCATCAAAGCCACAAGCTTTACAACAAAAAAAAAAAATAAGAAGAAAAAAAAAAAAGAGGGGATGATCTGATCTGCGTTTTCCATCTTTGTGTGGACGACAATTTACACATCTAGAGCTTGCACAAAAAAAAAAAACATTTTTTGCAAACTCATAAATTTTAGATCACATTTGGGGAGCGCATGTATTTTTTGCTGAATAAGTTTCTTTTTCCTTTTTCCTTTTTTTTTTTTTTTTTTTTCCCAAAATGCATAAAAATGCATTTCGATATATTTCAGTTGTGCTTCCTCTACTACATTTTCAGCCACGTCCACGCTGAAATGTCTACGTGAAAGCACTTGCATATAATATCCATATTAACGCACAAACAGGAACCCATGAACCCACGAATTTATGAACTTTAAGCACGTGCATGTCTTACCTGCGTAGGTTTTAAGTCTCTCCGCGACTTTCTGCTTTTCCATTTTCAAGCACCCATTTGTGTAAAATGTGAACATAAGGTGTGTATATATATATATATATATACATAACACATCCACAAAGACGTGTGTGTAACGTACAAAATTAATGTTAACATTGAAAACGTGGAGAAAAGTTTTGGGTTCTAATATGAGGAAGAGAGGATTGTTTTTAAAAGTGAAAGAGATATGCACAAACTGCCACGGTAAAAAAAAAAAAAAAAAAAAAGTAAAAATATGGCCTAATACAATATGACACATTGAAAGTGTAACAAAAGAGAGTTTACAGGTAACGGAATAAAACAAGGCAAAATATTGATCCCATGAAAATGATTCGCTTCAAATGAACCACTGCATATACCAACCGCTACACACACAGGGGAGAGACGACGTTACCCGATGTATCCTTTGCAGTTCTTCGAATTACACATGCACTTAATATTTTTGTAATTAATCCCGTAGTGATATTTCAAGGGTTCATCCGGTTTTATGTCTCTAGATGCAAAGATGCCAACAGAGGGATAGTTATCTCCACGCCAAATTGTAATAACATTAACATTAGGCTCACAGGAATGGTTTAAAAATCTAGCTACATTTGAAATGAATAAAGCATCAATACAAGGAATTTTCCAATCGTCAGTATAAGTTTCATCAACCTCAGCTGTTTCTATAAAATAATTAAAATAACCTTTCTTATCATATTCATGTTCTCGAGAAATCATTTCCTTTCTTGTAGTAATTTCTCCTACATAATGCATAATTAAAGAATTCGCTTTTATATGTGATGATGAAACAATGTCCCATCCAATATCTCGCGTTTTTACTACCTTAACAGGATAATGTAATCCTTCAGGAAATTTATTTGTGCATTTTACAGGATCGCATAAGCAATTACCTGAACATGCAGCTAAAACATTAAAGTCATTAATATCATAACTCTTATTTCCATCACAATAAACTTTATTTGTTTTTTTATGACGTAATCCTTTACAATATCCATTTATATATATTTCATCATATTCTTTTTTACTGTAATTTTGCGGTGCACAACCAGAACACAATGGTAATAAATTATAAGGTGGAAGTCTTGAAAAAAATAATGTTTTATTTACATAAGTGAAATTCATGGGAGGTAATGAATCATCTACTACATTTTCAACTGGAATTTTAAACTTTTCTTTCCCAGCAGATAAATCTTCATATGGATTCCATGTATCATCAAAAGGTTTCTTCAATTCAATATATGCTCCTATAGCTTCTTTACTTTTTATAGGTATGAATAAATGAGCTGGTCTCTTTGCCATTTCACAATTTATTGGGATATCGGTTTTTCTAATAGATATTTCTATATTTTTAAAATTTTTCGTTCGAATAATACTTGGATTTTCCTTTATTTCCTTTTCAAAGTTCAATGTTTCTAGGGTCAGTACCAATGGCAGATACTTCCCTCTGCACCAAAATGGATATTCTTCCACTTTACTCCGTCCAATTTTCGACCCTTTGTCATGCATCCCCAGCTGCATCTTATCCTGCATCTTATCCTGCATCTTATCCTGCATCTTATTCTGCATCTTATTCTGCATTTGATCTTGGTTATCATCCCTGTTCTCATCCCTGTTATCATCCCGATTGTCATCCCTCTTCTGCATCTCCTCATGTCGCAAGTGCCGCTTGCATTCCTCATACATGCGCACGTCTCTCCTAACCCATTCTGGGGCCAGCTTCTCCCTGATGCACTTGCGTCTGATAAACTTATATATGTGATTAAAATTCATAAACGTCGTGGATTTGTAATTCTTCAAGTACGGCACAGTCAAAGTCATTATAATTTCCTTGTTCCTAAAAACATTAATAGAAACGGAGTTTTTCTCAATTAAGTATTTCTTCATTTCTGATTGGTTATCATAAAATCGACAACTACGAGGAATGAAACATTTATCCACATAAAGCCTCTTAAAGACATAGAGAATATCTCTCTTATATTCTGAAGTAGAATAATCATTGGTAGTAAAAGCATTCACGATTTTGTATATTCCATCATATCGAATTCCATAATTTGGACTATATTTTGTTTTTAAATTGTTATGACGAAAAATCCGTATAGGCATTTGCAACAAATATGAATTGTACAAAGCATTGGCATAACATTTTCTCAAACTAGAAATTTTATTACTTAAAAAAGATAACAAATATCTTAAAACAAAAAAATTCCCATTATCCGTTAGCAATTCATTTTTGGAATTTAAAATTATTGATGATACAATATGTTCATTCTTATTTATGGGGTGTAAAAACAAATTATATGATGTATATTTACATAAAAAAAATAATGATATATGATAATTGTGAGAAAAATGTGTATTTACCTTGATATCCAAAATATTAAAATTGTTATTATATAACCAATCTACACTCAACATGTGCTTTTTTTCCTTTTCTGTCAGCTCGCTATTATTCATATACATCCCCACACCTCTTCCTCCCCATTCACACTCTTCCATTTTGACATTCTTACTATCACTCTCTTTGTAATCATTGCACTCGACATTATTGTTCTTATTGCATCCGCTCTTCATACTGCAATCGTAATCACGTCCTTCAACACTAGCTCCAACAACCCCACTTCCCACGCCTCCACCTCCTACCCCATTGTTATTATTGCTGCTTCTTTCAGCATGCTGAATGTTCTTAAAACTTAAACCACATTCTGTTTTCCCAAGCGTAGAATTACACGCGTTCCCATTATTACCACCATTGCCACTGCCACTGCCGTTACCTCTGCCGTTACCTCTGCCATTACCACTTCCACTTCCACCACCACCACCATTCATCAGAGACATCTTCTCTTCCTTTTTTTTCTTATTCAGCTTGTCATTTTCCATTATCATTTTGTAATTATGCTTTATCCTTTCCAAAAGCATAACATTCACGTTTTCCAATTCATTTACATCTTCGCCATATTCAGTAGAATCATCATATTCTGAATTCCTTTTTTTAAAATGAAATTCATTTTTTGTCATTTTTTCTTCACTCTTCTTTCTTGTCCTCTTCGATGCAATGCGACCTCTTCTCGTTCCTCTATTTTTCATAAGCGAAAGATTATTGTTGCAAAAATATTTCTTTCTTCCTCTTTTCATTCCTACTTTCGAGGAACCATTTTTCTTACACGGTCTTCCTAATTTACTCCTTTTTATTTCTTTCTCTTTTTTTATACTTCTGTTTCGTAATATCCATTTTTTTTTGTACACTCCCAACTCTCCATTCATTATCGATTCGGTTTCCTTATCCTCTAAACATTTATTATAATCTCTTCCATCTGGAGCAAAAGGTTCATCACCTATAATGTTATACTCACCTTTCATTCTTGTATTTCCTGAATCAACACCAATGCCTGTATCATTCCCACTCATCTGGATACACTTCTTCTTCTCATTCACATATTCTCCCCTCTCTTCATTTTTCACTCGAACCCCTAAAAGATCCATTTCTTTACTTTTATGTTTTTTTTTTTTTTTTTTTTTTTCTTCTTCTTCTTCTTCTTTAAAAATATTTTCCTTCTTTTCTTTTTTAATATCACATTTCTTTGTCAACTCACAAATAGAACCCTTTTCCCTCATGTCCTTATCACCATTGGGTTCTGCTTCTACCCTTTCCATTTTGAAACAAACGTCATTAACTGTCCTTCTCTTTGGATTCTCCTCTTGCACAGATGATGATTCCTGCACTTTAAACTCACAATTCTCATCTTCTTTTTTAACATCATACACTCCTCTTTGCTTCTTACATGTGTAATCAAAAGTCTCGTCTGCTCCTATCCCAAGCACAACTTTCCTCTTCCTCATTTTTTGCGAATCCCAACAAGATTGATTCTCTTCACCCACGTTTTCAGCACATACCACATTTTCTACATCTGTAGCTCCTTCCGATCGGTCTCTACCACACTGATTACTTAAAATCCCCAGTGGATACTCCCCTTTGGATGTTGTATCACTTGCCAAGTTCTTCTCTTTGCTATATTCATGTAAACACTTTCCATCCTTAGCCTCATTTGCAATGTTTATTATCTCGTTCTTCTGAATATCCTGCATGTCATGGGTCTCATCGGATGTTTTATTACCTTGCGTTAGATTTTCAGAATCAACATGGTTATTCTTAACCACGCAATTTAAAGGAACCGATTCTTTTTTGGACTCACATGCTGGATATTTTATTGACTCTCTTCCGTGCTCTTTGCATGATTCATTCGGCTGCTTCTCCAGCTGCTTCTCCGGCTGATTGTCGAACTGCCCATTTGGATCCTCCTTCGTTATTCCGCTAAGGGTTGCTTTCTCCTCTTTGCACTCCCTCCTTCTCATGGGAAGAAAATTCTCTTCCATCTTTACAGCACCACTCTCACAATCCATGACATCGCACTTCTTATTCTTAGACAAGTTCTTTTCTTCATCCGAATAACTGGAGTAAAGATAGGGGAGACATTTATACATGGAACTAATTTTTCGATTGTCCTTTTCAGGGAGAATAATATCTTCATACATTTTATTGTGCTGAACGACATTTTTTTTAGCAAATTTTATATTATGTATATTGAAATAATTCAAATTTATAAAATCATCAATGGGCATTTTATTTTTGTTTAGGTGCTTGCAATAATCATTATACATGGCTAGTATAATGGAGTGCGTATCAATCAGGTTGTCTTTTATTCTACAATTTGATATGGCTTTTTCATCAATATATATATTTTTATTTTGAGTTTGATAGTACAATCTTAAATTTTTAAATAAACAAAAGGTGTATATAAATTTTAAAGCACCTTTCAATATAGTAATATCATAAGAAAACAAATTATACAACATGAACTGTTCCATGAGAGTATCTTTACTCGAAACGATGTAACTGAAATTTAATCGTTTCATATTTACTTCCTTAACAAGGTTTAATAAAGCAATACTTTCTTCGTTGTTCAAAATTTTCTTCTTTAGTTTATTTCCCCCACATGGGTTACTCTCACTTTTCGTGTCACTATTGGTGTTATCACCCTTACAGCCACTTGGGCCATTATGAGCATTAGGAACATTAGAAGCATTAGAAGCATTAGAAGCATTAGAAGCACTATGGTCACCACTCCAACCACAAGCACGCTCATCTAAGATAATGATTTTTTTTGGAACATTTTGTTTAATCCAATTGGAGGACATTGAACTCTGTTTACTAGATTGGGCATCATCAAAAGTATCTTTTTTTTTTCTATCTTCTTTTATTTCTTCTTCTCCTTGTTCATGTTCTTTTTCTTTTCTTTTCTTTTTTTTTTCTTCTTCTTCATGTTCTTCTTTTTCTTCTGCTTTTTCTTCTTCCGTCTCTTCCTCCTCCTCCTCCTCCTCCGCTTCTTCCTCTTCCTCTTCATCATCATCATCATCATCATCATCATCATCATCCATTTTTAAGAAAAAATGTTTAGAAATTTTGATGTTAGAGAATTTTTTATCCATTTCATGTACCACCTCACCGCCACAAGTATCAGTGTTATCATCATTATGGTTATAGTACAACATATCTTTTAAATAATTTTTTTTCTCATTTTTTAATTTACTATTTAGAGAATGAGTTGTTTCATATATAAATTTATCACTTGAACTATTTCCATTTAATGTGCATCGAGATCTCTTCTTTCGAGGAATTTTTTTTTTCTGCTTCATCCTCCCTCTGCGCAATTTTCTTTTTCCTCTTTCACCTGTTTTGTTCATAATGTTTTTCTCAAAATTGAGCGGATTATTATTGCTACCGTTATTGCTGCCGCTATTAATATTGACATAATTATGGTTACTGTTGTTATTATCACCACCATCATTAACATTGTTGTTCTCTTTTATGATATTACATCCGTTATTAATTCGAAATGAATTTCCACAATCCACATTTGTACTGTTGCTCGTGTTCACGTTCTTTTCCCTCCTTCCCTTTTTCCGTCCCACTTTATTCATGCTTATGTTCCTTCCAACGGTAAATAGTTTACTATTATTCCCTAACTTTGCTATGGCTTGCTCTTCTCCTATTTCTTCATTATTGCCACCTTTCATATTCGTTCCTCTTTTAAAAAAGTTTGGGTTTCCTCTCTTTTTCAATTTTTTCACTTCCACCTTCTGCACCAAGCTGTGCTCATCACCGTTGTCATTTTTTATATGACTGATTTCTTCCCTCTGAAGAGAGGATGCAATGATTTCACATTTTTGAACATGCTCAATTTTATCTACATTTTCAATCTTATTTACAACACTAATACGTGCTGTCGAAGTGTTAACACTAGAGATTTCCCCTTCCATAGGAAAACTATGACTGATATTATCATTCCTCTGAATAGATTTTATGGACAACTGTACCAAATCGTCATTGGATAATTGATTCTTTCTTCCTATTTCTGTTCCAATTATATTATTACTATTATTCTTGGGAATCTCTTGATTTTTATCACTACAATCTAGTTCATCACACATAATAATTTCTCCCTCTGCTGCAATTTTCATTTCATCACCTCCTTCAAAATGATTTATTATCTTACACGTTATTGCCTTTCTTCCTTCATCATCCATTTTTTCATTGAATTTTTTCTGCACATGTTGTTCGTCTCTCTGGTTAACTTCCTGAGAGTGTACCTCTTCATCGTTTTCCCGATTGAAGAAATTTCTGGTTTTTCTCTCATTCATCTTTTCTCTAATTTCATCAATCTTAGGACTGTCCGTGTCATCCTCAATAGTGTTGCACCCATCTCCAATCCCGTTATCACGATCACTACATGTTCCACTGTTCATTTTATTATGTATCTTATTACCCATCTTATTCTCTACCTCATTCCCTACCTTATTCCCCCTTTGATTGCTGAAACAACTTTTGTGGGAACTCTCTTCGCAGTTTTTATCACCACTGCTATAACTACCGATGTCTTTACTGTTGCCCTTTTCATTTTCGCTCTCTCTCTCTACCTCGTCCCCCTTCTCTTTCATTTTTTTTTTTTTTTTTTTTAAATTTATGGTTTAACGATTTCTTCAAAATAATTTTATGAATATATTTATCGTATACGTAACATTTTTTTTTTTTTTTTTTTTTTTTTTTTGTATCTTAGTTCAATGTAGTATAGTGGGACTCTGTTAGACTACCACAATGTTGTGTTTGATCTTTAAAATGGATGAGAAGCAAATGGAGGAGAAAACAAAAGCTAGGTTAGGTAAATAAACGGATTGGCATTGCATATGAGTACATGTATATGCACCTATGTATCTACATATATATGCAATCTGTGCACCTACGTATCTATGCATATGAATACATATATTCATATAATGTACTATACCGTGTACATACAACATATGTTACAAACTGTTGGTCCTCCCTTTTTTTTCATGAAGCATTTTTATTCGTATTTATTTCCCCTTTCTACCAAATCCCTAAGGAGTTATTATAGAATATGTATATTAACCCCACTTATATAAATAAATATATTCGTATGTTCACGGGTTCATGCACGGATGACGCTTATGTAAACAAAAAAAAATAAAAAAAAAAAAAAAAAAACATCTGTGATTCTCCACTGGGGACAAAAGAAGACTAATATATTTCTATGTCCCCCCCCCCCCTTTTTTTTTTTTTTTTTAAATTTTTTAAAAAAAAAAAAAAAAAAAAAAAAAAAAAAAAAAAAAAAAAAAAAAATTTGTAAAAAAAAAAAAAAAAAAAAAAAAAAAAAAAAACATCTGTGATTCTCCACTGGGGACAAAAAAAAAATAATATATTTCTATGTCCCCCCCCCCCTTTTTTTTTTTTTTTTTAATATTTAGGATAAATAAATAAATAAGAAAAAAAAAATATAATAACAGAATAAAAGCGTCGTGAAAAAATTAAAAAAAAAAAAAAAAAATCATGATAATAACAAAATTTAGTGTAATTTACTACTTCATTATCACGGTTTTTTCAGTTGCTTAGCTTTCGATGGGAAAATATACGTATATATGTATTTATATACTTTTTTTTACTTATTTGTTCCCGTAAAAATCTTAAAAAAAAAAAGGCTTCTTAAAAAAAAAAAAAAAAAAAAAGTTATAATTATGATGAATAAGAGAATATTTAATTAGGGCCACAGAGATGGGAAAATCCCCACCTTTATAAATTATCTTTTCCGTTTCGTTCAATAATAAAAATATTAAAAGAATTTCATGTAAATTTATGCTTTTTTTATTTTATTTTTTTTCTTTATTTTGCTACATTATTTTTGGTTACGTCCTTTGCGAATTTTTTTTTTTTTTTTTTCTTTTTTAAATTTTCTTCTTCACTTACACCAAAAGTAGCTCGATCTTTTCTGATTCGTGTTTTTTTTTTTTTTTTTTTTTTGATTGAAAATCATAAACATGTCATTCCATATATAGGTTAAGCAGTATCCAGGAGAGCAAAAAAAAAAAAAAGAAAAAAAGTTAACATTTTTTTTCACATTTTCCTTGCAAAAATAAAGAATAAATGGACATATATAAATAATATTTACATTTTTGTAATACAACCAAATGTTCTGTCTGCATTTCGTGAATAATAACTAATATCTCATCAAGAGACAAGAAGGAGTGGGTTGAGGGGAGAAAAAAAAAAATAACCAAAACTTGGTTAACCTTTTTCCTAGAGTTAGTATAAAAATATATGCTTATTAAGCACACTTAATAATAAAATAAATTAATATTTAACATTTCCGAATTCACGTAACCGTATTTTCTTGCCTAACTCGTTCACATTTTTTACATAATATATATAACACCATGCACCCGTACACATACCCCCGTCACTCATACCACTATAAGGAGCACATCCTAATCCAAAACATATTTTTTCCCTTTTTTTTTTTTTTTTTTTCCCGAAATTGCTTAAAAAATGTTACTTCGTATTATATTATACCTAATGCTTTTAGTGAAATTTTTAATACTTTCAATTTAGTCGAGAAGAAATATGGTGTTAATTCAATTCGCCTACACACACACACACACCTCACTGACACAAATAAACATGAACAAAAACAAAAACATGCATGCTATCTCTCCACATACGTACATTTATGTTAAAAATGTATCAAATTGACAATGGCAATAAGAGACATTTTTTTTTTTTTTTTTTTTTTTTAAACAAACTTTTAACTTTTTTTTTTTTTTTTTGGGCGAAACCTTTAACTTATTTATTTTTTTTTTAAACTTTTAAACTCTATCTAGAAAGAAAACTAAACCCCACACACAATATATACACAACGTGTGACGAATGAATTTTCATTTGTTATAACGTGAAATATCCTTGTTACTAAACCTACTTTTTAATTGGCTAGCTAGGAAAAAAAAAAAAAAAAAGAAATGTTGAACTCACCAAAAATGAGAACATTATTTTTTAACCTCCCCTTTTCTTCTCTTCTTGAACATTTTGCAATCCTTTTCTTTTTCTGACAAAATCCTCTACCTATTCACCTCCTTATCCCCGATTTATTGTGTTAAAATGTAAGAAAATGAATACCTATTTCTTTTTTTTTTTTTTTTTCCTTTTTTTGTTGCCGTTTCACCATTTTCGAAGTGAACTGCTATTTTTCCGTGCATTTTACTGTTTTACTATTCTACTATTTTACTATTTTCCAAAGAGAAAAAAAAAAAAATATATATATGAACAGTTCATGTGAAAAACTCCCTACTTTTTGTTCTACTTTTTTTACATTTTCACCTTTTCGCATTCACAATATTTTGTTGTGTATAAAATTTGAGGATAATGCCCAGGCGTGTCTTCCTTTTTTCCTATTTTTAATTATTCGAAATACGACAATTAGAAATGGGAAAAAAAGGATCAGAAGGGGAAAGAGAAAAAATAAAAAGGACAAATGAAAAAAAAACTCTACATCCCACTTTTGAGCATAAGTAAATCCTTTGAAGGAGAAGCTTACGCCCCATAAGCATTTTGATTTTCCCTCCTTTTTCCATTGGCAAAAAAATACTACATTAAAGCTCTATTTTTGCCACTCCTGAAAATAAACATAATAAATGGAATGCCTTACGCTACGCAGAATTTTCTCGTGCTTTGAATCTTCGTACACTGTATTTTCTCTTCGAATGAACTTTCACTAAACTTCTCTCCACATTAAGACGTGCAGGTGCGTGAGTATCTCACTGTGTACATAGTTCTTTATCGGAATGAATTAACAACATCGCTTATGCAAAAATGAAGAAAAAAAAAATATATATATCTCATACACTTGTTATTTATAAAGGAGTACTATTTGATCATGTGAACATATTCGGGAAAAAAAAAAAAAAAAAAAAAAAAAAAAGGGCGTTCAACTGGTTTATGTATTTTTTATTTCGTTTTTTGTTTACCTCAATATGATTGTACCGTTCAGAAAGTTTTCAAAATTGGAATTTTTTTTTTTTTTTTTTCTACATAAGTTCGGTTGTACATATATACATGTATACATACATACACACATGCATGTCTACATAGGAATTATATGTGATATAGACATTTATTCCCCTAAGAGGTCCCTTATTCTCTATCTAGTGTAACATACATCTTTGCAATTTCTGAGTTGTTTTTCATTCATCGACGCGAAACATGAAATTAAAACATCCACATTAGTAGTCATACTATGACAAGTTGTAGGAAGTACCTTCTTCCCCTCTCTTCAAATTTAACTATACCTTGAATTCCTTAAAATAATGCTTATTCATTTGTGTCCTTTTAAATTTTATCTAAAAAAAAAAAAAAAAAAATTATAATGGATTACGTAAATAAATTGAAGAGGTTGTATCACAACATTCAAGTACGGTGCTAAGTGTGTATGTTCTTTGTTATATATGTCCTGACGAATGGAGCTTAAATATATTCGTTTTAAAAATTGCGAGGAAAAATCAAAACATCGTTCATTTTGTTACGCGAAAAGACCTATCTAAGTTGTTTCCTTTTTTTTTTTTTTTTTTTTTTTTTTTTTTTTTTTTTCCTTTTGCGCCCTATACATAGATCTCTTATTTTGTGTGTGTAAAATATGATATAGACAATTTGGGTATGCCCCTATTTTTATTCACATGTTTGCATACCGTTTTTATTCTTTATTTATTATATATATATATATATATATATATTTTTATTTTTTTTTTATTTTTTTGCGTTCACGAGACATATTTGAGGTATACATAAAGATACACCCATTGTTTTTACATTCCAATAACAACATAATGGAGATAATTTATTTACCTCGCCCATTCCTGTTATGTTTGTTTTATTGTTGTTATTCATATTCTCATCTCTCCCATGCACAGATATAGACAAAGTATATACAAAAAAAAAATATACATAAAAACATATGTACTATGCACTAACAAATATATACATAAAAAACATAGGTACATATGCAGTAAAAAAATATATACGTAAAAACATAGCTACAAATGTACATGCGGATAATTAGACGTGCAATAAACGAACAGGATCCACGAAATGAACACGTCATTCATCGGAATCGCTATCTGCTTTGTTGGCTCGTTTTTAGGAGCACTGGGAGATAAATTAGTTCATGATAGTTACAGTAAAGAAGATGTAAAAAAACAACACATGTCCAAAATGACCCTATGGATATTTGGAACCATATTGAGTGTTGTTATAGATCCAGTATTTACAATATTTGCATTATACTTCACTTCAGCTGCTTTAGTTGCTCCTTTTGCAGGTGTACATATTTTATGGAATTTAATAATATCTAACATTTCGTTAAAAATAAAAACGAAATTTCATCAATATATGGGATCCTTTTTTTTAATCTGTGGTATTGCATTAATTATTATTTTTTCTGAAAAAAAAGTAGACATAAGCAGTATGAACGACTTAGCTATCTTGTATAGTCAAACAAAGGTTGTCATTTATCTTATTCTTACTTTTACTACTATTATTATACTCTTAATTATTTGTTTACTTCCTTTTTTTTTTAAAGATATACAAAATAATTCCCCTTATGAAAATGAAAAAATTTTTTACGCTAAAAAATTTGTTACAAACATGTATTCACGTTCACGTGAAAATTCATTTTTTCAAAAAATTAATCCGCGTGTCAAATTATTAGGAAATGTATTTTCATCTAAAATGGAAAAAGGAGATTCTCCTCAGCATATCTCTCCCAGGTTCTACAATCATTCACTTCTTCTTGTGAAAAACAATGATGGCCATGATTCCCTTGGGGATAACCCCAACTTCAATGATCGTAAAAGCATACCTACAAGTGGCAGTTCTAGTCCAATTTGGAATGATACAGAATCAGGTACATCCATCGATATTGACAATTCTTCTGTATTGTCAAAAAATGGATATAGAAAAAAAGATTTGAGTAATCACATTGGTAGTGAGGCTGAAATGGAGGAACTTGTCTTGTCCAGGGGTGGGTTCATATTGCTTAATGAGATAGAAAAAAACGCAAAAATGGGAGAAAAACCAAGAAACTTTTGTCTCAGAAAAAATAAAGGCACATACCGATCTGATGCTACCGTAGCACATCTATGCGTGAACACGTTATTTCCTCTTAATCCGGCAGATAAAATTAAAAAAAACAATATCAAATCGAGTAAGCAAGGTAAAAAGAGATACAAAGAAGGGGAAAAAAAAACATATCAGGAAAGAGAAAAAGAAAGGGACGAAGAAAGTGGAACACATAGGGTCTTTTCCCAATTTTGCAAAAGTGATAAATCTATGGTGAAACATAAAGGAGATATCAAGTGGATGAACCTTGAGTTATTGAACTACGCTCGTTCTAGCCACCCAGATATGCAAAAATTGAAGTATGAGAAAAAAATGAAAACGTGGAAAGTTCATTGTCGTGGTGAAATACATCACAAATCAGGTGAAAGAAACCATAAGCTAAAATGGCAAAATAGACATCGCATAAAAAATGGATGTAACACATCATCTAGCTACATTCACATAGAATCCAAAATAAATCATGCAATAAATGACACTACAGAAGGAATTATACTTACTAAAGTGAACAAAAAAAATGATAATTTATTATCACCACACAATAGTGTCAAAGTGCTAAAAAAATATCTTCTAAAAAAGAATAGAAAAAAATTAAAAAAATTCACAAAAAAAAAGACAAAATTTGTTCCTTATATAAATGAACACAAGCAATATTCCCCTAGGATAGTGGACATACCCCACGTTAATGCTAAATCAAATCATCCTGATTCAAGCGAAGTTAAAAACCATTTTTGTCATATAGATTTTCTTAAATACGGAGACCAAATTGACACACCTACAAATTGGAAAGAAGGGGAATCATTCTCTTTAATGGTTTATTCACCAACGTTCACAGTTTCGGATGGAGATGTGGGTGGTGCCTGCACAAATGGAAGTTCGGATAAGGGTAGCATTGGGCGTCTCGCGAGAGGAGGAAGTGGAAGAAGTGAGAAAAGTGAGAGAAATGAGAGAAGTAGACGATGCGAGAGAAGTGGAAGAAGTGGAAGAAGTGGAAGAAGTAGAAGAAGTGGAAGAAGTGGAAGAAGTAGAAGAAGTGGAAGAAGTGGAAGAAATGGAAGAAGTGGACGAAGTGAACAAAACGAACGAGGTAACGGGGTCCATTTTCCGTACCTAGTTTTTATCGCATCTATCTATTCAACACCACCCAAGTCTGACAAACTGCGAAAAAATGAAATATACTACAGAATTTGCTGCTGCACATTATGTGGAATGTCAGGAGGCTTCGTTAATATTTTTTCAGAACAAATAATTGGAGTATTTTCAAGAGAAAATATACATATATTTCAACACCCCTTTTCATATATATTAATCATATTAACCCTTTTTTGTTTATGTAATCAACTGTTCTTTTTAAACATATCTTTATCAAAATTTAGCGTTACATCTGTCATCCCACTGATAATGTCCAATATCGTTTTTTTCAGCAGCCTCACTACTATAATAATGCAAGAAAAAGAATCCGTTATTCAACCCAATAATGCCATTTTCTTCTCTCTCGGTGTCTTGCTTGTCATCTTGGGCATTTTGTACTTGCAGTATAATATTAACCGCATTATTTTGAGATATTTCAAGACCAAAAATGGGTAAACTGAGAGAGTCATTCCTTTCTCCCTCCTCTTATCCTCCACGTGTATTTCCTTCTGGCCCTACTTCTACACCTGCTTCTGCTTCTATACCTACTTCTAATCGTGTTAATTTTGTATATTTCATGATTTTATTTTATTTTTTGCTAAAAGATATTAATCATGGTTAGAAAAAATGCCTCTTTCGGTCAGCTAAAGACAATTTTTTTTTTTTTTCCCTTTTTGTAACCTATTTTTTTGCCTTATTTACAAGTGTTGTTTTTCAAGAGAAATGAAGGTTTGCTATTTTTTTTTCATTTTTTTTTTTTTTTTTTTTTTTTTCTTTTTTTTGTGCTCCTTTTTGAACTCCTCTCGAAGGAGAGAGAATATGCACACAGCACTAGAAAAGGAAAAATAAAATATTTAAAGGGATAGATATCCACCACTACTACCACCCCTGACCCAGATCAACATACATGTGATGGGAAAAATAAATTATCAAGAGTGTTTATGCATACAAATGGAGGACCTCTAGTAGTACTCATACACCCACATTTGTTAGCAAAAATTTGCAAAGAACCATTAGAAACAAAATGCTTATCCAATATTCCAACGTGTCAAAATTTACCAATACGTCTGTAGGAAGCTACATCTCGCTAAAAAGCTACACAACTAACACTAACTATGGTCGCAAACTTTTCAAAAATATTTTAAAATACTACTTTCTTCTGCCACATGAAAAATGACATGCTGCATATTTTTGCAAAATAAGGGAAAATGAAAAAGGGAAAAAACCCGAAGCGAAAAAATTCAAGTAAATAAATTTGTGATATTTCTGTGTTTCGCTTGTGACTTTTCGAGCTTATGCGCAATTTTTAAAAATAAAAAAAAAAAAAAAAAAACATGAACATGAGCAGAAGCAGAAACAGAAGCAGAAACAGAAGCAGAAACGTGAACAGGAACACCAAATGCACGCTTAGCTAGAATGGGAGATAAGCACATAACATGGTGTATCTTATCTACAAGAAGAAAAAATCATTTGTGAGAAAGTAAGGAAAAAACACGTTTCAGAATAATATCCAATTTACCAATGAAAAAGGACCCTGTACCCATAAATAAGTGAAGTAGTAATTGGGGTAAAAAATATTATCACATTCGCACATATGTATACCCGTAGAAAAGAACAATTCATGAAATATGCCACCAGTTAATGTGTTTACTCATTTAATATCATCTGAACGGGAAAGAAAAAAAAAAAAAAAAAAAAAAAAAAGAGAGGAAAATAGGTAAGGAGAGGAAAAGTATCTAAAAAGCGAAAAAAACGGGAAGACGTCATCACAATTGAAATTAAACCTGAATTGGAACACTTCGGTTGTAGAGGTAGTGAAAAGACATCAGTGTGTAATATCCTCTCGTCTGACAAAGTTGCATACATGAGAGGATGTGACACTCTAGTGAAATGTCAAACCGAAGGACCATGTCAATGTCACAAAATGAAAGTCATCATAACAACCCTTGTCCTGTGCTTGGTGCCAATAAAGTGCGAAAGGAGCATAAATCAGGCATACATTATGAACTTTGCAGATTTTCCCCTCCAGCCAAGCACACGACAAGCGAAACATACATGGCAAATAAAAAAAATAAGACAAAAAAAAAAAAAAAACTGCATATATATTAGCGGAAATGACTTGTTCGAATATTTCGCCACATTGACAAATGAAGAAGATGATATGGATAAAGAAAAAAAAAAAAGAAAAAAAAATTATTCTGTCTCATATCTTCAAAAATTACCAAAAAAAAAACTTTTATTAAAAAGGTGGAAATATGACATGTATGAAAAAATTAAAGAAAAAATAAAAAACGATCAAGAATTAATAAACAAAACCAAAATATGTGGATACAAATTCAAATTACCAATTGACTTTTTCAAACTAGGATCTCAAATAAGGGGAAAAATTGTCAACGTACAAAATCATTTAATTAAGATAGATGTAAATGCTATTAATTTTGCACATCTCTATATTAAACGATACTTTGAAGAAAAAACACAAGTTCATAAAAAGTACCAAGTAGGAAAATACATCGATGTTGTTATCTGTTATATCCATAAAAAAAATGGAATTATTCAAGTCACAGATAATGAGGAAGAAATAAAAATCTTGCACCGAAGTTTGCGCAAGCTAAGAGACTCAGGATATTTACCCAAACTGGGGGAATCATCCCTTGACCACCAGATGACACCACATTCCGGTCCAAATCTGCACAGTGCATCTCCAAATGGAACCCTAGACGACAACACTATGCATCAGCAAGACGATTCCTCCCTGCGACGAACATCTGACTCATTCGTTGATACGGCTTCTGACTCATTCGTTGATACGGCTTCTGACTCATTGGCTGATTCGGCTTCTAATCCATTGGCTGATTCGGCTTCTGACTCATTGGCTGATTCGGCTTCTAATCCATTGGCTGATTCGGCTTCTGATCCATTGGCTGATTCGGCTTCTGATCCATTGGCTGATTCGGCTTCTGACCCAGTGGCTGATCCCATCCACCCGGAAGATATTAAAAAAAAACTGGGCGTGAGCTTCCAAACGAACGACGGAGAAACAGACCTCATGTACATCAAGGAAGAAAACATAATGAAGAAGAGAAAAAAAATCACAGATTTTAAAATAGAAGACACAGTAGGAGGCGTAATAAAATTTATAAATGAAGAAGGTGCATACATAGACATAGGGTGTGAAACATTGGCTTTCTTAAATTTGGGACATTATAATAAGGATCCAAAATATATGTTTAAAGATGTAAAAAAGAAGAAACTAAAAGTCAGTGATTATATTAAAAATTTAAAAATTCGAAAAATTGATATCTTTAATAACAGAATAGAAGTTACAATCTATAACATGCAAGAAGAAGCATGTCTACGAATACTAAATCAACAAGAAACTTTGAAAGAACAAAATAAGTATATGCCATGTTCATCCTTTATTGTGCATAATTATCATATGATTAATTATCTTAAAAAATATAACGAGCTAAAAAAAAAAAAAAAAAAAAATATACATAATTTATTTGAAAAAAAAGAACAATTAAACGAATTGAAGAATGTTACACATTTAAAAAAAAGTCAATTTACTCCATTTATGTTAAGATATAACGAACTTACAACCCCGAATAATAATTATGAAGATATGATAGAACAAAATGCAGATAATGAACAATTTCTGAAAGAAATTGGTGTTTTTCCAAATTCTCATAACGAACAAGGAAACAATAAATTCAATTTAGAACTTTTAAGGAAACAAAATAAATCATTAAAAGAAGAAATTAATCGTTTTAGAGAATCCATTCCTAGCGATAACGCCACATCTGGGATAAGTAGGAATTATCAACATGATGAACCCAAACTCGAATGGACAGAAAAACAAATGCATCATAATTTGAATCCATTTTTTACAGAAAATGCACAAATGTTGAATAATGAATCCACAACAAATTTCTCAAGTCATGAATATAGAGACGAAGTATCTGAAGAAAACCAAAATTTCCAAATGGAGGAAGAATCAGATGATATATTCCACATCTGCAATGATAATATGAAAAAAACATTTCCTAACAAACAAAATGACTCAACTCCGGACGGAAATAAACAAACATTACAATATCTAAAACAAAACATCAAAAAAATCAAAGAAAGTGTAATGAACGAAGGGGTTAAGAAAGAAAATTCTAAACTACAGCATGTACATGAACGAAACGGTAATGTTCCTTATGATGTTTCGCGAAAACTTTTTGACACTTGGAATAAAGTAGTAACTGAAGATACTCACAAAATTCAACATGGAACTTTTAATCAGCATGAGGAGCAGAAGGATCCTTCCTCGGGAGATCAATGTAATTTTGCAAGCTACCTTGACGAAGGTGATGATGATGGTGATGAGGATGAGGAGGAAGAGGGGAAGGAAGCTAAAGACGATTTCGATTTCCACCGTGATCTCAACCAAGGAGAAGGAAAGAAAAAATTCGCAGGAAATCCAAGTTACATAGAAGAAAAAAAAAAAAAAAAAAAAATGAAAAAAAAAAATATCTTTTTAGATGATGAACATGAACCACTGGATGAAGAAAATAAAAATTCAGGAGTGAAGAATGAAAACAGATATGAAGAAGTGAACAATTACAAAAGAAGTGAGGACGATTTCAACAGCGGTGACGAAAATGACGACTATGGCACTTCAGAAGAAAGTGAAGAGGACTTCCTTAACGTGAAAAAACATCTAAAATACATTATCAGCCAAAATGTAAGTATGAGTTTACCACATAATGAAGAGAAATGTATTGAGGAAGCATCTAAGCTGTTTGGAGATGATATCAAAACATGGGATGAAAAAATGTATTACTATTTTGGAGACAGGGATAATGTTTCTCTTGATGGTTTCGATATTTATGATCAAGATGAATTTAAAATTAACACTGTCAATAATAAGATTCAAGAATTTAGTGAATATGACAAAATTCTGGACTCACACAAGTTTAATGGATCGTCTGATATAGACCTTATGGGAGCCAAATATGGGGACGATAGTGTAGTAGATGCCACATCTGCTAATGATTGCCAAACTAGTCATAATCCAATCGAAACGAGAAACAGTCAAAAGGATTCACAAGGATCCTATCTTGATACAGAGGAAGTAGACCGAGATAGGGAAAAAGGGTATGGGACTAAGGGAGAAAATATCATTTGTGCATATAATATGAAAATGGACAAACAAATTGATGATAATGAAGGGGATCTCGAAAATTACATGAACACCTTTTTGGATGATGAAGATGACTCAAATGAACAAACATATGAACAAATGCAGGTAAAAAAACAAATACAAAATGATGAACCCATTTTACATCCACCAAAAGAAAAAAGAAAAGACAAAAAGATTAACCCAGTTAAAGACACAAATGAAAGATCAACTATATTGAATACCTCAAACAAAGGAATAAAAAAGAGTGACACAAACCAGCTCATTGATTTGGTGCACAGAGAGCAAAAAGAGGATATAGAAAATGCCGTGAAATCTTCATCTGAGAACCAGATAAATGTTTCTGATATTTTGAATAAGGCCATAAGAATAGGAGACATGTTCAGAAGGAAGGAACTGGAAAAACTTCTTCAAAGAAGAAAGGCACAAACGTCCAATCGTAGCGATTGTTATGATGGTACAGACAGTGATGAAGACAGTGATGAAGACAGCGATGGGGATAGAGATGAAGATAGAGATGGTGGTAGAGACCATTCGAGGAGTTCCATCACGAGGGAAATTAATGAGCACCTGGGCGAGGGGCCAATGGAAAATTTCTCACGTAAGCCCTTCCTCAGGGTTAGCAGAATTGCACGACAGGGCAATAAGGAGGGGGAAAGTGCGAAATTAAAAAAAAATGAAGAAGAAGAAGAAGAAAGTAAAAATGCAAAACGAAATTGCATGGAAGATGTTTCAGGAAGCAATAAAAGGAACACCCATGATAATCGAGACGATATGAAATTATACAAGCATGCATCATACGATGTGAGAGAAAAAAAAAAAAAACATAGCATAGCATAAAAGAGCATACCACCCCATTAGTGCAAATAATCTATCTTATACTTTTCTTTTATAATCTATATACCGTTTCGTTTATGAAAAAAGGGCATACATACCCTATTGTTAATATACTTCCATTTACTGACAGTTTGGTTTTTTTTTTTTTTTTTTTTTTTTTCTTTTTTAAACATCTCTGCAGGTGCAAGGATATTATAAGAGAAAAAGAAAAGTGAGAAACATTGACGATTTAGAAGCTGTGGATTCAGAAAATAATGATGACCTAATTTTAAATAATAACGATTTTCTAGATAATAATGCAAATGAAGGTACTGAAAATTGTGACAGCTACAGGGACAACCGTGACGATGGAGCAGAAAAGAGGAACGGTTATCCGGATGAAATACATAAAGAATCTTTAAAACTGGATCAGCAAATGGATATGTTCTTCTTGCTTGGGAAGAACGACAAAATAACACAAGGCAATTATTTAGAAAAATTACTCACAAAAGAAAAAATTGAAAACAAAGGTGCCAGCAAAGAAATTGATATGCTCCTTCAACATTACAGATATGTCAATGAACATCCGGATGAGTTTATTAAAAGTTTTTATAACGAAAATGGGGAAACAAACAAAAGTGCTGATTTTCTTGAAGAAAACTTTACAGATATAGACAAAAAACAAAAACATATTATAGAAAAACAATCAAATAGTATAGCGAATTCATTCAATATAATCGAAAGGGAAGGAGATCCAAGAACTAAACAGTCTAAACAAAGAACCCATGAAACTATAGCGAACTACATGAATACAAAATCAATAAATGCAGTAGAAACAGAATTGAATCATATGTCTAATGAAAGTTTAGCCTTACGATCATGGTCATTGAAACTAGGTTTAATAAAAGAAAAGGATATGCATTTAGATGATCAGTCACTCATTAATCATTTTATAAGTAACCCCAAATTTAAGAGAGCCTTAAAATATTACAACATTAAAAATACAAAAAATGTCACCATACCATTGATTTATAAAATGACTAAGCTGCTTTACTTTGAGAGGCCTTTTCCTAGGAAGGAACAAAATCGCAAGTTGAACATGAATTAGGTTGACGATATGAAAAATGGGTCAGAAAAATGGGTCAGAAAAATGGGTCAGAAAAATGGGTCAGAAAAATGGGCCAGAAAAGGGGTCAGAAAAATAGGTCAGAAAAATGGGCCAGAAAAGGGGTCAGAAAAATAGGTCAGAAAAATGGATCAGAAAAATGGATAATAAAGATAGATAAGAAAAATAGAACAGCGTAATGGAATAGCGAAATGGAAGAGCTATCTCCCCAAAATGCCCCCCTTTTGCTGTTCATACAATTTTGCACGGAACACAGTTATAAAGGGAAGAAAGGAATAGAAGGTGGGAAAACAGCTGAACGAAAGCATTAAGTGAATAATTATAAATATGTATTCAAATTTGATACTCGCAGTGTGTGTACAACCTTTATGCAAACATATTTGCAATGGTATAATTTTTTTATTTTTTTCCCCCTCGTTTTTTTCGTCTCGCACCTGTTTCCTCCTTTTTTCACATTTTTTTCTTTTTTTTTTTTTTTTTTTTGTTTTATATGCCTTCTTACACTTCTGTCCACCCTCATATGATGAAAACTAATCAAGTGTAGAAATGTTCCCTTATTAAACACTCATTAGCCACGGGGTCAAAATCAGCAAGAGGGTCATACTTATTCTTTCGCTTATTTTCCTTTTCCTGTTCTATTTTCCGAACCTCTTCCTGAACCTCAGGTCTTTTACTTAATTTTTTGGTTTTCAAAATGTTTCTAAGCATTTGCTCTTTTTTATAATTTCCTCTATGTTTATAAAACGTCTCAAATTTAAGGCTGCAGAATTTATTGAGGTAGTCCATGAAATTTCTTTTTAAATATTTTAATTCCAAACTTGGCCTCACAATATTGTGAATCCGATTGAGTACGTAATAAATGGAATCATCTTTAAAAAAATTATATTTTCTTTTTTCTTGATCAATTAATTCATTATTTATTTCGATTTTATTTATGAATATTCTACTCATTTCTTGTCTGTGTCCATAAAATCTTTTATAATTTTTCTTGGGCTTAAATTTTAAACGATATATTTTATTTCCTCTAAAATGATTCATAACTGTTGCTTTTATTCTTACATTATCTAAAAAAGGAGTACCAAATAATAGTTTCCCGTTCATAGTACTATAAAAAAAAACTCTATTTAAATATATATTTTTGTTTTCTTCTTGTTTAATTCTAAATACGTCATAATATCTTCCCTCCTCAACCCATCTGATCTTACCACATATTTCAATCACACAGAATTTCCCACTCCTATCTCTGTCATCTTCTATTTCTGAAAGTTTTACTTGTGCAGGAGAATTTATTAAAACGTGTAATTTATTTCGTCTAGTCCATTTGTGTTTACACTTTTTCAAATTACTAACAAAATTTATATTATGGTTTCTTATACAACGGGTAGGGGATGATACTAGATTTACTTTAGTACCATATAAAAATGGTGGAGAAAAAACGAAAAAAATGACATATATGCCCAAAAAAAGCATATTTCTCACACATCTCCTCTTTTTGTTTCTTCCCTATTTTGTTCGTCTTTCAAAATCTTTACCTTCCTATTTTCATTTTTTTATCAACTTGGAATTGTGACACTCTATTGCATCCTGTTCTGTGGTATATTTTCCTTTTTTTCTTTCCTTTTTTTTTTTCCTGAGGAAGTCTTATTTTTTTTATGACTACTTTGTTTTCATGAACCTGCCCATCCGTGGGTCTCCACTCATGCTTTAGGACGCGAGTGTAAACACGTGTGTTAAGTGCATGAGTTTGTACCCGGGCGGGCGGGGCATGTACATTATGTGCACGTGCTGTAAATGTTCTATATGCACACGCTCTTTGTAAATACTATGATGCTTATAATTCTTGCAAAGCTTAAAATTGTTACAATGCTTAAGCTTCTTACAATACTTAAACTTCTTACAATACTTAAACTTCTTACAATACTTAAACTTCTTACAATACTTAAACTTCTTACAATACTTAAACTTCTTACAATACTTAAACTTCTTACAATACTTAAACTTCTTACAATACTTAAACTTCTTACAATACTTAAACTTCTTACATTATTTAAACTCCTTACATTATTTAAACTTCTTACATTGCTTAAATTGCCTAGTGTTGATGTAAAAAATCAACAGGGGTCATAATCCGGGGATTTAAGCCCAACCGAAATGTATATCTTCACACATTAGTAGCACACGTGTTATGTTTGGCTTTTTTTTTTTTTTTTTTTTTTTTTTTTTTTCCTCATGCACAGGCAATTTTTCCCCGAAAAAAATAGCGCTACCTAGCTAAAGTGTACCATCACAATTTTCTGAACAATTCAGAAAAAAGAGAAAAGAAAAAAAAAAAAAAAAAAAAAGAGGATTCCTAAATAGCTTTACATTCACTTCAATTTATTTAACCTTTTCTAGCATAAAGAGCACACAAATAGTTTTTTACACAAGTTGTAAGCAAACATTTTCAAAAGCACATTTTTGCTTTCACAACAAATCTTATAAAGCATTTACTGCAGGAAACTGCAACAAAACAATTGAGTGAAAAGAACATTTTTGCGAACACATTCCAGTACTTTTTCACTTGATGGTTCTTTTGGAAGTAAAATTATCCTTGTTCAAAGCATTAGCACTTTTTTTTTTTTTTTTCAAGCGAAAAACTTTTCATGCGTTAGACTGATCGTTTAATCAACACATATGAAGATGTATGTAGTATATCTACATATACATATGTACATTTTTTCACTGTGTATAATATACAATATATGTATTATTTTCCCTTCACGATTACAACTATTGGACAAATAAAATATAAAAAAGAAAAAAAAAAAAAAAAAACCTTATGTAAACCTTATGTCATAGGAAACGTAGCTACACAAAATGACAATCAAAATGAATATCATAATAATAGAGCTAAGATATGTTTTCACAAAATATTCTTTTTTTCAATCTTGCATTGGTAAAATATGAATGATATATGGACTCATTGTACCAATAGGATCAATGACTCAAAATGGAAAATTCTATGTGTAGACATGTATCAAACTCTGGACATTTTTTTTTTTTTTTTTTTTTTACATTACATTACATCCACTGCCAACCGTTCTGGGAAGGAAATTCCATTTGAGAAATTTTTTAAAAAATTTTCTCTGGATAAGGAACCCTTTTCCAACAATTCATGGGGATATAAAGAATTTTTCAAATTGTCATCAAAATGTGAAGAATTCGATTTAAAAGTTTTGTATACAGGAAAAAAACTTAAACCTAAATCTTCATCGTTTAAGTAATGGAAATATCTACTTCTCATAATGTTATTGTCTTGATGTTTACTCTTTTTAATGTCTCGTGCGGAAATGATATTTCTAATTCTATTTATGTTTTGATTAGCATTTTTTATTTCATCTAATAATGACTTTTCATTCCGAATTTCGTAATTACTTTTCGATATGAAATCTTTAACCATTTCTGAATACGGCTCCACTAGTATATTTTGTAATGTTGTTTTGAACTTCACTTTAGATAAATTCAAGTGTATAATTGGTGATTGGGTCAATCGAGCATATTCATTTTCTCCTTCATCGGTCTCTACCTTCTCGATCAGAGATTTTAACAGGTTTCGCACTTTCTTGTTTTTCCGCACCTTCCCACAATTGCAAAACAGTGAACTTATAATTACTAGATAAATACAAAAAGACTTGAACAGTTTTGTCCTTTTCATTTTTGATATTATAATGGGGTATATTATGATCACAACAAGCTGAGATTTTTTCAAAAATCAAAAGCACTGTGTGTGTATGTTTAACAATATGGATTAAAACGAAAAAGCGGAATGGACAAAAAATTAAATCAGAAGGGAAAACAAAAGCACATCCAAGATCCGGCTGCTTTGCCCGCGTCGAATAAGCACAAAATGAACTGCACCAATAGGAACTGGAGGACCTTATCAGAACTCTTCAGTTTTTACTCTCCTCCTTCCAATACATATGTATGTACATATGTGTGTACATATGTGTGTATATATGTGTGTATATATGTGTGTACATATGTGTGTACATATGTGTGTATATATGTGTGTACATATGTGTGTACATATGTGTGTACATATGTGTGTACATACATGTATACATTCATGCATACACACGGCACAATTATGTGATGCATGCCACTGCAAAGATGACGAAAAAATCTTCTTTGTTTTTGAAGCCACCTCATGTAGACACTTTCACAACGTGTTGCACATTTTCTCATTCAACATTTGAAACTTGTGTCCTTGTAAACAAAATAAGAAAAAGAAATTTCGCGGGGGGAGAAGTGGGAATATTCTTGCAGGCGCGTAGTGTGCATATACTGTACGTTTATCTACGTGTAGTAAATAATTCCCTTGTTAATCATCATGAGTGTGAAAAGCAACATCAGGTGGTATATTTTCCTACACTTTTTTAATGTACACACAGGAAAATTTTGGAAAAAAAAAAAAAAAAATTCCTATGTGTACAACGCACAAAAGGAAATTGCAAAAAGGAAATTACAAAAAAAGAAACTGCAAAAAATGAAACTACAAAAAAAATATCGTTTTCAAAAACAGTCCAAGAAAAAGAACATCTCCCACTAAGAAATTTAATCAAATGATCACTCTTTCAGTAAGGAAAAAAAATCAAAAAGCAAAATATATTTCTTTGAAGAGAATTACTTAAAATTAACAAAGAGGTGTAGGCATATATACATCAAAAACCACGCCAGGTGAGACAACATGGTCGAATTAAAATACATATGTTATTACATATGATAACCTGATTAAAGTTTTTAATTCTTTGATTCACTTTTTTTTTTTTTTTTTTTTTTATATTAATATTTATCAATTAAAAAATTGAGAAGAATAGTTTACTCACATCAGGTAAGAGGTAAGTTAATGGATATGAAGACATGTGACCATGAGCACCTGCTGTTGCAACTAGGGGGATGCAACTGAGGAGGCAGTTCATACCACAGTTCACATTCTCCAAATCTCTTGAGAAACTAAAAATATGCTTCGCGATGGTTATTCATATGTACGTTCCGAACAAATGTGTTCATTTGTACATCGGATGAAATGACATGTTCACGTTCGTCTTTGGCACTTTGGAAATGCGGCAAAAAAGTGTGGCAAAAAAATAAAATCAACAAATCGATTCGGAAAATACAAAAAAAAAAAAAAAAACGATGGGGAAGGTAAATAAAGAAGGAAATATTATAAGGGGTAACAAAACACTTGGGAAACATAAAAATGTGAAGATATTTTATGAACTCATGCACAAATATGCCTCTCTCAATTTTTATTTCTCGTATTGTTAGAAATCTTATCCATGTGAAGTTGATTTTTTTTTTTTTTTTTTTTTTTTTTTACGCTTTTCATTTCTATTGTATGGTAAGATTCTTCGCACATTCACTGTCTTCTATTTTAACGCACAAAAGGGGAGGGGGGGGGGAGAGGAAAATTATTTTTGTAATTATGACTTCGCTATTTGTTTTTACTCCTCGGGAAATCACTATCTTTTGTAGATTCTCTTGCCTTTCGGTCAGAAGTAAACTCATAATGGTTATTTTTCCATCTTGTCGAGGTTTCATAATTACCACCTTCTTTTTTTCTGGTAGAGGTGTTTCTTCTGGTTATTAAGTTGTGTCCCATTACGCGATATCATATATTCTTCAAGTGTTAAAAAATTGGAATATCTATTATTGTAATAATAGTTCCCTGAGGTATTATTACTACTTCCATAATTTCGATCATTTGTATATGTCTTAATAGAAGATGGTAACTTAAATTTATGATGTTTCAAAAAATTTTCTCTTAATATTTCATTTTTAAAAGCTACTGTAGCTATAGTTGGGCAACTTTTTGTTAAAAATATATCCTCAAATACTGGACAACGATCCGTGCTTGAAAATTGAGATTCTATAAATTTTCTCAAATCATAATCGCTCCACTCCGCTGGTTTATTTTTAATAACAACACATAACTTTTCCTTAATTTCTTCTGATATTTCTTTCCATCCTAGATTGCTCGGCCATATCATTGATCCCCTTCGCTTCTGTTCAATGCACTCCTGCTTGCTACGTCTGTCCATGCTGCAACTCTTTTTCTGGATCCTCCTTTCCAAACTTCTCCCACTAGTACCACTGCTACAACTTCTTACCTCCTTATTTCGTTTCCTCCTATCGGATTTCTTTTCCCCATTTGTTTCATCACCTGTATTGTAACGACGCTGGTCATGCTTTCCCATCCACTCCTGCTGCTGCATCTGCATCAGCTCCTCTTCCATCTTATTCTCTTCTTCCTTGTTCTCATTTTCATTTCCTCCTTTATCTTTTATTTTCTGACTTATGGAGATAGTAACATCCTGATTATCATCATCTATTCTCCAACCATAATTATCCCAAAAAAATTTTTTTTTCTCTTCTATTGGAGGGTCTATATTTAATGATATTTTTCTTTCTACATCTTCTTCTCGTATTTCTTGAATTATTTCCTCCATATTTCCTTCATAAAAATAGATGGTAATTTTTTTTATCCCGATAATTTTTTTTTCTCTTTTTTTCAATTTTTTCAATTTTTTAAAAATTTCATTCTGTTCATTTATTATACCTTGAATTATGTCACAGTTGTATTTTCTGTTTCTCCTTTTCTCACATATATTTCTTTCTTCAATGACACGATTATTTTTGTTTTTTCCCTCTTCTGATTGCACCTTCGCATAATTAGAGGGGTTATTGTTACTACTATGGTTTTTACTTCTCATTGTTGTGTTACTAAAAATTGATTCATCACAATTCAGAACACGTGTATCATCATATCGGTAAGAACTATTAGTGCTCTTAAGTTCACTTCCACTTTTTGTATCTGACGTGTTTGAGTAATTTCTATTTTCAACATATTGACTAGAAAAATCCTTTTTTTCTATTATTTCTCCATATTTTTCTTTCCATCTATTTCTAACATTATTACTTTCATATGATTCTCTGTACCGTTTCTCTTTTCCTGGGTTATAATTTCTGTGGTCTTGATATTCCCTACGTTTCTTATTCATGTTGCTTGAAACTTCCGTTGACATAGGTTTTTCGTGTGTATCTTCTTCCCCTCCATCTGTCTCATCCCCTTCATCTGTTTCATCCACTTCATGTCTAAATTGTTTCTCCCTACTCCATTTGGAAATTCCTTCTCCATGAATCGAGAAACTAGATTCACTGTCGAATCCATTTCTAAACAAATCGCGCTCGCTGTTAACTTCACTATAATCCCATTCACTATTCTCTATATCATCTTCAGCTTCTACCCCTACAAGCTTTTCATTGTATAAACAATAGTGGACTTTTTTATCACTTCTATTCCTTTCGTTTTCAATCTCTTCACTACAGTTTAAATAACTCTCATTGTATTGCACTATCTCATTCAGTCTACTCCTCTCTTGATCGTCATAGACATTTCCTTTATTCTTGTTATTTCTTTCGATTGATTCATAATTTTGACACGAAGATGCTACATGAATGTTATGCCTTCCGGATAATCTTGAAATGTCTTCTTCATCCTTCTCATATCTTCTACAATTTGTAAAACGAAAAATACTCCCTTTCGTTTCATCTCTTTTTTGAATAATAATGGATTCAAATAAATCTTTTGTTAAGTGGCGTCCCTCAACTATTTGTTCTTCTCCTACTGAATCATTTTTCCCAAAGTGAATACTATCATCCTGCTCCTTTTGTTTCTTCTGTTCCTTCTGTTCCTGTGGTTCCTTTTTTTCTTTATCTTTCCCTTCATTCTCCTCTTGTTGAATTTCATTTAAGCCTGAAGTTTTTCCATTTAATTCTGTCTCATTGATAAGCCTCACTAAAACTCTGTTATTATTTTTTAAATCATCATAAATCTGAATTTTTTCTTTTTTTAGCAAAAATTTTGCAAATTTATCATTACATATAACTTTCCATGGATATAAATTTGTCTCTTCTTCTACTGGCTTTATCACTTTTTTAATTTCAAATTCAGCATTCTTTTGTATATCCAACAGATAATAAAATATCCCTTCGCGTATATGTAACGGTAAGTTGTAGCATTTTATTACATGACCGTCCAGGGGTGGAGTTCTAGTATTATAATTCTCTTCGTTCTTAATTTTGAGACTCTTTTCATGGTTAATCAGTAAGTGGGGAAATGTCATCATGTTAGCATAAAGTGAGAAAAATGAACAAGGAAAAGAAAAAAAAAAAAAAAAAAAAAAAAAAAGGTTATTTTTTTTTTTTTTTTTTTTTTTTTTTTTTTTTTTTTTTTTTTTTTTTTTTTTTTTTTTTTTTTTTTTTTTTTTTTTTTTTTTTTTTTTTTTTTTTTTTTTTTTTTTTTTTTTTTTTTTTTTTTTTTTTTTTTTTTTTTTTATACAATGTCAATGTTAACCTGGATGATCAAATCTGGTATATAGAGCCAGCTATGTACCATCTCCCATTTTTTTTTTTTTGCCCCCAAAGAGAAAAACTAATAAAAACAAAAAATGAACAAATAAGGTTTATTCTTCCTAATACAAACAAACAAAAAAAAAAAAAAAAAAAAGATACCAATGGATTGCTCGATTCCAATTCTCAAACTGTGTGAATTATGATCAGGGGATTTCCCTCCCCCCCCCCATGATGTGCATATATTTGATGGGCCTAATTTTAAGGCCACGATAAAACAACAGTTCCTTTTGGATATAAGTTTTTGTGAGACATATCAAGCAGTCCACACGGATATGCAAATGGTACATGTGTTGACATAACATTTCCCGAACTATCAAACGGGAGGTATGGGAAAACAAAAAAGAGGAGCAAAAATAAAAGTAGCATAGATTGGCATGGAAGTGGCATAGAAGTAGAATAAAAATAGGTAAAAATGTGCAAAAACAAAGCACTGTGCATATAAGTAGACAAATCATCAATCTGTCACGGAGTCACCACCAGTATTCACCGTTTTATTCCTAAGCAATAAGTGGCCTTACGAAAAGAAATTTGCATGGGCACGCATGTAGAATGACCTCTACCAATCGGTTGCGACAGGGGAAAGAAAACAAACATCCTATGTTAAAAAAAAAAACGTCAATCGTCAATCGTCAATCGTCAATCGTCAATCGTCAATCGTCAATCATCAATCGTCAAACTTTTTTTATCCTCCAAGTGCTGTTATACAAAAAGGGATCATACACCAATCGCGAACCGTCTCTTCTTAGCTTCTTATGTATGGAGGGCCATGCATACTTAACTTTTCGCTTAGTCCGTAGCTCGTATTTCTTTTTATGTATATTTCCCAAGTTCACTTTGTTATACTGTTTATATAATTGCATAGACCTATCATTTCGATTTCCATCATCAGTGTGTGTTGTTTCAATTAGTTGAGCCATTTGCATTACTTTCATTGTTTGATTCACTTGAGTTATGTGTGCATTATGCAAGTCAGTCCAAAACAGATTGGTTGGATTGCTTTCGTAGTACTTTTTCACATTTTGGGCCCTTTTTATCTTTTTTTTTTTTTTTTTCTTTTTTTTCGTTTTTCTTGTCTCATTGCAATATTTCTCGATACTACCACACTTCTCCTTTTTCTTTTTTTCCTTCTTATCATGCATTTCGATACGATTCTGCTCGTTTGCGATGCACACCTGATTTTTTCTCTTTTGAATATTTTTTTTTTCAGCACTCTTGCAAAGACTATCCTCTTCACATCTCTCACTTAAGCTACCCTCCGCTGTGAGTCCATCGAAGAGGCTCAATCCTGCATCTGAAGAACTAATAACCTCTCCCCCAGGGGTAGAGATACATGTGACTGTTTTTTTTCTTTCCCTACAGCTGATCGTGTCATTATTTTCCTTCTCATTTGTTTCGTTCAGCGTGTTAGGAATTTCAACTATGTTACTTTTTTTTCTAATTGGTGAAGTTTGAGACATTTCCCATTCCTCCTTCACATATTGTGCCATGTGTTGTGATAGTTCATTCTTCCTCTTTCCTTCGTCTCCCATAACTTCAATACCTTTCGTCTCTCTCATCCTGTGTCTCTCCTTACTAGTGCCTTGCTCCTCAGAAGTATCAAGACTGTTACATGAATGCAATGCTGGATTCACGTTGATGTCTATATAATTGGAGAAAAGTTGGTTGTTTACCACGTTCTCGTGATTCACGATTTGGCATCTACACGTGTCATACCCCCACTTGTCTCGTGAACATCTGTCGTGTGAGCACCTTCCGTGTGAGCACCTTCCGTGTGAGCATCTTCCGTGTGAGCACCTTCCGTGTGAACATCTGCTGAGCGAACCTTTGTCGTGTTCCCACTTGCAGGCTCCCCAAGTGCCGCGGAAAAATGGAGCATGCATGGGGACATCTAGCTGCATCTGAGGGGGACTGGGTTCTAATCCCTCTGGGAAGAAAGCCAATAAGGATTGGTCTAAGGAAGAGATATAAGTGGAACGTGGGGGATGGAATCCATAAGGAAGTGTATCCGATTTAAACGAATTGAACCTATTTGAATTTCCTATTTTCTGCAACTTACCCCCAAGACAAATGTTGTGATTTCCACAATGTTTTGTGTAATGTCCAAGTAATAAATTGTTATTCACATTCTGTTTTAAATCGCAATTATGATAGGGAATTTCATTGTGTCTCTTCATCATCAAGCTGTTGAACTTCCTCCCATTGCTGTTACCTTTTTGTATCGTTTCGGTACTCCCATCGATGATGCTATTTAACTTTTCCTCTAGTACTGAGATACTATCTTGAATATTTGTTTCATCATCATTGCAATCTTTACACAAAATTTTTCCTTCATCATGAAGAAAATGTTCGTGGTTATTGTTTCGTGTATCCATTTTTTCCTTCTCAGTATTTTCATCATCCCCTATGGGGTAACATTCCTTATACTTGTTACAATCTCCATTCCCTTTCGAATGAACATTTTGATACAAATTTGTAGTTTCAAAAGAAAAAGGACAATTTTGTTTTTCCCTCTTCTTACCTCTTAGCTTCATTTGATCTGTCATCAGCTGATTCCTTCTTCTCACATGTAAATAATTGCTATACATATGGGGTTCATCATTTAAGTATATTTCTGACAGTGATGTATCATTTAATCTGAACTGATCCTTAACTTTATGTGCCTTACACATCTTCAGCTTAACTTTTTTTGCATAACATGTGTTACAATCTTTTCCATTTTTGCCACTACAAATGCAGTTGTTCGTTATGTTATTTGTTGAGATGTGTTCATGTTTGAAATTCATCATCGAATTGCTATCCCTACAGGATTCCCTTGACATTTCATGCGAAGTAGTAGTATTATCATTACAACAGGTGCTGCATGTTGTACTTCTTACATTTCGAAGAATTGGTCCATTTTTCCTGAAATTTTTTTTTTTTTTTTTTTTTTTTTCCTGCACAAATTTATAAAAATCTTCATTTCTTTCTGAACAGTCAGAATTTAACTTTCTTATTTGCTCATTATATATATTTGTCATTCTGTTCCCCTTTTTACAGTTTTTCGAACATGTACTTCTCCATTTTTCTAACATAAGGTTTTTACAACAGTGTTTGTTTTGCTCTCCTATTTCATATTCTCTATAGTTAAAATTTTCCAATTCATGGCTAGCTAGTTGATCTACATTCATGAGGGAACATAAATAACCGTTCCTGTTCCTAACATGACTATATGCACCATTTTCATATTCTCTCTTTTTTTCATTCACTATTTTAGACAATCTCTCATTTTCCTGTGATAATCGAATCATTACATCCTTTATTGAATCCATCGAATTGTCAGAAAAGTTTAAATCTGCAAAATTCTCAGGTGATGAATTTGAATTTTCATTTTTATTATAATTTTTCTTAGACACAGTCAAATCTTTTTTCACTTCTTCATTGTCTACCTTATTCATACATGTAAATGAGTTTCTGAAATGCAATGATTCTTCATTCAATGAGTTTTTTTTCTTCTTTTCTTTTTCTTTTTCTTCTTCCTCTAAATCTGTTGAATGTCTGTTTGACGATTTAGAAGAAGGGATATGTTGCTTTTCCACATTTTCTCTCCTCCCCTGTGAAAAAATCTTACCATTAAAAATGTGTGTCTGTTCTCCCTCCTTCAGCTCTGCATTATTCACTTCACATATACTTGTGTTCGAATTAGCCATTTCATTTATGCAAGAAAAATCATTGATTTTTTCACGTATATTCCTCACCATAAATTCTTTTTTGTAACAGTTCACATGCTTTATTTTGCGCTCTTGGAAAAAATCTTCATTGGATTGGACTTCGCTTATACGTTTTTCCCCCGCATACTCGTGAACATTTTCGGTGTGACGTCTTCGTGGTTCTATCCCTTCTTCCTCTTGGTCATCTAACCAACTTACTTCTCCACCTCTATGAACAATGTCCTTACCATGGAAATTACACAAAATATCGTTTAATATATCTGTGTTATGAAACGAGAGATTCCTTTTTTCTTCTCCCTGCTCCTTGACTTCTTTTCTTAGGCATAACGACGTGTTTAATTTGCACTTTTCGCTTTCCTTTAACTGTTCATCTATATTACCAATTGTTTTATTCTTCAATACCATAAGTGTATCATACAATTCATTATATGAATTTTTCATTTGATTAATTATATCTTCATAGAAGGAAATTATTTCCCTTGGATTCTCCACCACCCCTGCCTGTTCGCATAGTGGTATCATTGGGTTCTATTTTAAGTGTTCAGAAAAATTAGTGGATATCACTTGGAGTTGTGTACACAAGAGAGCGAACTCGAATGAGTGGGGTAAACATATACTTAGTGATCTCAGCTGAACAGGTTCTAATGTAGACAAGAAGAAGTTACTATTATATAGCAATGGAGGGATTGTCAAAAATGGACAAAGTGGTGGAATTGCGTTGCGATGGATAACCGGAAACAGATACAGAATGTAAATCTAGCTTTTTAACGAAAAAAAAAAAAATATAATAAAAAAAAAAGGAAAAACGAAAAATGCGGTATAAACTGGGGAAGAAACAAAATTGGCTAGCTACCAAATGGGGAAGAAACAAAATTGGCTAGCTACCAAATGGGGAAGAAACAAAATTGGCTAGCGGCCAAATGGGGAAGAAACAAAATTGGATGGCTGCCAAATGAAAAAGTTACCAAATGGGATTGTGCCCCCCAAATGGCCACCTGAACAAAATGCACCAACAGAATCCCCCGTGATTTCATTAGCCCATGTATGCATTTTCCCCTGGCCTTTCAGAGAAGGAAAAAAAAGTTATATCGTATCATATAGAGTTATGTCTTATTATGTCAATCAAGTAGCGAAATTAAAAATAAAAAATAGGACTCTAGGAAAAATATACAGTCAAGTTACACATTGTGTACAACCTGAGCAGAAAATAGACGTGATGTTACAAAATTGATATTTGCACAAAAAAAAAATAAAATAAAATAAAGCAGCGAGGGAACTGCTACCTTTTAAGTAGAACTCTTTTGATAGGTTAAAAATTAAGCACAAAAAAAAAAAAAAAAAAAAAAAAAAAAAAAAAAAAAAAAAAAAAAAAAAAAAAAAAAAAAAAAAAAAAAAAAAAAAAAAAAAAAAAAAAAAAAAAAAAAAAAAAAGTAAAAAAATGAATGAGAAAATATGGAAACAACAAATTATATAGCGAACAAATGACGACACAACGAAAAAAAAAAAAAAAAAAAAAACCAACGAAACAATAAAAGTAACAAAAAAATAACCATAATAATGTAGAAAAAATAATAAAAAAAAATTGTCAGGTAAAAATAGGACATACTTAAAAGGAAATACAAATATATATATATATATATATATATGCTAATGAAACGCCGTGTGTGTGGTGCACATCGGTGAGGGGTTGTTGTGCGTGAGTCCTTATGTATGTACAGGCCCAATATTTTAGTCATTTGAATAATGAGGGTAATAGGGCACATCCACATGACTTCAAAAAAAATTTCTCCATAAATCTCAGTCGCACATTTGTAAATGAATTGCTAAAATGAAGCAAAAGGATAGGTATATAATCCCGCGAATTAATAGTATCAGCCATGTCACTCTATATCGTAAAGACAAAAAAACCACACAACATTTCCACAAGCTTTTCCAACGCATCAAGAGCTACGCCATTTCTATTACTCCGTTTCGGCTACAACATCTGCACACTTTCAGGAGGGTAAGTCGATTGTCTTCACTCTCAGTGGGAGAGGGCAGCCGTGTTCATTCTCAGTGAGAGAGGGCAACTGTGCTCACTCTCAGGTGGAGAAGGCAACTGTGCTCACCCTCAGGAGGACAAGTCAAACGTTTTCACTCGGTTGAAAAGCGGCGCGCGATCCACCTTTTTGTAGGCAACTATTTCATCTCCGACTTCGAAATCGTCTGATGGAGTGTTAAAAATGATAGAATTGATAGTGCAATCTTTGGCTAGTTCAGTAGTACTCTGCTTATTTTTTTGCATAGACAGAACGGTAAGTCTTTTATGAATAATATTTTTATTTCTACTAACGGTGAAATAATTTTTCATATTGCAAGACCCCTCTTTAATTGACACGGATAGGACTCTTTTTTTTTTTGTTTTATTTTTCTTTATTGTATAATACCCAGTTTTATTAACAACCATTTTGGAAACAGGTTCATATAGATGCAAAGAATCGAAATAAAAATTGCAAATATGTTCAATGTCTTCAAATAATTTATATATAATATTATGTGTCCTTAAAATAGCTCCATTATTTTCTATACTATACTGTATATGTCGATCTATGTCTATATTAAAAGCAATTAAAAATATTGGTTTCATATCATTACAATATTTCAAATCGTTCATGTTAAAAGATCCAACTCCTTTGGTTATAATTCTAAATGGTTCCCATTTTTTGAAAATTTTATCATCTTCTCGGATATCACCTGTTAAGCTATTTTTCTTTACATAATTCCTATCAATAAAATTATTAATGTCGCAATATTTCTCCTTTTTTCCTTTTTTATTATATTCATTAATTCCTTCAATTATTGCCTCTATACTTCCTTCATCACATGCCTTGATTATTAGCTGAATTTGTGGTAACTTTATTTCTGTTACTACATCATTTTCTGTCACTATTTTGATGTTCTTCGTTTTATCTTGAGTTATTTTGTTTTCTCTCTGTTTTTCCGTGGTAGAGGATTTCAAATGGATATCCCTCGGGCAAGTACTCGACCCATCTGGTTGCATAATTTTGTTCTTCTTTTCCTTTTTATTTTCTCCTTTCTGATTTTCCTCATAATAACTATTCATGAGATTATACTGTTCCACTTTCAACTTATACTTGGCAATTTTTTGTGCACTCTTCAAGCTGCTCATTTCAAAAATTAGATCCCCATAATTTATATTACTATCTTGAGATAAGGAAATTGGACTAACGATTTGAACCACTTCGGAGGGAAAAGCTTCTTTGATTAACTTATCATTACAATCGTATATCTGTTTAATCTTTGTATACACATGTCCAATTAAGATATAGGAATTTACTTTTAAAGTTCCTGATTTACATATCACTGTGAGGAGCTTTCCTTTGGATGGATGTATCTTCTTTTCTAATACGTATGCTGAACATAAACTTCCATAATCGGACATTAAATTTAGTGAATCACTTAGATGCAGAATACATTTCTGTAATTTGTCAATATTTATATTTTCCTTTGCTGATATGGGTACTATAGGTACTTGACCATTCTCTTCCAATTCTGTTATGATGTCATATGCTACTAACGATTTCGAAATTTTTTCCAAGTTGGACCCAAATTTATCTATTTTATTTGCAGCTATTATCAATGGAATGTTAAATTTTTTGGCTAGTTGTATACATTCAATAGTTTCACTCATAATTCCATCATCCAGAGAAATAACTAATATTATCAAATCTGTACACTGAGCACATCTTTGTCGAATTTTTTTAAAAACTGAATGACCAGGGGTATCAAGGAATGTAATTTTTTTATTCGTTTCTTTATCTAACACTTCAAATGCTCCTAACTTTTGTGTTATTCCTCCAATTTCATTTTGAGCAATATTGGAATTCCTGAATCTATCCAGTAATGTTGTCTTTCCATGATCTACATGTCCCAAAATTGTTACAACTGGATTACGTTTCTTTAAATTTACATTACTATATTTTAGCCTATTTAAAATTCCCAACTCTTCGCAAATCAGTTCGGCTACTTCTTTTTCCAGTTTCGTGTATTTCGTAATATATTCATTATCCAAAATGAATTTGCACAGGTTTATTATTTTTTCTTCTTCTATGCACACATGTTGACTCAATGAATACACAGTTATGTTGTTACTATCTATGTATTCTTGCTCATGGAGGGGTGGTTCTCCTCTTCCTTTATTCATGATTTTTTTGTTTCTACTAACTTGGGCCACGTTTTTATCATTCCCTTCACTCTGTAACTTTGCCTGCGCGACGCTGGCATCTCGTGCAAGTAGGCCTTCTTCTTCATCTGCTTCTTCTGCTTCTGTTTCGACATTTGCATTCTTATTATCACTCCCTTTTCCTAAGATAATATTTCCATTTTCTGATACCACACCAGACGTCACACTAGTTGAACTTTCTTCAGTTCCATTTTTTCCATTCCGAGAGAAGAGAACGCTATCACAACCAATGAAACCTGTGCTCGTCACATGTGAATTTTTCTTTTTCTCTTTCAGGTTTTGTAGTATGGACAAGATAGTATCTGTTTTACCAATACCTTCGTCATGGGATTGCTGTATATCACAGTATAACGATGTCTTATTCATTTTTTCGAAAATGTTGAAACTGTTTATTTTGTTGGAGATACTACAATTGGTAGAAGTAGGATTCCCATCATTGTTCATTTCGTGCAGTTTTTCCTTTATGGTTCTTTTTCTTTTGTCTTGAATTAGGGTTTCTTCCAATTTGGAACCCTTAGATTTAGATTTATCAACCGAAATGACTTTTTCATTTGGAATTTTTCTTATCGAGCTAGCCAAATTGATATCTAGATTTTTCGCATGATATTCTGAATGATTCGCAAAAAAGTTAGTTGTTCCCCTAATGGATGGGGGAACATCTACAACTTTTTTATCAAATAATTCACCACTACCATGATGGGACTTATCACAAAGGTTCAACATATCCCAGTGTTCATCTGAGTTGACATATTCAACGGCATCTTCATTTAAATTCATTTCTACCATTCCAAAGTTTTTGTTAAGAGGAACGCATTTTTTACCTTCATCACTTGTATCACAATTTCTTAACTGAAAAAAATTCTCCTGAACGAGGTCATACCCCTCTCTTGGTTCATGCCTTATCGCCTTTTCTACATATTTGGTAGAATTTCCATAAGAATGGACTCTATTGTCGAATTTAAAAAACATCTTATTATATGTAAAAGGAATTTCTACTTCATCATTTAATGAGTTATTATTATCCACATTATTGTCACTCCTATTATTATCATTAATTCTAAAATCGACAGAGCTTCTTTGTGATGCATCGGTTCTATTTTTCACCAATTTGTTACATGGCAAAGTGTGAAGGATACTATCCTGGGGATTAGCAACAAGTTGATGTTTAGACGCGATGGAAATACACGGATTTTGTTCATAATTCTTTTCGATAATATTAGATTTATGTATATTTAAAACGGGAGAGGAATCATAATAGTCTTCTTCTATTAGATTATTTTTTCCTTTTTCTTGAAGTGAATTTAAAAACACATTCATATATTTTTCCTTTAAATGTGTATCATAATAATTGGCATGTTCATTAAAAAAGGAAGTAATTTTGAAAATTTCCTCTGTTTTTGTTTTCTTTATATTTGTAAAAATCATGTTTCTTTTAATTACGTTTTTTTCTTCCATTTTTTGCAAAACGTTCTTTTTTACTATATTACCTTTTTGTATTCTGTTATTTTTCATACCTGAAACAATTCCAACATTTCCGGTACTACCTTTGGATAAAAATTGTTTCAAATCGATTAGTTTATTTCTTTCATTAAAAGGATTTACTGGTAGTTTATTCACATCTACTTTTCTTCCCTGGTGTGGGTTACAAAGGGGGATACATTTTTGGTAGTTTATTTCTTTCAATTCTTTATCGAATTCTTTAGAGGCCTCAATAATTTCATTCAGTTTTTCTCCTGCCTTGCGTCTTAGTTCGCTCTTCGTGATTTTGAAGCTCGCATTTTTTGCTACATTTCTCAGCACATTTTCATATATCCAAAAATTAGGATCTTCGAATTTTTTCATGTTCATTTTCTTCATTTTGTCATGCCGTTTGTTGTGTCTTGTTTTTCACTTCTTCAGCATATTTCACGCCTTCCCCGTTATTTCTTAATTTTCACCTTCTTTCGTTCCATCACATGCGAATGACATATTTACTTATGCCGTTCGTTCCTACCGATGAAGGTGCTAGAGAGTTACTATAAACAAAACACATGATAAGCCTCTGTTCGGCTCGCTCAAAATATGTTCACGAAGGGAGCGAGGGTTCTTCCAAAGATAAAAATAAGTTGGCTCTACATTATGCATGCACATATATACCTGTACATATACCTGTACGTATACCTGTGCATATACCTGTACATATACCTGTACATATACCTGTACATATACCTGTACATATACCTGTACATATACCTGTACGTATACCTGTGCATATACATTTACATGCTCTTTATCCGTTTAGTGAATAACCCATTGAGAATGTAACCATGCGAACAAATTTCTACATATGCATGAACATGCATCTAAATAAGTATACATATAAACTAGTACAGGTGGGCCATTCGCAAACAGCTCAGCTTGAAAATCATTTTTTAAATTTTGAAAATTTTTCAGCAACATGACAAATTTGTACATCTAAAATGGAAACTCATGAAAAAAAAGAAAAAAAAAAGAAACACCCCACTAATTTAAGAAATGAAACATGCGCTCCTTTCTCGGCAAAAAAGAAAAAATTGACGAGTGATGAATTGCATTTTCTTTAAAAAAGAAAAGGTGCAGGTTGAGGAAATTCAATTTTAATTTCCCCAATATATATATATATCTTCCTACCAATCTGCGAATAATACATGTCGCGCCGCACGTATCTGCTATGCTTTCACCGTTATTTTTATTTTCATTTTTACTTAATTTTGTTTATTCATTCATTTATTTATTTATTTGCTGATTTATTTGCTGATTTATTTGCTGATTTATTTGCTGATTTATTTGCTGATTTATTTGCTGATTTATTTGCTGATTTATTTGCTGATTTATTTGCTAATTTATTTGCTAATTTATTTGTTGATTTGTTTTATTTTTTATGCAATCAAGGATTCATTTCCCCATGGCAATTACTTCTTCATTTTGGCACGTGACATTTTGCCCCTTGTTAGTATTTTCCCTACTTTTGTTTCCATTTTTCCTGAAATTTTGTATTATTTCATTTTATTAATTTTTTTGTCTTCCCGTATTGCTTTATTTTATTTTTTTTCATTGTGAATTGCAACCATCCCATATAGATCCTCCTTCCCATGAACATAAAACTTGAGTCGGAAAAAAAAAAAAAGAAGCGAATTTTAAGAAAAAAAAAAAAAAAAAAAAAAAAAAAAAAACATTAAAATGCCTTCTTCCGTTAAAGAAGCAAAAACAGAGACAAAACTGCATTCTGAAAAAATATTCGCTTGTCACAGTTGAAGCAAAATCTAACTTACAGCATTTCATTTGCATATTGTCATCTGCATTATTATGGAGTGATAAATCTAGATACTCCTACGTTTCATCTCGGAGAACCACGTACAAAGGGATTTATGCATACATATATGTATATAAATATATGTATACATTTACATCTCACATTTACGAGTAACACTTGAAATATTTGAAACACTTACGTGCAACATATTTGTCACACATGTCTGCGTGGAAAGGGGCAAAAGAGGACACGTAAACAGAAACCAAATTGCAACCAATAGCGAACGAACCATCCCTGGTGGTGTGTATTACCAGGAATAGAAAAGGCGAAAAAGGCAAATCAGTGTTATCAAAGCTGAGGATCCAAAGTGCGCTTACTTTGAAACTTTTCCAAAATGAAAAACAAGAAAATGAGAAAGAAAGGAAATACCAACCACATGATGAAAAGCAACATATCTAACAAAGGGAAGAAAATAAGGAAAGGAAAAAATGAAAAAATTGGAATTTTAAAAAAAAAAATGCAATCAAATGAAGGAAGATTAAAAAGAACAGGAAAAAATGATGCCATAAAAAAGAAAGAAAAAACAAATCGAAGCACAAATAATAATCGATATAGTTGGTTATTCAATAAAGAAAAAATGAAGGAGGAAAAAAAAATCAACAAGGACACATACACAACCGTAGGAAGAATTGGGAATTCATCAATCGAGTATAGAAAAAAAAAGAAAACATCCCATAGTGATGAAAACGAGAGTGAAGAAGAAGAAGGGACCACTGATTATAAGAGAAAAAGAAAAAAATTTGTCTTGTATAAAAAAAAGAAAGGAAAAAAGAAAAATATTAAACAAAAAGGAATGCTAATTTGTTTTCATAATCTAGGACTGAGTGAAAAAATGTGCAGAAGCATATCAAGCAATTTGAAATATAATAGACCAACTGATATACAAAAATTATGCATCCCGAAAATTTTAAACAGAAAAGATATAATATGTATAAGTAAAACAGGTACAGGAAAATCACTCGTATATGTAAGTACATTAATAGATATCCTATCAGAACACAGTAAATATTTTGGAATCAGGGGACTAGTACTAGTACCAACGAAAGAACTAGCCATTCAAATATACAAGTTGGCAAAAAAAATATGTAAAAACTTTTTTAATTTAAAAATAAATGTAATAATTGGTGGAATAAGCCTTACAAAACAATTTGACATGTTAAAAGAAAATTTAGATATCTTAATTTGTACTCCAGGGAGATTAAGCTTCATTCTAGTAGAGACAAAATTAAGTCTTGAAAAAGTTGAAATTTTAATTATTGATGAGGCTGATAGACTATTGGAACTTAACTATTTTAACGACATGAATATTATTTATAAATATTTACACCGAAGTTGTAAGCAAACATTATTAATTAGTGCAACTTTACCAACGGATATTCAGAATTACTTCAAACTAAAACTAAAAAATCCTGATATTCTTTCTCTCAGTTCTGATAATTCCATAAGTGATAAATTAAATTTACATTTTTTATTTACAAGGTCATATGAAAAATATGGACTTTTAATTAAGCTTATTTTGCTTTTTCAAAAAAAAAATTTAGGAAAAACTCTTATTTTCTTCTGTACCAAATATCACATTTTATTCTTCTCAAAAATATTAACGCACCTAAAAATACAGCATACAATCTTATACGGAAATTCAGACACATCATTCCGCTTGGAACAGATTAAAAAATTTACACAAAATGAGAATATCCAATTTTTATTAGTAACAGATGTTGCAGCTAGAGGTATAAATATCACGTCTGTTCAAAATGTCATTAACTACAGTTTACCATTTTCGCCTAAACTTTTCATTCATCGTATTGGTCGTGCTTGCAGAGATGACAACACTCCACATGGTTTTGCCATATCCCTTGTTACATATCAGGACATTATTTATGCATACGAGATATGTTTTTTTATTGGAAAGAAACTCAAATTTTTTAGGGATCCGGATCTGGTGAGTGCCTTGATGAACTCCCAATCTGGGGGGGTCCCCGTACACGCCGATCCAGAGGGACAAAGGGTAGATGCAGAAAAAAAAAAGGACGTGACAGATGCAGAAAAGAAAAAGGACGTGACAGATGCAGAAAAAAAAAAGGACGTGACAGATGCAGAAAAAAAAAAGGACGTGACAGATGTAGGAAAGCATCCCCGGAACGTTGTCTACATTGGCAGCGTGAACAACATCAGTGATTGCGTAGAACTTGTGGACAAGCTAAAGAATGCAGATGATGAACTTATCTCGTTAAATAAAAGTATCTTAGCTTCATACAAACTATATTATGCGATGAGACCAAAGGTTTCTAAATATGCAAGTACAAAATGCGTGAAAAAAATTAATAAAATCGGAGGAATTTACAAATTATGTCTATTCTGTCACCCCCACGAAATTTATCAGGAAGAAAGATCATCTCTCATGGAGGAGGAGGAGGAGAAGGAGGAGAGGGGCCTTCATATCCAATCAAAAGTAGAACAATCGAATGAGAAAAAATTAAAACAGGTAGATGAACTCTTTGATACACTCACTTTCACGTTGAAGAGAAACGTTGGAGAGGAAGACCCAAAAGGAAAAAAACCCACAACAGAGGCTTTAATTGAGAGTGAAGTAATTGACATGGATGATAAGTTTCACAATGTAGAAGAAGGGAATGTGTCGAAATTAACAATCTCACAAATGGAAGAAAGAAATGAAAGTGAACATATCGAAAAAGTAAAGATAAAGAATTACACACAGAACGAAGTAATGACATTTATACATAATTTTCAAAATAATGAAAAAGGTAAGACAAAAAGTATATCAGAAGAAATTAAAGAAAAATTGAACAGATTAAAGGTAAAGATGCATAGGAACAAAATTAGCAAAAATGGAAACACGTCAAAAGATATAAATGAACTTATGGATGCTCTTGCAATGGGCATAACTGACCATGAGGATGATAACGAATTTTTGAAAAACAAAAATCAGAAAAATACAAACGATGGTGAAGATGATGAAAATAATCAGAATAATGAAAAAATTAATAAGAAACAAAAGAAAATGAGTAAAAGAGCTCTAAAAAAGAAGAAACGTGAAGAAAAGGAAAATGGAAATATGAAGGAATCTATTAAAAAAAATTCCTTGTATGACACGTCAGGAGAGAGATGGGCTAAGGAAGATACTCCCTTGGATGATATCTTAAAAAAAATTAACGAAAGAAAAAAGAAAAGAGAGACATGTTCAGTTTTTGCTATTAAAACACCAGGATTTGATTTGCCACCAGATGAAGAAGAAGAATTGAATAAACATAGATTTATTAAAAAAAAAGTTTGGGACATGAGAAAAAAGAAATTCATTTTAAAAGAGATAGATACCTTGCAAGAAGATGGATTCAAAAAGAAGAACTCACGCAATGGTGAAATATCTGGAAGAAGCACTCGAGAAGTAGGAGCACAAGAAGAAGGAAGAAAAGGATTAGGAGGACGATGGAATCAGCCCATCAGTAGCATCTACCACAAATGGGTAAAGCGAACCAAAAATAGAATTAAAAATGTAGGCGAATTGGAAGACGAAAATGATCAAACTGATTTTAGAAAAAAGAAACAATCGAGTCGTTTTATTTCGGAAAAAACAAGGAAGAGAGATATGGATGATGAAAAACAAACACATCTCCAAATGTTGCAACAGAATCATCCAGAAATTACAGATTCTTTGTCCAAAAATACTAAGCTAACTAAGAAACAACAGAGATTGTACAAAAAATATCTAACCGGCAGATATATAGAATCTGATCCTAATTCTAATCTGCACAAAAATCATCCACAAGTGCAAAAGGAGAAAGCCAAAATGTTGCAGAAAAAACTCAGAACGGATAAAAACTTTAGGATGAGATATGTGCGAATTAAGAAAAAGCAACATGTGCAAAAATTACGAGAAAAGGAAAATCTCAAGAGTGCTCGGGCTAGATCCCTAGTAATTGTTAAGAAGAAAAAAATAAGTAAATGAGGGATGCATACACAAAAGAGGAGAATTGATCAACCAACAAAACAGAGACATGAAGGGTTCCTTAGGCTATAAACATACTTTTTTCATTGTCCACAACATATAACATTGGATTTGTGTGTAACTCCACTCCTGAGTAATGTTAACTCCTTGAAATGATACTTTAAAAAAAAAAAAAAAATAAATCGATTCAAACGTATCCGAAATTTTTACTTACACAGTAATCTTACTTTTCCTAGAAATGATCCTTCGGTTTCATTTCAAATGAAGTGAAAAATCATTTATCAAAAATGACCTTTCAAAATTGAAAAAAAAAAAAAAATGGGGCAAAAAAAAAAAAGATACTGAAAAAAAATTGAAGCCAAAAAAGGAAAGAGGCAAACACTACAAATGGATAAAACGAAAAAAAAAAAAAAAAAAAAATGAAAGAAATACATGTATATTCCCGTTTAATTAGATTCATGAGCTGGAAGAATGGATGAAAATCCCCTTTTTTCTCACCCCCCTTACTTTTTTTTTTTTTTTTTTAAACACTATTTTATTTTAACATTTTAGTTTTATTTTTTTTATAAACGCGCGTCCAGCAAACTACACAAATAATGATTCTTTGGATGGAGGAAGGGTCCCCCACCCCCACATTTTAAGTATTTCAAGTGACATATCACTTGTTGGTATTTTTCAAATAATTTTTCAAGTTACTTATTCTTTTATCTAAGTCATTGAATGAGATGTTTAAAATGTTCGATTCTTTTAGCGGATTACTCATGGTTTTACTTTGCTTACTGGAGATTTTTTCTCTGTTTTCCACATGTTCATGGCCGACCTTATCATCTTGGAAGTTGTAACTGCTCTTACTACTACTGCTACTACTACCGAAGGAAATATCACAACAGTCGTTCCTTTTGGATATCAATATGTCTTTTCTCCTTTTTAATTCTTCTAACTCTTTTTTAAAAATGCTTTTTATGCCTACATCTACATTTTTCTTAACGTCTGTATGAACATTTGGTTTCTTTTTCTTTTCTTCTTTTTTCAAATGTGCTCCATCACGCAATTTAACAGGGATTGCATTATTTGTGTTCAAGTTTTGATCTGTATGTTTTTCTGATTTAGACGTTAGAATATTTCTATTCGATAGGGTGCCTCTATTCGTCAGAACAGTTCTGCTGCTTATTTCTTTGGACCGTTGACTTGTTAATGTTGCACCCTGCTTATTCATACGACAACTTGAATTTTTTTTTCCTCTCTGTGTGTCTAAGTATGATTTGATTCTTTTAATAGAATCCGTGCTGTCCTGCGATTCATCCATTTTTTCGTCATTTTGCATCTCCTCTGTGTTTTTCACACAATCGGAGTCCGCTTTGTCATTCTGGTTGCTGAGATATTCTGTTGGTCTTGAAATTATCTCCTTCCCTTCACAGGGTGCTGGAATTGGAACATTGTTCTTCCCAAGTGTTGCTGAATTTGTGTTGGAACCGCTATGTTGAATACCCTTCTTGCATATAGATATTCTGCTCATATTTGTTTTTTTTTTGAAGGCATATGGAGAGATATACTTTTTGCTGAGGATTCTCTGGTGATGTGCATAATCAAATAAATCACAGTTAAGTTTTTTTTTTATTTCATTTGGTGTTAACTTGCTAAGATTTTTTATACTAAAACATTCCTTCTGAAAATGTGTTCTACCTTCTCTTCCGTTGTACAAATTTGAGAATTTCCTCACAGAAGCCAAACTGGCAGAAAACATTTTTTGACTCGCACCAGACATAATACTTTGCTTTGAGTTGTAATAATTTTTTATATCTTTTGTGATAGTACTGTTGATATCAGTAGACATATTACGTATATTATTACTATTTGAAATTAAATGTTTTTTTAATTGAAATTTAGATGTGGAAGAATAACTTCTGTTTGATAGGAGAGGGTCGAAACCTCTTCCCATGGTTACCATGTTCATCTTTTTGTCATTTTTTCCAGATCTAGAAATGTTATGCGATTTAACATAATTATCTTTCATACTGTTGATTCTACAAGAATTACTACTCGAATGATTACGTTCTTTCTTTGCTTTCATGGGGAAAATCATTTGATTCCCTTCACTTCTCCTGGATATTTCTCTACACCCATCGGTGAAATTATTAACACTCATTGGTTTGTTCTTATGTATACTATCGTTAATTCTTTTAATAGACACGTTTGAACATCTCTCATCGAAAAAACTGTCCTTACGAAAGCGATAATTATAACAGCCTTCACCACCACCTCGATATTTTTGTGTAAAAGAACTATCACGAAAATTTCCTTCTGAAATATTATTTCTTTTATACCATCTGGAGTGACTTCCAGTGTATTCTGAATTTATTTCGTTGATACCACTTTTAAGGGAAAAACCATCCTGACTCCTCAAAGAAAATGCTCTTTGGTGTTTTAACAAAAATTTATCATTTTCTAACATCCCTTTTAATCTTTCTATTTTTCTTCTCAAGTATTTTATTTCAATAACATAATTCATTTCTCTCATTTTGTATTCATCAATTTCTTTTTTCATTTTGCATATGTATGCTTTCATTTGATCCTTATTAAGATACTTTACCTCATCATAATAACTTTTATCTACTTCTCCATCAGAGCTACTAAATGTTTCAGGAATTCTATACGATTTCACTCTGTTGCCTCTGGGTCGTAACTGCAAGGTGAGAGAACGGTGTATAAAAAATTGCTCCTTTTGAAGAAGAACTTAGTGGTAATGTCCAGCTCGGTTATCAACTCGAACCTACTTGCAGTATCAAGAATGCATTGTTCTCTCACCAATCGCATCTGTATAGACATCTATCCCATACATAACCCTCTTTGTATGATATCACCCTTTTTTCTCCCCATTGAAAAGACAGATGTGATACTTTTCCTGGAACAGCCTGACCACGCTGATCCGACAAAAAGACACACACGAACACTAATGGATATCTCAATGAAAGACATTCCAGATTGATGATAATGTAAGAAGACTACATATAAATATGATCATATACGCATAACACACAAATATATAGTTATTCATTGGTTGAGCAAAAAAAAAAAAAAAAAAAAAAATACTTTGGACAATTTTCCTACCTCATAATTCATTCTCCTGAAAGGCTCTTTCGATGATCGCTTCGGGTAACAGCGGGAGAAAAAATGAAAAAAAAAAAAAAATTTATTAAATATGATCATTTGGATGCTATTACTCGCATGTGATTGCTTATCCATGTGCTGCTGCACAAGGATTTTCTAATTTGGGCAGTCATGTCTAGACCCTAAAACAGGACTCTCCTGTGGTCTTAAAAATGCCCCATTGAAATACTCACCATACCAATGTTCATTTTTGTGCCTTTATCACTTATAACAAAATTTTTTTTTAAATGAATAAGTGTACGATAGGTGGCATCTTAAATTCGGTTGCTTTCTTAAATTTACTAAATGGTAAATATTTCTTCAAGTCTTTAATTTTATATAAAGTATCCCATCTCTCACTATACCCTGAGCTTTGTTGTCCTGCATCTCCCCTCTCCTTTAACGCTTTTACTTTTTTTTTTTTTTTTTTTTTTTTTTTTTTTTTTTTTTTTTTTTTTCAAAAAAACAAAAAACGTGAAAATTTTTT